ACCCCCGGTGAGTGAGACATTTTCTCGATTTACAAACCGAAAAAGAAAAATACGGTAAACCTACAAAGACAAACGACTCAAGCAATAAGAAAAGTTTTCACACAAAAATTTGAGCTTCAATTTGTTCTGTTCGGGGTGGGCGTCCATTGGACTTGAGCCCTAGATCTACCGGCTACCATGCCGGCTTTCTCATCAACACCGGAAAAGAGAGCATTCGTTTTTATTACGATCCTGCTTTGGGAAGGTATTTTACATTTTAAATTCTAATTTCTGCATGCTTTTTATTTCAAAGCTTTGATCTAATTTCATTTATCGATTTTAGATGCCAAGATTTTGTCTATCGAGGCGCTGGCGGAAACTACAATAATTTCCTGTCAAAGCACGAGTGTGACATGTTTTGCGCAAGATGTAAGTGATTTTTTTTTAATTTCTTTTTAGATATTCAGTTATTCTAGAAACTTATACGAATGATTTATTGTCTATTTAGTGCAATGTGAGCGAGGATCACCATTGAGAGTGGGAGAGGATGCACAAAGATGTCATGCACAAGCACAGTGCCCCTCTTCACATGAGTGCAAAATGGAGCAAGGAGTGTGCTGTCCACGGAAACGTTCGCTTTTTAAGATTAAAACGAAAAAATTTTGTGATCAATTAGTTGGCTAATTGTTTTTGTTTTCAGAGACAATCTGTGCTCAACCACTACGCGTTGGTGATTGCACGGAAAATGTGAAGAGGTTGAGAAATTGGCTAAACTTTTGTGATATATTGTTACAACTTTAGATATTGGTACAATGCAAAAACTCGTCAGTGTCAAATGTTTGAATACACGGGATGTCAAGTGAGTGATAGCCTAACTAACATTTTTCACAAACTTTTTAGGGAAATGACAACAACTTTGCGACAATTCTTGACTGTCAAAACTTTTGCAAAAACGCGATTCGTTTGTCTTCCAAAAATCATTATTATATTGTTGAATTTTAGCTGAACCCAAGTGCATTCAAGGACAAGCTTACAAAGATGTTTACGGGAATTTTGTTACCTGTCAAAATGGCCAGGTTGTTGAATTGACTTTGTCCAATAAAAGAAACGATTTCCAGGGATGTCCACAAAATCATGAGTGCTACTTTGATGGAAATCAATGGGGTTGTTGTCCAACAAAAGGTTTAAAAGTTTCCTTAAACAAATTTTGAAATCTTTTTTAGCCTACACTTGTTCGTTGGCAGCAGATCCGGGCATTCAATGTGGTGCTGGGTCAACATTCAAATTCTTCTACAACACACAGACTCAGAACTGTGACAGTTTCCAATACAATGGATGTGATGGTCATTTTTCTTCTAGATTCTAGTTTTACTGTTACTGAGTTTAGGTAATTCGAATAATTTTGCAACTCGTGACAATTGTGAGCATTTTTGTTCGGTTGGTGGTGAGTGATCGAGGATTTGGTTAAAGAAATTAAACCATTTCTAGGTTGCCCAAATGGTGGTACTCCACATCGTGATCATTTCGGTCAAATCACTGTCTGCTCGACCCAGGTAGAGAATTTCAAGCTAATGATAAAGTGGTTGAAGTAGACTAATGATAAAGTGATTTTAGGAGGCTTGTCCGGACACACACGAATGTATGCCGGTTCTCGTCGGCTCATCCTCTATTCAAAGATGTTGCCCAACAAGAGGTAAACTCTATAAAAGTCGAATCGAATTCAAAGTCTGATTACATAAGTCTGTAAAATTTTAAAACGATTCATTCAGCCATTTTATTTAAAAATTAGTTTTTACTGAGTTAAGGCGAGCTTTGCTCTTTGCTCTTTGCTTTGAGCTTTCTCTCAAAAACCATTTTGTAGAAAAATTAAAGACCTTTTTTATTAGTTTAAGATGCAATAAATTTCGTAAAAGATTCTTTAACAAAAATTTGAAAAAATTATAAAGACTTAGGGCGTTTACTTAATATAAAAGTTTAAAAGTAGAACACACTCGAATTGGTATCGATTTTTAGCTCATATGTGCTCATTGCCTCCACAAACTGGCACCCAATGTGGAGCTCAACCAATTCAACGTTTTTACTTCAATATTGTAACTGGTAGATAAAGTGATTAGCAATTCGATTCCCGATCTTTATTCTAGGTCAATGCACTTCTTTTCAATTTGGCGGTTGTGATGCGAATCACAACAATTTCCTCACAATGACTCAATGCCGGAATTTTTGTATGAGTAACGGTGGGTGATTGGAAGATTCGTGAAAATAAAAAAAGCAAATCGCATTTCAGCATGTCCAGCCGGAAATACAGCGTATGTCGATCCAAACACTCAGCTGCCAATTGAATGCAATGAGGTGTTTCGTTTTTCATTAACAAAATATATTTTTTGTTAGGCTTTATCAAATAGCTGTCCTCCTGGATTCGAGTGTACATTCAATCCACTCACAAATGGACATGTTTGTTGTGGAGCCACGGAACAAGGTAACAACAAACTTAGCAAATTTTCCAAACTAGATTACCGTATTTTCTCTAATAGTAGTGCACCCCGCCGAGCCGAGTTGATGACGATTTTACGGTTTCCAAGCTTTTGCAGAAGCTCAACACTCTAATCCCCCACTAGATCTCATCGTCAGCTACATTTTCCGACCCCACATCGATAGGTTCTGATAAGCGGTTCTCGAGATTTCGAGCAATTTAGACGACGCTCCGGGTGCACTACTATTAGAGGAAATACGGTACCTAAATAAATTGTAAACTTTTTAGGAGTTTGTCCGGATGGAGAAAAAGCGTTTGTTGATGTGTTGTCGATGTCTCCGAGAGAATGTCTCATCAATTTGGAGGCCTCTTGTCCTGCCAATTATTTATGTCGTTTCAACATACAAAAGAACAAATACTATTGCTGCAGTCACATTAAAGACAGTAATTTTTTCAGACATTTACAAAAGAATAATGATATTTAGGAATGTGTCCGGCTGGACATTTCCTTTTCAAAGATCAACGATCTAGAGCACCTGTCAAGTGCACAATCGGGAAATTTGATCAATGTGCTGATGGGTTTGTTTTAAAAGTCGTCAATTAGATAATAGGCCTATTGGCTAAATATTAGGGTTGTCCATAAACTTGCGGTTCTTAAATTTGTGATTCTTTAAAAAGCAGCCACCAGTTTCATCTGAAATTTCAACTGAATCAACAAAAATTATATACTAACTTGTAGCAAAAATTTGACAACGATTGCTTGGTTCAATCGAGAGAATGAGAGAAGCAGGCACCCTGCAAAAGGATGAGCTCGGGAAATAAAGCAAAGAGTACGGAACGGGACTGAAGCTAATCAAAGGCGGCGGACGCAAACTCAAGGATGTTGATTTCGACAAGAAGCTGGCAGATTGGATTCAAGCAACTCGAGCTAAGAAAACCCGAAAAGCTATCACTTTACGAGGATTGGATGTTGAATGGACTAAAGCCAATGAAACGGAATGACAACCCTGGTCCTTCACTGATGGATGCTTACCTAGAATGGGTTTCGATTGCGTAGAATGAACCGCCAAAAAATTTGATCGTTCACTCGTTCAAGAATTGTGCGATTGCTACGGCTACTGATGGTTCGGAAGATGGTTTCATTCACTGTTTCAAAAATGAAGGCCCGATTCCTGAAGGAGCAAAACTTCTCGCCGACACGCGCCTTCAACAATCGATTAATGGAATAAAGGATAAACTCGGTAATTTTGGATTGGATAGAGTTTCTGTTCTTGATTTTGACTAGGTAAGTAGTTAACTTTTTGTTATGTTTTGTTGTTTATTTTTTGAATATCATGCTAATCAATTTATATAAAGTTGATCGTTCTAAAAGATTCTTTTGTTTTTTTTTTGCAATATCTTTTCTATTTCCAAACATTTTTTGTTGAAATGCTAAAATCTCTAATAGTAGTGCACATTGGGAGGAGGTTGAAAAAATAGTAGTGCGCACTACTAGTAAGAAAAATAAAAATACGGTACTTATAGATTATTCAGTAGAAATTTCAGATGAAAGCGTTGGCTCATTTTTAAGAAATCACAAATTAAAGAACCGCAAGAACTTATGGACAACCCTAATAGTTGTTCATCAATGGATAGATGCCTATGTTATGATCGATCTCACATTGTTTCAAACCATACTTTAGGTACTCGTGTCAAAGCTATCTACCCGAGGCTTTTCAAGGCTTTTGCTGTACAACAAATTGTTTGTTTTTTGAGAAAAGAAAAAGCAATTATTTTATCTAGCAATTTGTCCCGATGATGCGGAATATTTCGTGGACGAGTCGTCACTTCAACCTCGAGCTTGCACAATGGGCGCTTTTGTTTCTTGTCCATCTGGGTACTCATGCAGGTAAATAAAAATTAAAGATCGCACAATTACATCAAGTAACGCACTTGATTTCTTATCAAACTCTTTAAGATCATTTCGATCTTAGATTGTTTCATATATTAAATTGAGTATAGTTTTTCATCCAAATTCATTTTCTAATTGAATAAGTCTCAAAATACCAAATGAAATACGGTTTTTAGCCCATTATTCACTAGATTAGATTTGTTATTAGATAAATAGCATTCATCATTAGATAGCCCAATCATTTCTCTTGCAAAATGACTTTTGAAAGTTTTTGAAAAGCTTTGTTTTGAAGGTTTTTCATTAGCAAGAAGCCGAGTGTTTAAAAAAAGACAAGGTCCGATGATGCGATTTGGATCATTTCTTTCAATTAAACCTATTTTGATGATAAAATAAAAAAAGAAAGCGCATAAAAAGTTAGATTTACAACTAAAATTTCAGAATAACCCGTGTAGCGATTTTCTTTATGTGCTTATTTTTCAATATTTAAACAAAACCAGTTTTCCTTTTCGCAGATTATTTAAAAATGACGAAAAGTAAAGTAAAAAAAGTTCAAATGAAAGAAACCGTTTGGTATTTGATAGTTTAAAACTCATTTCTTTAGATAATGAAATGAATAGATTTAGATAATAAGACTTAACACTCACAATAATAGTTTTCTCAATGATCAGATCCCATACTTCATCAACTGAAGGCTTTTGTTGTCGCGGCTCATCAGTGTTGATTGCAAGGCCGGTCACTGGTGAGCATAAAAAAAAAGAGTATACCATAAACACTACAATATTAGATGGATGTCCACCAGGGAATTTCGTTTGGATGGATGGAGCAGAGGCGGGTCAATGCGATCCATTCAATCCACCGAATGCACCATGTCCTGAAGGCTTCACTTGTCAATGGTCGACGGCAAATCAACGCTATCAATGCTGTGGATCGAATGCACCGATCGTGCCCCGAGCTGGTGGGTGTTATTCTGATTCGCTCACTCAAAAGATTACTCTTTCATTTGATGATAAAACTTTTCCTTTACACAGTTAATTTTCAGCTGATGGATGTCCATCAGGGCAAGTAGCTTTCCGAGAAACGGGAACTGTCCGTGTCTGCACTGCCGGGGCAGCTAATTGCCCGGCTGGTTATTTCTGTCAATTCAGCAATGCCAATAATCAGTTCCAATGCTGTGGTGTTAGCGCTGGTATGAATATCACACATTCAAAAAAAATACAGCTTATCTAGGTTGCCCTGAAGACGGTGTTGCGTTTATTGGTTTATCGGGTGAAGCCGAGAAATGCGTGGTAAGAAGATTCGCTTTACTAGTTGAAAAAGATCAATTTCAGGTTGGACAATCGCAGTGCCCGGTCGGTTTTGCTTGTCTAAGAACAATGGTCGGACATCATACTTGTTGCACAACAAGTCGAATCGGTACGCATTATCTTAAACCAGCCGAAAAGCCCGGCTAAGAGCGGGCTTTTCTAGGTGGATCTCTGTGTCACTGTGGCGCAGTCGGGGGCGCGCTTGTCTACGGGTTCATTCCCGATTCATGGCCTCGGTTCGATCCCGGGTCTTTCACTGCTCTTTTATATATAGTAGATGGTTCAAGTAGAAAAAATTTTAGCCAAAACTTGTTCGGAAGAGCAAGTAATGGTGGATGGGAAATGTTTGGATAGAGCCGATCCACAGCACAAATGCGAATCACCAATGCAATGTGGTGAGTGAAGAAAAGAGGGAAATTTTTGAATGCTGACATCTAGCTGGCGGATCAATGTGTGTGAACAATCTATGCGTTTGTCCGAAAGGTACTGGTCAAGTTGGGCGTTTTTGTCAGAAAGACATTGGTAAGTCTATTAAAATTTATAGAAAAATATCCATGATAAAATAGATTGTGGAAAAGGAGAGATCATGGCCGGCGGTTTGTGTTTACCATTAGCGGATCTCTCCGAGAAATGCACCGTTCAACAACAATGTCCCGATGGTGCAACTTGTGCTCAAGGGATCTGTGTTTGCAAGTATGAAACTCCTGAAAAAAAATCTATGAGGAAATGATTTCCAGGCAAGGAATGGTGCCACGAAATGACAAATGTGTGCACAATCAGGCAAACAAATGTAAATATTTTAAGCATTCTTTTAAGAAATTAGGAGCCATTTACTTTTCAGTATCGCAACATACTTGTGGAAATCCGTTGTCGAATGCGTTAACTGATGACGAATCGGGAAGAGTCGTTCAGTGTAAACGACTTGGAAACAATTGTCCGAAAGGTTAACTCTTTCTTCCTTTCTTTCTCTTCCTTGTCAACAAAGAAAGCTCACTGGTAGAGGATCTGCTTGGTAAGCAGAAGGTCGAGGATTCAATCCCCCTCGTTTCTTTTCCATTCATTTCTTTACTTTATTATACACGACAAAAGAGAAACCAATTTCTAGATTATGAATGTCAAATCAATTCAAAACGAACTCAATACATTTGCTGTTCGATTCCTGATGATGCTGATATGACGACCACAATCTCTGTGACCACAACGGGAAGGGGACGAAAATTTAAAAAAACAAGTAGTGCGTTGTATCTAGGTTTCTTTGGAACTAACCATCTTTAGAGACTAACCATCTTTAGATATTCAGAACATCTTTAGATATTCAGAACATCTTTAGATATTCAGAACATCTTTAGATACACAAAACGAATAACTTATTTCAGCTTGTCCATTTGGAAGAACTCCGTATTTATTAAACGGCCAACCACAAAAATGTTTCTCAACAAAATGCCCACTTGGTTACGAATGTCTTTACAGGTACAAGATAAATTTTGTCTTAAAATTGTTTCTGAAAAAATTCGATTCAAATTTATTTAGTTATGGTCGTTATGTGTGTTGTTCATCTCTTACAGTCACTTCATTAGCTACTGGATCACCCACTTCTCCTTCTGAATCGACTTCGTTAGTATCTGGTTTCTTCCGAAAGTGAATTTCCGCTTACTTCTTTTCTATTGCTTTGAGTCTGATTGTTGATCAAGATGAAGACGACAAAGAAAAAGCATAAACCAACTCTTTTATTAAATATTTTAGGACTCTATCAAGTTTGACAACTCCCGAAGCATCGACATCACTTTTATCGACACTTCCCACTTTCCCCACTAGCTCTTCTACTTCAACTTCGTTGAGGTTTTATTTGAATATGAGCATAAATATGTGTTTCGAGAATACAAATCTCAATTTTTGACTTGAATCCATCTAGAAAAGTATTTGGTAATTTGGGTCAGAATTAGGATTCTCACCAAAATCTCACTAAATCTAAAAGTTTAGACCAATTAAATCCGAGTTCCAATTAGTAGACTCAATAAAATGAATAGCTCCAATCGATTCCCCGACCCGGAAAACCCCCGGGTACAAATTTACATCTTAATATCTTCTTTTTCTAGCATCTACAAAGCAAAAGAAAAAAACTCTATGTAAATGAGCGACTGAGCCGATTTTGCCGTTTCTGGGTGAGAGCGCGGAGAGGCAAGGACCACCCACACCACGGGAAAAGGAGAAATAAGGGCGAAAAAAAGAATATGGCACATAACGCGAAAGAAGGGCGGCACTGATCGAGATCCGGTTCAATCTTTGGGCACCGGTCAGGGTATGGGGTATCCAACTCTCCAATTTCGATGTAAACCCGAGGGTGTGTGGATGTCTGACTACCGTGGATTGGTCAACCTTTAGTTACTCTGCTATTTCGTATGAAGTAAGTCCTTTTCGTTCTGAAGAATTGCCAGAAGATCGGCATCTTTTCATTTTATCTCGAGTCTGCCAGGCTGTTCGACTTCGAGAGAATCACCACCAGATCGAAACTTTGTAAACCATCGTTGGCATTTGTGTTCGCTCTATAGTCTCATTCCCATATACAACCCGAATATTGGCATGACATAGGTTTGACGTGTGCTTCTGGACGAACTCGTGCAAAAGTACATGTTGAACATGACTGGGTGGTAAATTTTCGATTGAAAGCCGGAAAATAATGAATAAAGGCAGAACATGAGGCAATTTTGTGTAGTAATGAGAGCACTTTGATGTAAAAACAAACCCCATAGCGCTTAGGGCTCTCACAATCAAAGAGTGTCAATAGTCGCTCGTTGGAAAAATTTAGCCATTTCATATGCATTGACCCAATATTTATATGTTGAAGTTTTGGGTTTGCAGTTATGCAGATAATGATAAAGCAGATAAAATGATAAGGATTTGCAGATAAAACTTGCATTATTTTTGATTATTTTGTGTAAACTTAAGTTATAAATCAAAAAAGATAAAGAAAATATCAAATTAAAGAATTTTTTTTCAAATTTTCAACTCTTGGGACTGGGTGTTTGGTGGGTGAGAGCGCTGAGAGGCGAGGACCACCCATCTTGTTCTCTTCTCTTTTCAAACACCACACAGCGTTGGCCTGCAAAAAAAAAGTGCAAATACTCCAGCTTTCATTTTATATTGAAAAGTGGATGTTAATTTTAATAGACATTTATATGTTGAAGTTTTGAATTTGCATAAAGCTGCCCCGATTGGAGCCATTGATTTCTACATAAAACTTATCAAAAAATTATATGATTACACCCACCTGCCAATAATTTGATTTTAGTGAGAATTGGTCTTAATTCAGACTCCTCCTTTAACTGAAATCCCATTCAGATCTGTATCGAATGAGTGTGCAAGAGGTGATCCCCTTCTTTACCCATCAACTCAATCCCCCGTTCTCTGTTCGACTAGAGCTGGAAGGTTGATCTTTTGACTTAAAAAGAGATTAAAGCAAATTCTATCTACCTTCTAGATCATGTCCTACTGGGTATTCCTGTGTCCGATCATTGATTGATGGAGCCAACATTTGTTGTTCAACAAAGATGCACGATATTAGAAGGAAACGTTAGTTGAAGCTTTTGAAAAAAGAATGTACTTTATAAAATTCTTAATCGAAATGATGTAATAGAGTTTAATAAATATAGTAATTCAAAGAAATTAACTTAATAGAATGGCTTAAGAAGCGTGATTCAAAGAAATTCAGGACCTTGTGAGGGTTTCGCTGTGCTCGTAACTCGAATTCAAAACGGAAAATATGTGAAACGATGTGGTTAGTTGATTATAATTCTATTTAAAATATCTGTCAGATAATTTTTTTCCTAAAAGCACACACAAAGAAGGATGAAAAACTTTCAGAAAGAAGTTGTCCATACCCGGAAGTGCCAATCGGTGGTGTTTGCTATGAGATGCGTGGAATGTAAAACAATTTAAACCGTTCATTCAACATTTACCTTAATTCTTTTTATGTTTAATGTTAATTCTCTCTATTATTATATGCTAAAAGTTTGTTGAAATGTTGTAAATAGGGAGGTGGGACAAATGCGACCTTTTTTTTGCGCACCTGGACATTTGCGCACCTTTTTTTGCTGGAAAAGGCCTTAGAAAAGGTCGTAGAGCTTCAAAAATGTTTTCATTTAAGGGAATCGTATGCGTAGATTCAGAATTTTGACAAATCAGACCTCTCTGACACGTCAAATTCGGGCTAAAAGGCAAAAACTACGCAACTTAACGCTTTTCCGCAGCTTTTGCTTTTTAGCCCAAATTTGACGTGTCAGCGAGGTCTGATTTGTCGAAATTCGGAATCTACGCATACGATTCCCTTACATGAAAACATTTTCGAAGCTCTACAGCCTTGCCTAAGGCCTTTTCCAGCAAACAAAAAAGGTGCGCAAATGTCCAGGTGCGCAAAAAAAAGGTCGCATTTGTCCCAACCCCGTAAATAGTGTTTTTTATTGGAATGTGACGTGAAAAAGTTTTCAATTTCACATTCAAAAAAGTAGGCACATTTTCGTGCCATATCTCTCAATGTAACAAAATCATTTTTATCAAAAAAAAGTTATTTACTTTTTTATTAAAGCTTTAAAAATTTTTAAAAACTGATTTTCTTATTATTTTCAATTATAATTTATTGTTTGCAATACTTTTATTTATTTTTTTTTTGGTTTATTTTGAAATGTGGTCTCGATTTTATGATTTCTGCTTTATTTTAGAATAAATATTGAGATTTTTCAAATCAATATTCCCAAAAATGCATAGAGAAACATAAAAAATTGTGCAGAGTTCTTCGAATTTCAGCATCAAACCTCTACGTAACAGGTCAGAACAAAAAAAACGATTGAAGAGCCTTGGTGAAAATCCCTTTCAAGGTGGAAATCGAGAAAAAAGATCAAAGAAAAGAAAAGAAAACGTTCAAGTGGTGCTTAGAAAGATCGAAAGAAGAGATTCTCCTCTTTTTTGATTCAAATCAACACACATAAGTTCGAGATTTTTGTATTTTACAAGCTCTCTTCAGTGCGAGAGCTTTAAGTCAAAACGATTTTAGCGCTCAACTTTCTTACTTTATTCATAGTTAACTTTGACTTTCAACTTTTACTTTAAAGGGGGGGTATTAATCGCGGGTGACCATTAAAATTTTTTTACGGCAACCACCTGTTTTTTAAAATTTTAATATCGTTGATTTTATTATAAAAAGAAATTTTATTATAAAAAGAATAAAAATCACCCGGCTAGAGTTTTATATTGTATTTTTCTTTTTCTAAACTTGAAATGAAAGTTGATTTCTTTAAGTCTTACGTCTTTAAGTCTTACGTCTTTAAGTCTTACATCTTTAAGTCTTACGTCTTTAAGTCTTACGTCTTTAAGTCTTACGTCTTTAAGTCTTATGTCTTTAAGTCTTAGTCTTATGTCTTACGTCTTTAAGTCTTACATCTTTAAGTCTTACGTCTTTAAGTCTTACATAAACAAGAGCTTACGAGATTTAGATCAGGATTTCAGTTTATCTCAAAAAAAAGTCAATTCTTGAAAGCTTAACAAAAAGAAAACAAGTGAAAGCAATTCATTTTTAGAAAAAGCTATCGTTTTCATCAATGAACATAAATTTTAATGAAAAAAAAACGAGTATGTGGAATGGGATAAAAGGGAAAACAGCTTCATTCACAAAATGTTTTGTCTTTTCATTTTAAAGTTTGTCGCCATAATTGCTGTGCTGTGGAGTTTTTCATAGTTTCTTCTCAAATCACCTTTTGATTTTTGATTGAAATCGACTTTCACTTAATCTTTCGAGAGCTAACGAGAAGGGATTTTATATTTGAGATCTTTCACTTATAAGACTTTCACTATCGGTCAGCCTAAACCTAATATAAGGGGTAGGCTAGTTTCCCAACTTTTTGCGCAACAGGGTCATTTGCGCAACTGAGTCGTTGCGCAACTCACCATAACTTTCTTCTAAGTGGGCTAATCTTTATGATTTTGGTCTCATTTTGTTGCACTTATTGAGATCTACAAAATGAGACCAAAATCATAAAGATTAGCCCACTTAGAAGAAAGTTATGGTGAGTTGCGCAAACGACCCAGTTGCGCAAATGACCCTGTTGCGCAAAAAAAGTTGCGGAAACTAGCCTACCCCTAATATAAGTATCAGTAGTGCTATAAGTATCAGTAATGCTATAAGTATCAGTAGTGCTAGTGCTATCTAATGTGCGAAAACTATTTAATACGACAAGCGAATAGTATCAAATCTTATCCGGTTATCAAAAGTTAATCGAATATTAAAAGAATATTCAAAAGTTAACAAACACTTACTGCTGTGGTGTCTGCAAGAATTTATTGGGTTGTCCAGTTATGAATGCGCGTTTTTACTATTTTGTAAATTTCTCAAGATATCGAACAGATGTATATGAGTGTTATATATCATTCGAAAGCTGAAGATCTCCTCTACATTTTGAAATAAAAAAGTTTTTGAATTCATTCAACTTTTTGGGAAATTGACTGCACAAAGAGAGAGGTCGTTTTCGAAAAAAACCCATTCCAGCTTAGCTATCCTCAAATTTTATGGTGTAAAATAACCGCCCAGAAAAGAAAACAAAAGTAAAGATGCTCTGAAATTGTTATATTTAAAAAAAAAAGTTGTATTGATATATCTATTGGCCAAACATCAAACGGTTAACTCAATTTGAGCGGAGTCAAAACTTGATCCAAAGGCACCTTTCCATTTTTTGGCCACCTCTTCTTCTGTGCAGTCAATTTGCCCAAAAGCTGGACAAATTCAAAAACTTTTTATATCAAAATGTAGAGGAGATCTTCAGCTTTCGAATAATACTCATATATATAGCTTTTTCTTGATTTCGACACCTTGAGAAATTTACAAAATAGTAAAAAACGCGCACTGGACTGGACTTCATAACTGGACAACCGAATACATTTACTTATTGTTATCAAGTACATAATCAGATGCTTCTCCAAACTCTACTTTTTCTAATATTGATTCTTCTCATTATTTTCTATATTCACGAAATGAAATCAAATAATCAGGTATTTCTATTTCACCAACTTCTAAAGCCTACAGAACTTTTTATATAGATTCACGAATCTTTAAGAAATGAGTCGAATACGATTGTGCCTCTTCCTCGATTTGTTGAAGATGACGGTAATTTGGTGAGTGCAAAAGTTTTAAAAAAAAAATCCCCAAAAAAGAAATCTTCAGAAAGAAATCTCAAAAAATGTTTACCTTTGCAAAATTTCGGGAGTCGATTCAATGAAAGGTTTTAACCAAAGTTATCATGAGAAAATTAACGGATCCGCGAAAAAATTCGCCTTCGTCAAGGAGCCAGTTGAGCGATTAGCTCGGCTTTATGTCGACATTTGTTTGTGAGTACATTTTTTTTAGTTTATAAGCAATCACTTTAGATTTGACAAATCTTGTGGATGGGTAAATCCGTCTCCACGAAAATTCGTGCGAATACTCTACGAGTTATTTCACTCAAAAGCTCATTCAAAAGCGATCGCGAGTCTCTCAAAAATATCACAGCAAAAATTGTTATCAATGGTGAAGCCACAAAGCTGGTAGTGCAACAAAATGAATGCCTTCCGTAGCTCTAATAGAAGCTCTAATGGCTCTAATAGGAGCTCTAATAGCTCTAATAGAAGCTCTAATAGCTCTAATAGCTCTAATAGAAGCTCTAATAGCTCTAATAGAAGCTCTAATAGCTCTAATAGAAGCTCTAATAGCTCTAATAGAAGCTCTAATAGCTCTAATAGCTCTAATAGAAGCTCTAATAGCACTAATAGAAGCTCTAATAGCTCTAATAGCTCTAATAGCTCTAATAGCTCTAATAGCTCTAATAGAAGCTCTAATAGCTCTAATAGAAGCTCCCTATAGTAACGTTGTGTACGCTCAAACAAGCGCTCATGTCTCGACACCAGTACGTTTATTTCTGCTCACTTAGATATCAAATTAAAGTAGAAAGATAGGCGAATTTTTCGAATTATTAAATGTATTTTCAGCTTTAGCCGCTCTTCGAAAAAACGACTGAAAAGTGGAGAAAAAGCGCCGAGATGTGTGCGGTTCTTTGAGTGTAAACTTAGACTACGCACACTCCTCTAAAAGCTCTTCTATTAAGAGATTTTACGCGATTTGCTTTTTCATCTAAGCAACTCTTAAACTAACGACAAATTTTCAGGTTTTGTAGTCTCTATCTCGAAAAAAATGACTTTATTATCATGGACGAATCTAAAAATATTGATGATAATAATAAAAAACACAAAGGAAACTACAAAAAAAAGGTGAAACTTTTGTTCTAATTTTCTTTTTTTTACAAACATAAAACATTCAGTTGACTTCACGAAAAAGTATTGAAATTTTATATAATCGAGTCGAAAAGATTCTCCGAAATAACAACGAGACATTCAATCTGATAACGAAAATTTATTTTTTTGATTATGCTCTATTCAATTTCACGATACCATTCAATTTATTGTGATTTTAGAAGCATTTTCTTATTATTATTATTTTTTTTTTCTTGAAAGAAATGGGAAATTTGAGCAAAAACTGTTGACTAGGTTTTATTGAGACCAAATCATTGCAATGAATACTTTGGGGAGAAAAAAAGAAAGAGAAGAACTGAAGAACTGAGGCTTGAAAGACTTTTCAGAAGTGAAAAGTTGTTCCAATTGAATGCAAAGAAACTTCTAAAAGATGGCATTTCATAAGCTTATTCTGAACCAATTGTTGAAAAAACAATTGTTGACAATTGTTTAGTTTCTACTCCTAAATTGATCGATTCGTGTAAAGAGGACTATTTTCTAATCTCATAATCAGTGCGGTGTGTTGTTTTAATGGCTGATTTGATTGATAGATTGATAGTGAGTAGATTTCGAATTCGAATGATTTCAAATCAATTGAACTAAAAGATATTCAACTCAGAGATTATACAGTACTGGACAATGAAATATCATACTTGAGAAACGATCGTCACTTTCGCGCGTCTGTAACTCCCTTGTCTTTGCGTTTAAACTCTTAGTGCTATACATTTTCTGAAAGCTCTTTTCAAGGGCTACACAATGGTAATATTAATATTTAGAAATACGGTAAAGACAAGGGAGTTAAAGACGCGCGAAAGTGACGATCGTTTTTCAAATATGATATTTCATTGTCCAGTAGTGTACATTATCTTTAATCTTCAGCCAATTAGAAGTTTCATCGTTTAATTGAAAAGCGAAAAGCTTATGCATCAGCATAACGAGACGGAGTTCCGACGAGAACGAGAGCGATAAGAGCGGTGATAACTTGACAAACGATGACAGCAAGCATTGAACAGCCGAATACCATCAATGTGTAATCAAGACGATCCCATACAGCTGATGAACAGGTCGGCTGCAAAGTTTTTGATTTATTTAAAAAAACTATTCGTTTGACCCGAAAAATCTTGCTGGCCTTTTTGAAATTTTCGTTTAGAAATTCGTTTATAAATTCATTTATAAATTCGCTTATAAATTCATTTATAAATGAATATTTAGCTGACCGGTGTGATTTACTTTAAATAAAAACGATTAACGATTTCATTTAGCTCATTTCTAGGCGAATTCAAGTCCGCTTTAAAGTAAATCCGAACAGGAATTCTTGTTTTTTCTAAAATCGACATAGAATGAAAACGGCTTGGTGAAATATTATGAAAATTTGTCTATCTGCTTGATGTCTATCTGCTTTTCATTCCCTATCATTATCTTTTGACATCAAAATTGATTTCTCTGACAAAAAGTGCTCAAATCGGAACTTTGAGTTTGAGTTTTGACTACTCGACTTCATACCTTTAAAACAATTAATTAACGCGAGCTTTTCAGCATTTCTTAAAGAGCTATTTGTAAATAAATAATAGGACTTTTTAATAAAACAAGCCATTGATCGATTGGTTCATTATTTATTTTAAAAAGTAATTTTTTAAAAAAAGCGAACAACCAATCTGATACCTATTTTTAAGCCTAACTTTTGACTTACCAATAAAGGATTGCATTGAGGGTTTGCAAAATTCTCCACTCCGCAGCAATCATACTAAATCAATTAAGCTTTCAACAAAACGGTTTTCTCTTTTTTTTTACCCGATATTCGAGTGTTTGTACGTCACGAAGCTGCATTTGATAGGAGACTTGCACGTATTCTTTTACTGCATCTCGTACAACCTGTTTGTTTCAATTCAATTGAATATCTTTTTTTCTAACGATCCACCTTATGCCTTTCGACTAGTACAAAAATTCCGACAGCTATTTCAAGGAGAATCACGATCAACAGCGCCACAAAATAAAGAGCAACCAAGACACGGGATCTGTGTTTGAAGATTTTCTATGTTTTTACTCAATCATTTACCTAGAAGCAGCTCCAAGTAAACCGGCTAATCCAATAATTGCACAAGCTATGCAAAATCCGACAATCACCCAAAAAGAAACCGTAATCTAAAATTAATGAAATGCTTGCTTGAAATCCTTTTCATTAACTTTACCCATGTTCTCATATCTTCTTTGAGTTGTCCCATTGGCTCTGCTTCTCCCTTACGAGTAAATTCGAACGAATTGATTCCTCAAATGAATCTGAAATAGAAGTGACTCGTTTTAGTCTTAACAGCTGTTCTTTACCATCACATCGAATCCAAATAGCTAAAGCTAAAGCAGCCAAGGCGACCACCTAAAGGTGAGGATTTAGAATGGATTTAGACTCATTTCTATTAAAAGTAGAAATAAGTCTTTTAAGTTCATATGCAATATTTCATACAAACCATCATAGCCAAGTTGAGAAGCACGAGAAAGCTTCGTGTACAGCATGACACTCCATACGCTACCCCCATTGCTGAACAAATTGCACTGTTTATTTCAGGGAAATAGTCAACGACAATTTGAAAATTGAGAAGCTAAAAATAAATAAAAGAGTGCAATTGTTAAAATAGTTTGCAAATAATTAAAGATCAAAATATTTGTGATATCAAACGAGGAGGTTTTCAGGAAAACGCGCCAAAGACCGACAGCAAAGAAAGAAAAGAATGGAAAGGGATGTTGACTCAGCTGAATGAAAAAAACTCAGCAGCACTAAGTTAGCGAAGACTTGATGCAAAATAACTCAAAAACTTTCACTTATTACCTCTTATTTACCTCTCCGTCATGTAGACATCCAAAAACTTAGGCTTTAACTTTTAACTTAACTTTTAACTTAACTTTTAACTTAACTTTTAACTTAACTTTTAACTTAACTTTTAACTTAACTTTTAACTTAACTTTTAACTTAACTTTTAACTTAACTTTTAACTTAACTTTTAACTTAACTTTCAACATCTTTTCAACTAAATATAACTGTAATACTTAAATTGATTTATGAAGCATTAAAAATTTGAGCTGAAGAAAGAGAGAAAATGAGCCGGCTGGAAGGAAGTACCGGATTTTTGAAGAGGACGAGCAAATATCCCTGGAAATCAGGAAATCAAGCTGAACAAGAGACAAAAAAAATCATTTAAGAAAGGCTTAAAAATTAAAATATTCGTTTTAAGATCAATTTCTTGAATGAATAAACGAAAGAACAACTAAGACATGCATGAAACGTTCGCGGGAGGACTTTAACTAAAGTAAAAAAAGCGAAAAGTAAATGCTTGCGAAAGAAGAGCTGAGAGTTGGTAAATACGACCATGACTCAGACGCTGCCGATATTTGCGCAAGAAACAAATTTTACCCCCATTCTTTTACCAAAGTAACAAATTTGTCACCGTAAAAATCAGCAAGAGAGCAGAAAAGTTTTTCTTTAAAATTCATGTCGGATTTTGAGCACAATGCTATATGCAGCGACTAGTGGGGAAAACTCAAGTTCTCCACATGCCATTCTTGAATCTCTGTACAGCAATAAGGACACAATTTTTCGTGAATTCTAGTTGGAGATCTTTTAAAAAGCGAACAACCAATCTGATACCTATTTTTAAGCCTAGCACAATGCTATATGCAGCGACTGGCGGGGGAAAACTCAAGTTCTCCACATGCCATTCTTGAGCGTACAGTAGCAATAAGGACTCAATTTTTCGTGAATTCTAGTTGGAGATCTTCTAGTTTCCACAGAGAATTTGGTAATGTTCTGGTAAGATAAATTGGCTTAAAAAATTGAGTCCATGTTGCCGTACAGAGACTCAAGAATGGCATGTGGAGATGTTGAGCTTTCCCCCTCCCCCTCTAGTCGCTGTATATAGTGTTCAGGTATGCTCATTGGGTAAACAAACAAATAACATTCAGTGTAAAAGATATAGACATGACTATCCAACGATCATCACTAATGATCTCCGAGTTGGTACTCTTTGCGGCAAAAATACGAGTGAGTATTGTGAAATCGAATACCCTGAATGTGTCTCTGTCCCTCTTCAGACTGAGGGTCCGCTTTCTCGTTTCTTTCCTTCTATACATTTATATCGGCTCTCGGTTATGCTATTAGGCTGTCCAGAAAGTCTTTTTTATTAATTTTTGGACTTTCGTTTAAAACCAACAATTGCACCAATTGAACTAGGGTTTATTTCATTAGAAAGGTCATTTATTAAAGGCTTATTAGAGGACCATTAGAGGACTTATTAAAAAGGCAAACATCTGCAAAATGATATTAAAACGGGTTTTAAATGTCTTAAGTCTGGATTTTTCTTTTCTTTTTTTGTCGGGTAGTCAAAAATGTGGCTCGATGATGCTGTTTTCACAGTTTAGCTAAGGAAACCAATTTTTGTGTCAATAGATAAAAGATAGAGCATCAAAAAGTTTGGTATATAGCCAAATTTTCAGAGAAATCGATTCAGCCAACTCCTTCATAGAGGCTTTTGTTATAGGTTTTTACGAAAAACACGTTTATCACTCTTGAATTTGCCTGAAAGTGAACCCAAAATTGACTTAAAAAGATCGAAACTGAACAATAAACACTTTTTATTTAGAGGAAAGCATAGATTTGTTATTGATGAATTTGTGATTTTGCAACAAAATTAATGAAAACTTTCCGGACAACTTAATAAATTAAACGTTTTTTACGTCTGGAAGATTGAATTTTGTTCATCCAATTCTCATCCAACCAAACCGTAGTGCATTTGATGCATTTGTTCATTTTAAATGAAAGTATGAAAAGGAACGAAAAAAAAACAACAACTTTCTCGACAATTTAATACAAACAAAAATATTATACAAAAGAATTTATGCAAAGATTTAATGGTGTTTGAATTTACAGTCGGCAAAAAAGTCTTGCACCATTGTTGTATTCTGTTATTTACTATGGTATAGACGACACTTAATGCCTTCTCCGTTTGTACTTTTAGTCACTTTTGAGTCAGACTCAGTTACTAAAAGTACAAACGGAGAAGGCATTAAGTGTCGTCTATACCATAGTAAACAACAGAATACAACAATGGTGCAAGACTTTTTTTGCTTTTTAAACCGGCTGTCTCTGATAAAACTTTGTTTTACGTAAAAAAGGAGTCGCTTGTAATAAAAATGGCTAACATGTCCGGAAACTAGACAAAAATAGTAGAATTAGTTGTGAAAAAGTTTTCTCTGAAACGATTATTTTTACGGAAAATTTTTTGTTTTAAGTCTCTGAGAGACAATGGTGCAAGACTTTTTTTGCCGACTGTATTTATAAGCTAAATTGCTAATGCATTGCTAATAGAAATCGCTAAATTGCTAATAGAAATCTTTAGTTCTTATGTACGCTAAATATTATGGTGAAAAGTAATACCATTAAGTGAAAATTGTATACAACATACGATGAGTAAAACCTCGATCAAAAACGTGAAGCTGCCTGATGACTGAAGGTGAGAATTGGGCTGAAAAGAAAAGAAAAGAAACGAAAGAAAAGTCCGGTTTGAAGACGATCCATCGCCGCATCCGGGTCTGTTGTTGGGTTGGCGAGTTTCCCAGTGAAAAAAAAAGACTCAAAGAAAAGAAATAAAAGAGACCCTGAGAAGACCTTCATCACAATCATCGAGAAGTGAAAAGTTGACCCGAGGGCTTTGCAACAGCCACCCGCTTGCTTCTGATCTCAAGCGATCACCCTTCTTTGCCCAAGCAAACACACCCCAATAATCTTTTCATAAAACGAAAGCCACAGAATTGTGGTATTGAAATTTGAAAGAATAAATTATTCTATAAACAAAACATTTCAGATAGACATAATTAATTTTCTTGCACTTTAATGAGTTTCATTTTGTAAAAGAACCTCTATGTGTTTAATTGTATTTTTCAGCATGTCTAGCTTGTTTTATAGAAATGAGAATTGTTTCGAGAAAATCTAGAATCTAGTATTGTTTCTAGAAATGATTGAATTGAATTGAATTGAATCGATTGAATGTTTGCATGTGTGAAGCATGTATGTGAAGGGAAAATGGATGAAAAGGTCACGTTCTTTTGTCCTTTAGCGTTGATTAACGATAGGAAAAAGGATTGAGTACCTGTGAAGGGTGCTTGGTGAAGAGGGATTGAACAGTCTGGTACCCCATGACCATGAGATCTATTCACTCACATTCACATTTGATAATCGTTTTTGCCCCATCATTTGGTTTGTCCTTTTAAGTGCTGAAATCTTGAATTGAAAGCTCTTGAATTCAATCTTTTTTCACCTTCTTTACTACAATATAATTTTAATGAAGCTTTACGGGGTTTGTTAATAAAGTTCTACTGTATTGATTCATCAAATTTTATGGAAAGAGAGTAAAGGCCTTTGTTTGGGAATGTTTACTAGGTAGCATTGGTAAGCAAATTGGTGAGGAAAGGGGCAAAAAGAGAAGGTATAGCTGAGCGAATAGACAGAGAAATAGCACAGCACTCTCTGAGCAAATTTTGGCCAACCTCATAAATGCACAATCAATCTTTGTCTAGTAATTTACATAGAAATTGGATTTTTGCTCGTTTTTCCCACATCATATGACTTGATTTTGAATGAAATTGAGCACTTTTATGACCGAAAAAGAGTCATATCTCCTTTTTGAGCCGCCTTTTCACTCGAAAATAGGTCGATCCTTGTCGCCTCGAAAATACTCTACGCTAAGAGCTTTTTTTTCCTTATTTGTTATTCATTAAAGGTTTTCATCAAAGGTTAATTTATCGAAATTTATAAATGTTTACTTATTCGGCAGTGTTAATGTCATGACAGTTTCAAAGCTTCAAGTGAGGGTCACACAATTAGGCTGAGTATTCATGAGAATTTTGGTAAGTGGCCGAATATTGGGCATAACAAATTGGACATCTGTCAAAGGGGGATTGAGTTAGACAAGTGGGGGAAAATAGAAGAGATGGGAGAGGTGATGAGAGATGAGGTTGAGTGGATTTGGCTCTTCAGTAAAGGGAGGACTCTATCCGTCATTGGCCATTTCCGATTCGGATTCAACTTTTCTCTTTGCAAGTTTCACTTTTTAAACTTCATTGTTTAGGAGAGTATTTGAATCATTCTATAATTCTATAATTTTATTTAATTTTCTTTTTTTTCTATTATTCTATTATTTCATCATGTGCAACATTTCTCTTGTTTTGCGTAAAGCTTGCTGCCAGTTGGCGCCAGTTGCCAGTTGGCGATTTGGTGGAGAGTCAACGCAAAAAAAACGTTTCGAGGTGGTCAAAAATAATTTACTATGCGTTGACGAAGTGTGGCTACACAAAAGGGTAAGAAGAACTGGCTATAGGGATGGAGTGGGGGTGAGTGGGGGGTAGGAAGAGGGGCTTCTTTCTTCCCCCGGAGGGCTCCTCTACTCCCCTATTGATCTCCTCATTTCTCTTCTCGTCTCTCCGTCTCTCGTCATTTCCTCGATTCTCGCTCTCGCTCATTTTTCTCTTCGTCAAATTCAGTGGAGCGAAAAGTGAAAAATCCCGGTCTCTCATGCGCAAATCCCCTTGCAACTCACCCCGATCAATCAGACTTGAAATTTATCATTTTAATTTTGTCTCTGGATTCATTCGACACAAGATATTCCATTTTTTTTGTTAAAAGCAGCTTTTAAGGTTTGATATTGGGTTATACTGGATTGGAAGTAAAATATTGACCAAGTGATTAGCAACCACCCTTTTCTTCCGCAAACGTTCCCCGATAGTCACACAAACAATGTCTACTCAGCTCCTTTCTCGACGATCGACTTCTCTATACTCTATTGAATGTGTCCATTCTTTTTGAAAGCTTTTTTAATTCAAAATAGATCTATTTCGAAGAAAAATTTCATGACCGATCCGCGAATTTTCAAGGGAAAAGCTTGATTTTCAACGGGACAATGGGTGAACGGGTCAGGTTGCCTCGAAGAAAAATTCTCCCTTTTCCTCATGCTCGTTTCTTTTTTTTTTTCGTTTTGTTGGGACACAAATTTGTGTGTTTCTTTCACAGAAAAATCACTTTCATTTCTTCTCGCAAATCGTGCCCACTTTTTGGGGCATTGTTTGTTGACGAGAGTCTGCCCATCACCATCCATCCACCCCATCCATTCCCGTGTTCGGTTTTTGCACTCCCGCTTCCGCCTTGTTTGTTCCCAGATTCACGTTCTGCCATCCTCCATTTCTCTCAAAGTTTATAAATTTGTTTCTTTCAAAAGACAATTGTTTACATAAAGTTCTTAGTTTTTCAAACGAGATCATATACAAATCAATTCAATTCAAATTCAAATCCAGAATGCCTTCCATGATGAATACGAAATGGCCGCCGCTTCCAGATGCACTAATTTATTTGATTTTGTTAGCACTTTATTTTCGGGTCTTCCAACGGGTTACCATGCTCTTACCAGGTTTGTATAGAGTAAATTTTGTAAATCAAACTTTTATCACAGAATCCACGGGTCGAAGATATTCTTTTGAAGTCCCAATAGGCTCAACTGGTTCAAGTCGGAAAATCAGGTATAATATTGGGTTGACGAGTATAATATGTTATAATATTGACGAGTATGAAATGGTGCCAATTTTCAAAGAAACTTCTATAAAATCGAGTAGTCTTTATCATAAAAGAACATTTTTTTTTCAGAAAATCTATAAATCATCATTTAGAGAAAATGACTGACGAGATTACTACAAAAATTTGACTACTTATGTAATTAAATGTGCTCTAAATTTTTTGTTTTAAAGTTAATTTTATGTAAAAGAAACGAGTCAAACGATGAATCACACTCCTCGCAATTTTGACTCGTTGCGCTTAGGAGCATATAAAATCCATAAAACAAAAGCTTTTCGGAATCTCTTAAAAGCGATTTTATAGAGCAATGATAGATCTTTTTAATTATACAAACATTGAATTATATGGAGCTTTTTTGCTTTTGAGAAAAATTCTTGAAAGTCGGCGCCATTTCAATCAAATATCTTGGCTATATCTTGGCTAAACCACTCGAAACAATAGTTTTTTAATTTAAGATCAGCAAACGAGGATACTCCTTCAAAATTTGGACCACTTCGCATACATATCCATTATGATGACAGTGTTTTAAGATTACCTCCGGATAAACAAATTTATGTGAACGTAAGTTTTCTGATTTCTGAATTTTGAATACAAAGAATCTTTTTATTTTCAGTCATCCCTTTTACCAGAAGCAGCCGGTTTTTGGGAGAACACATTAAAGTTTGTTTTTTTTTACAGTAATTCGTTCACAAGAAAAATTTCAGTGTACGTAAACTCGAAGGAGCGATCAAATTGCGGAGAAAATGTTTAACCCAACACTATTATTTTAAACCGGATAAGAAAACGATTGCTTGTGAAGTGGTAAGTGAGAGGGGAACTGGTAAAATGATGATAATGTTTGACAACAGGGATGTAAAGAGAAGACGACTTGTGGCGAAGCGCTGATTCCAAACGAACATCTTTGGTGAGTGAATATGTTGAGTCTGATCAAAAAGCCGGATAGGAATGTCAATTCTGCTCAAAGCCAGACGCTTGCGCTACACTCGGAGTTTCCGGCGATGGAGTTGAAAACGCTGATTTCGTGCTTTACGTCTCAGCGATACACACAAAAAAGGTAAAATAAAGCTTTAATGTTTCTTAATGTTTCTGTGCCCAGATGTGACAATGCGGACACACTTTCTTATGCAGCGCATTGTCAACAAGAGACGGATTACGATAGGTGGGTAGATCTAATCTAAAAGATAGTTTTTTGGTTATCCCATCAATACACAATTATTTTATAGACCAATAGCTGGCCATGTGAATCTCTGTCCATCAGCGCTTTCTACCCATAAACATGATAAAGAGGTTTAACAGAATTTGTTAAAGTTATTCAAAAAGAAATCTAGCTTTTAATATCAACTGTGAAGCACGAAATGGTACATGCACTTGGATTTTCCGCTGGTTTATTTGCTTTCTTTCGCGATGAAACCGGTCAACCGAGAACGAAACGGTAAAGTCTGCAGGGTGGCGTCGCACTTCAGAGGGCCTAGATTGGCCAAAATTGGGTCAATCTTTTTGATTTTCCTCGAGTTAAATCTTAAGTATATCTCCTGTAACGCTGCCCATTATTTAATTGATTCAACCCTTTCAACTTTTTTTATATAACCTTCCAAAGTTGAGAGCCGAGTATCGCTCGGCACGCTACTCATTTATAAGACTTTTGAAAGCGATCTTGGCAAAATCTCGTTCAGATTGAATTCATTATGTTAATGAACGAAATCTTACATACTCTACGCAGTTTAAGTGCAAAAATTCCTAAGAAATGTCACCAAAACTCACTTAATATGGCCTGTTTTCACTTGAACGATTTATGGCCACTAATGGCGTCATTAAAGAAGAACGAGAAGTCACTAAAGAACAATAAAATCTTATTTTTTCATGGCCTATCGCTTTTAAATTTCATAAATAAATATGATTAATTGAAAAACATTAAAATCTTAAAGACTTTTTATCAAAAAAAATGAAACTTTTAAAATCCTATAAATGAGTAGCGACACTCGACTCTCAACTTTGGAAGGTTATACAAAAAGGTTGAAAGCTTGAATCGATTAGACAATGAGCATCATTTCAGGAGATATACTTAAGATTTAACTCCAGAAAAATCAAAAAGCTTGATCCAATTTTGACCAATCTAGACGCTCTGAAGTGTGGCGCTATAATTATGAGCCACTCGGTATATTGAGATTTCAAATCTATATTCAAATGCAATCAAAACGAATATCACTAAAAGATTCCATTTACAGAAATCGTTATGGAAAGCCCCTGACATTGAATCGTGAATCTGGCTATTATAATTGGGATGAAAGCACGATTCGAACGGTGCTTCGAGAGAATTGGTGGACAGCACAAGGAAATGTAAGGAGACTAAGGAACAAGTTCTTTTTTTTAACGCAAGTATTCAGATCATACATCCAGTTCATATAATGGTGACACCAAAAGTACAAGAAGAGGCAAGGAAACATTTCGGCTGTGATAGGTGAGCTATCTAAGCGATTTTTGATCAATGTGCAAACAACTCTTGCAGTTTGGAAGGAGCTGAGCTTGAAAATCAAGGTGGTGAGGGAACAGCACTCACTCATTGGGAAAAAAGGCTCTTCGAGGTGAGAAGAAAGGAAAAAAAAGAAGTCTAAGATTAGAAGAAATTTCTGGGTTTTAGAATGAAGCAATGACTGGCACGCATACGCAAAATCCCGTTTACTCTCGTATCACATTAGCTTTATTGGAGGACTCTGGATGGTATAAACCAAATTACAAGTAAGAAACACAAAAAAAAAATTAGTAGTATAAAAAAAAATGTCAAATTTCATTTCAGTATTGCTGAGCAGCTGCATTGGGGGCACAATTTAGGGTGCGATTTTGCGACGAAAAGTTGCGGTGAATGGATAAAGAAGCAAAAGAATGAGTTTGTGATTTTTCGTGAGCAATCCTCGAAATTTTCATTTTTACAGAGCCTCGGGAGCCTATCCGTTTTGTGAGCACGTAAAACATGACGGGAAAAAGTGGGATAAACTTTTTTGGCACTCAAAAAATTTCCAAACTTTTAGATCTCTAGCGGTCACACGTTGCACAGCACAAAGGGATTCGTTGGCTCTTTGCAATCTCATTCCTTATAAAACCGAGCTTCCAATAGGTGTTTCTCTTCTAAACGATTGTGAATAATTTGATTTAGCGTTTCGAAATTTTGATTCCTTGCCGGGAGTTCAAGCTGAAGGAGTGAAGCATTTTGGTGGTTCTGTTGAATTGGCCGACTTTTGCCCGTACAATCAGGTAATCCAAATCAACATCTTATTAATTGAATATATTATTAATAACTTTCTTTTTTTGCAAAACTTAATATTCCTTTTTTTTTTACTTTAAAAACGGATTCAGGAGTTCGAATGGAAATCGCTAAATGGTTCGACAAGACGAGATTCTCGCTGTGAACTTGAAGAGAATCAAGCTGGAGTCGAGGGAACTCTTGAAGTAATCATTTAGAAGAAGAAAAAGAAAGATTTATTTCAAAGAAAGAAAGAAAACATTTCTAAACAGAAAGAAAAAGAAAGTACATTTTGTATTCAATTATTTTTCAGATTTATGGAGCTTCATCAAGATGTTTTGATCTTTATCATCCTTGGACAGAAAAACGATGTGGCCGAACGAGAAGTTTCACTCAATACCATGCTGGATGTTATGAAGTGAGTAAAGCAAATGCAAAAAGTTAGAAAAAAAAACTTTTCAGCACGCTTGCATTAATGGAACATTGTTTGTAGGAGTCGATAACTCAACTCAACTCTATCCTTGCTATAAAGAGCGTCAGAAAGTTCATATAAAACGGGTAAATTTAGATCTTTTCAAATGAAACTAGCAAAATTGTTAAAATCACAATTCTTCGATTTGAAGATTGAAAAGAATTTCAGATCATAAATGGCTGGCTCCGCGAGGGTGTGCTTATCTGTCCGCCGTGCGAGCAACTTTGCACAGAATGTCGACCAGCTTATCACTCAATAGGCGAGGTTTTCGATGGCTCAATGGATCAAAGTGGGGCAAAAAATCACAATATCCCCGAATTTATCGGCGATCCCGATCTACCCGAACCGTGTGCATCGATCCCTCTTCATCCATTTTTGCCTTTTCTCTTCTCTATAGTCGCCTTGTTTTTCATATAGATTTTTCTTTTCACAATTGCACATAATTTGACTCACTTTCAACTACAAAATGACTTTAAAAAGATTAAAAAGCTTAAGAAAAATGCAACAAATAACTATTCGATATTTTCAAATGATTCTTTGATTCAGAAGGGTTCATTCTTTTTAGACAAAAATCCCTTTAACTTTCTGAAAGCTCTTTTTTTTTAAAAGTGCCTCAAAATGACAAACTTTTTTTTGATCGGGTGAACATGTATTCCCACTTTTTTTTTTTCTTTTGATCCTTTGATCCTTTGATTCTATGATCCGGTGCACTCTCTTGTCAGTTTAGGAAATTTTTGAGAATTTGTGCGTGATCTTTAAAAGTGTAGATAGTTTTTTGTTCTCCTCAATCAAATCAAATCAATATGATTGTTCAGAAATGTTTCTTTCTTCTTCTTTCTTTTTCTTTCTTAGGTATTAAATTTACAATACTAGCCGTTGTGATTGTTGAATTTGTGATAAGAAAAAAAATCTGTTAATAAAAGCATTACCTCAAAAGTGTTTCCAATAAAAAAAATCATTTTAAAAATGATTTTAAAAAATTCGAGAAACAAGGAGGAAAAATCATTGGTCCAATTGTTACACTCGTTTTGTTCTCTTTCTAATCTCTCGTTGATTCGTTTTCACTCCAAAAAAATCCTCTGATTGATGAACAAACGTGTTTTTTTTATTGCCACAATGCTTATTTGAATCTTTGCATTCCTCAAAAATGATTGCCTTTATTGCTAAACTTTGTTTCCATTAAAAATGATATGAAAAGTTATCTGATTACAGCCTTATATGCTTATTTAAGTGTTAAATGATTATTTAAATATAAATCAATATTAAGTATTGTTTATTATATATATATATACCGTAAATCCTGTAATAGTACCCCACCCGCCTCGTACAGTCGCGTAGTCGCAAAAGTTTTTTAGTATTTCATTTTTTTCAAAGCGCCCGTACTTTCAAAAAATGCGTCTTTGGTATCAAAAAATAGCCGAAATTCAGGGCTATTTTTTGATACCTAAGCGAGCATTTTAGCATAAACCAGTGTCGAGAAAAACTCGTTCAAAACTAGACTACGCAACACGCCGCACCGTCATTATGGGGGTGGGGTACAATTACAGTATTTACGGTAATCATTTTAAAAGTTCTAAATGAAGAAAACGATTGATTGTTGTTGAAAGGGGTGAAATGTGAAAAGAGATGAGTGGAGAGTCACTTTGGTCTCTCGTTGTGTCCCCGTCCACTCTCCAAAAACAGTTCACAATGTAGAAGAAGTCTCATTCGCTCTTTCGCTCTTTTTCTCTCTTTCCTCCCCAAATATTTGCCTCTACTCACTGTTCTCATTTCACTCAGCCTCATCCCCTTATTCTTTCACAAACTTTCATCTTTTCACAAAAGACGGAAACACTTGTGTTTTGCGAAATTACTTTTCCTCTTTTCTTTTCTCTTTCTCTTTTTCTTCCCTATAATATATTTATTTGTTTGAATCTTTTTAACCCATTCGAAACTTCTGCAGCGAATAATCGCTGCAGCAAAAACTCAGGAACGGACCGCTGCAGCGATTATTCGCTGCAGCGCTAATTGAGCTATTTTCATTCAATTAATTGCTTTTTTTTTGCTGTTTTTCAGCATTACATGTATATTCCAATTGTAGCAGATCTACAAATTACGTGGGCAAAAAAGATGTTTCATATTTACCCGGAATCAATGCAGTCTCTGGTTTTGCATTGAAATGTTCCATAATAGCTCTAATCTTATAAAGCCGATCTCCTGCAGGATCCAGTTCATTATCACAAAAACGCAGGTTGCGAAGAATAGATTCAAATTTTGCTCTTGACATGATGTGGGACATGTGGGAAAATCCTCCTAATCCAGGCCTGCTACTCCAGTAGTCACGAATCCTCGGTAATTTGAAGATTCCCATTTGAAACCAGGAAGAGCTTGAAAGATTTTGCATCGAAATCCTGCCAGTTTGTTTTCCTTTTTCCATGTTTATTAGATTCGCCTACTAAAATATTGTCGTCGATAAAATAAGAACAATAATCGACAGGATCTTGAAAAGTACTGAAGTCAAATCCAAATCGTTCTTCATCAAAAATAAATGGTGTAGGAGTCTCTCTTACATCTTTCCAACCATAAATAAACTGCTTCGGAGTCAAAAATGTCAAAAAAGGGCTTGGTCCGTAGACGAAGAAAAAGAAAAAACGCTGCGGTTTCGAATGGGTTAATAGACAAAACATTCTCACAGAAGCCAATTTCTCCAATAAACTTTAGAATTCTTTGTCAGCTTTTTCACAATTTTTTTTCTTAATTCAAAGTCTCAATGAATACAGTTGGAAATGCTATTTTCAAGGAACTTTTTATCAATGGAGACTTTGAAAATTCATTTCAAATGAGTCAGTCGGCCCGGCACTTTTTTGCATGATGTTTTTTTTGCCTCGCGCTGCTTTTTTCTCTTCAATCAAATACATTCAGCACGCCGAAAATAGGCAATACTGTTGAAAGAAGCGATTCATTTCTTAAAGTGAATCGTCAAGCGAACAAAATTTTACTTAAATGTTCGTCGAGAAAATTTTCTTTTTCATTTTCTCATATCAGTTTTCAGCAATTTCCTACCCATTTCCGGACAATTTCTTTCGCGACTTTTTCTTTAATGATGAATAGTTAAAGAAAAGTTTTCAGATATGCAAAGAACAACCAAAAAAGGGACCAAACCTCCAGGTATTCGTTTATTCATTCAAAATGTACCTCTTACTATTTCACTAAATTTTAATTTTTAATCGTTCAAAAGCTGCCTAAAGTATTGCTAAAGAATAGTTAGGAGATGTAATCTTTATGTTTTATTTTTATTTTTTTTTTTTTTTTTTTTTTTTTTTTTTTTCTTATATCTTTATCTATATCTTTATCTATATCTTTATGTTCGATTTAGATTGAACAACAATAAACATGCTTCACATCTATTCTTAATCGTAATCGTTTTTTTGCAGTTTTCTTCATTCAAAGTCAAAGGCAAAATCAAAGTGACTTGCAGCCATTCGATTTTCTGATCTATCCAATTTAACTGATCTATCCAATTTAACTGATCTATCCAATTTAACTCAATTTAGTCACATTTGAAAATCTGGAATTTCTTCTTTCAAAATATAGCACAAAAATAGCCGCAATAGAGCAAAAAAAGAGAAGCAAAATAGACGAATATATTGTCTTTGTCGGATGTTATAAGCATTTATAGCTTGACTAACCATTCTAAAGTCCCCTAAACTATCCAAGAGCCGTTAGCGCTAATAAATTGTTTTATAGTTGGGCTCTCTTTTCAGAAAAAAAAAACAGTAAAAGGCCTGCAAAAATGCGGATAACTGCAAGAAACGCTTAAGCAGGTTTATTGTTGTTTAATCGAAATAGGACATGACATTTAATGTGCTTTAATCAAATATGTAAAGACAAGGGTTAAAGTGTCTCCTTTTTTAATAGCCTATTTTGTGAATTGCTTCCCCTCAATCAATCTTTCGTCGCCCATCTCCGCATTCCCTCCTTCTCTCGTTTCTTCCTCTCTTGAGTTCCATTCCCTCCTTCCTCCATCTCCTCAGTCCCATTCCCTCCTTCCTCTATTACTTCAGTCCCATTCCCTCCATCCCTTCTCTCTCCATCTCTTCAGTCCCATTCCCTCCTTCCTCTATTACTTCAGTCTCATTCCCTTCCTCCTTCCTCCCTCCCTCTCTTCAGTCCCATTCTCATTTTCCTTCTTCTTTTCCATTCCATCCATCTGCCCTTTTCGCACTTTTCTTTTCCCCCATTTCCCCTCTTTTCTCTTTATCTTTTCTGTAACCCTCTTTAACTTCTTTTTTCTTTTTTTCACCCCTCCAACCACCAAAAAAGACCAAAACGCTACTTTTCTTTTCAAAACTTTTTCTGCAAAGTGCATCCTTTTCAAAATCGTTTGAAAACCCGTTTATCTTGTATTGTTTTTCCAATTAATCCATTAGCTTTAATTTTGTTTAAATTTGATTCCTTGAAATTTCTTTTAGCCGACACCGACACACTGTCTGGGTTTTAAATGCGCTAGGATTTGCAATAGCTTTCTTTTTATTCTTCAATGAATGCAATAGTTTTTTATTCCTCAGTTGCTTTGAATTAAAAATAAGCGCACTTTTTTTTTGGGGGGGGGGGAGGAGAAAAGTAAATATGCACGGTGAGGTTTTGGCACAAATGCACACAGGGCTGACTCAAAGGTTTTTCGGGAAATGAGCACTTTTCTCTGCATCACGATCATGGCTATATTTGGATTGTAGTTATGTTAGAAAATAGTTCTATGCAAAAAAAAAACTTGCTACAAATCTATTGGGAATATTTTCAGCCAAAGACGAGCCGGTGAGGATGAGCTGGGAGTCGTATGTGTTCCCGGTTGTCGGCTCGATCTTCATCTCGGCTCTCTCATTCTCTTTGGGAAAATTTGGGTAAATAAATCAAAAAAGGATTTAATTTGAAGTCTTTTCAGGTATTCTTTTGTCTGGATTTTGATCATTTGTTCTATGCACATCGTCAAGAGTTACCTATGGAAACAAAGAGAACGCAGGTTGGTGATTCAATCCTTTTTTAAAAAGTTACAAATAAGTTTGTGCTTAATTAGCTTAAAACTTTTTGCATTTCCTGAAGGTTGAATCAATTCATTTTCGCAGATTGATGTCACTACAAGCGACAGCATTGCGAGAACGTGAAGTAATCTATGCACAACTACAAGATCTTCCCGCTTGGGTGCAATTTCCAGATACCGAACGGGTGGAATGGCTCAATAAAGTAGCAAAAGCAAAAATTTTTGAAAAAAAAAGCATAAGAAACATTCTCATAGGTTATTCACCAATTGTGGCCCTACATTGGCGAGTATGGGAAGGTGTTTCTAACAGATGTCATTCTACCACAGGTTTTAAAACTAAAAAAAAAAACTAAAAATTTCTCGTTTTTCAGGTGAAAGCCCAGATGCCAGCCGTATTCAAAAATTTCAAATTCACAAAAATGGACATGGGCGATATTCCGTGTCGAGTCGGCGGAGTGAAGGTGGGGAAAGCATAGCTGAGCCATTGAACTTTACAATACCGTAAATAATACAATACCGTATCTTGTAAAAAAAACTTCTAATAGAAGGCCATAGGCTTGTATTTTTTAACCAATGGGCCATAGGCTTGTATTTTTTTACTCTCCAAAATCGGCCAATCGAAAAACTAGGTAATCACGTAAAGTGGGTTTTTTTCTTTCATTTTATATAGAGGATTACAGGAACTTTTGGGAAATTTTTCATGAGAACCGTTTTTTTCATAAAAACCACTTACTTGAAATTTACACACTCTAGTCAAGAGGGCGGGCTTCTATTCGAGTTTTTACGGTAAACACACGAAAACATTGAATGCTTTAGGTGTACACACATAATGTTGGTCGAGATCGAATCATTGTCGACATGGAAGTCGCTTATGCGGGTGATTCGGATTTCGCGATTTCTTGTTGCGGATTCTCGGGTGGAATGAATCAAATCCAGGTATTTTTGACATTTAGAAAACCCATTTTTCCTTTCTCATATTTCAGTTTTCCGGTAAATTGAGGGCCGTTTTGAAGCCACTTCTGCCATATCCGCCAATGATTGGCGGGATCAGTGCCTCGTTTCTTGAAATGCCAAAAATCGATTTCAATTTGACGGGAATGGGCGAATTCGTCGAATTGCCTGGACTCATGAATGCGATACGGTTTGTTGATTGGAGAAAATCGACTCAAAAACAAATCCCACTTTCCACAGATCGGTGCTGAACTCTCAAGTGGCAGCCTTTGCTGTGCTTCCGAATGAAATCGTTGTCCCACTCGCTCCAAATGTCGATGTCACTCGTTTATTCTTCCCTGAACCGGATGTTTGTAAATCTTTTTGTTTAGATAAAAAAAAATACTTTCAGGGTGTTGTCCGTTTGAAGATTATTGAGGCTAAAAATCTTGAAAACCGTGACATTTCCTTTATCAAAAAAGGAAAGAGCGATCCCTATTGTGAAGTTCAAGGTAGTTTGAACAAAAATAATCTTTTTAAAGAAATTTTAGTTGGCTCTCAGTATTTCAAAACACGAACGATTGACGATGATCTGAATCCAGTGTTCAATGAATATTTTGAAGCCGTCGTCGATCAGGTAAGACTAGAAATTTTTTTCTGCCTTGAGCCTATTGTTTCCTTATCATCTGTTGAAAGCAGGCACTCAAAACTAAGAAAAAAATTCAGGCCGATGGTCAAAAATTGAGAATCGAAGTGTTCGACGAGGATCGGGGACAGGATGAAGAGTTGGGAAGGCTTTCCATCAATTTGGCTAACATCCAGCAGAAAGGAACCGTTCAGAAGGTTCGTTTTAGAGCACGTTAAAGAACGTTAAAGAAGCGATTCGAATTAGAACCGATTCACATTAAAATCAAATTCCCGACAGGTAAATGTAAGTAATATAGTTTTTTTGTATAAATTTACCCAAATTCCTGGGAGAATTCTTTGTAGAATTTGTAGGAAAAATAAAGCCAAATTTAAATTTGGCTTTATTTTTCCTACAAATTCTACTTGCTTTCAAATCAAAACTAGCTAAAATACTCAAGGTTAAAATGACTTGAAAAGCTGATTTTCTCCTTTATTACCTGATAAATGATCGATAAACCGTTTTGCTTTAATCATTTCTACATAAAACTTCACCAAAAAAATTCTATTTCTATGCCCACCTGTCGATAATTTGATTTTAGTGAGAATCGGTCTCAAATCGAACTCTTCGTTTAATGTAATTTGGCTATTCAAAACCTAATTTAATTTAGCTATTTTCTTATCTTTTCGAGATACTAAAAATATCGAAAATATCGAAAGTTCTTCATGCCGACCTTGACTCATCTTTTAGTGGTTCCCGCTCGAGGGCTGTAAACACGGCGATCTTCACATAAAAGCAACGTGGCTCAATCTATCAACAAATATCCAACATTTAGAACAACAGGTTTGCAAAAAAAAAGTAAAAACCCAAATAAGGAATGATTCTAGGAATGGGAAACAGAGTGGCTTCAAGCAAATCGGCCAATCCATCCGGCTTTGTTGATGGTTTACGTGGACTCAGTGGCCGATCTACCGGTTTGATCAGTTTTCAGCTTATAACTTCGGCTTTTAGTACCCGAAATCAAAGCTCGAGCCATCTCCATTTGTTGAAGTTAGCCTTGGCAAAGAAACACAAAGAACTCCAGTGAAGGTTTGACGAAATATGTATGGGTGTATCATGTTTTCAGGTGAAAACGGTGAATCCTCTTTATCAAGTGAAATTTTTCTTCTTCGTCAGACATCCGGAAAATCAAGAGCTGAAATTTGAAGTAAACAAATTGAAAAAAAACTGTAAATAGTAATTTTTCTACCAGGCAATCGACGATGGGACTCGAAAGTCACTCGGCACAATGTCCATTCCTTTACAAGCTCTCATCAAAGAGCCAAACCTTGAGGTGAAATTTAGCGTTTTTTTGTGCAAAAGAAAACATAAAAATCTAGTTTTATCAACAAACATTGCATTTGACTCATGGAGTGCATCAATGTCCAATGGTTGTCACTGTGAGATTGCGGGTAAGTTTCTTGTCATAAAGTGATTCAAAAGTGGGTACTTGTCGGTATGGGAAGGTGTTTCTTTGAATATTAATTTAGTTGGTCAATAATCTCCACAAGGCTTATTGATCAACTAAATTAGTATCAAACTACTGTTTTACGTAGTTCAATTTTAGCTACGTCTATTGTAAGTGAGTCTAGAAGGATTCCTTTAACCCATGAACTACACATCATTATGCTAATTTGACTTGTTTGTACTGTTTGACTTGGTATTCAAATGTTTGTGGGGGTATAGCCGACAAGTACCCAAAAGTGTGATGCGTGCTACCAAACGACAAAAAAAAAACTCTTAAAAGGGTGTTTTTTTATTCTTCACTTACTGCATGCTAGTTTTTTCATAACAAATCCCGATTTCGATTTTTTTTCTCCTTGATTTTTCTCACTCACTTCAAATTTTGACATTAAAAATGCCCCATTTAGATTCTAGTTGAAGCCACAAGAAAAGACTCAATTCTAGGGAATAATGTAAGGGTTTTTATAGTAAAAATTTAAATCAACTATTCATTTTAATCGGAAAAAAAAGTTGATTTAATTTCAGGGTTTATATCCGGGAGAGAAAAATATGCACGAACTCGACGACGACACTTTAAAAGTCTATGCAACGGGTAGGTTGAATTGATGTAAAACTTGAAATTTATTCTTATAAGATAAACAAATAGAAATAAGTTTTTAACAATTGTAGAAGTAAAAACAAGGTTTTATTTTCAAGGTTCACATATTGAAAGAGCCGATCGTAAACTCGCGAATGGAGACGCATCAGCGGTGGAGCCGGCGAAAACTGTTAATCCGAAAGCTGGCCCGCTTGAGGTCGAGGTGAAGATGGACTCGACTCAATTCCATGTTTGTCTATCCCTTTGTTTCTTCCATATAAACAAAATCCTTTTTTTTCCTTAGGATATAGAGTCAATAGCTGAGATAGATTTTGAAACGAATATCGACGAACGAAGCGTAACTTTTCGTTTTTTTTCGTTTCTAGTTGCTAGCTTGAGGACGAACTCCTATAAAATGTCCCTTTTCTGTTTTTTCATGGATTTCGTTTTCGAATTTTTGCGAATTTAGCATTTACGGGCTCACTGATTGCTTTCTATAGTTATTTTCTTTTGTAATGATTGCCTAATTTCAGCTCAATCACAGTGGATCGATCAATTCGATGGCGAGCACAAAATCCCCAGGACACACCAGTTCTCGCGTCGGTCGACTATTCAAGAGTCGACACGAATTGGACAAAACTTTACCGTTTGTCTTTATTCTAATTTTATTTTTGATAAGGGCTTTATAGCATGCGGTTTTTTTGACCACTTATCCGAGATTCAGGCTCGTGGCCCGATTGCGCCGTTCGATTCGTTCGAAATCGGAGATTCGGCCCCCTCGAGATATCCCGTCGGGTCCCACTCTAAGTTGTGCCGTAGTTGTGAAAATATTTAGTTCTTTCTACAAAAGTTCTTATGATTTTCTGTAAGCAGTAAGCTTTTGACTTGAAAAACACGTGAATTTCGGAAAACTAACGCCGGATTCTAAAAATTCAGGTATTTTTACTCCATTATGCCTAGATTTTCATAAAAAGATTCAACTCTCAACAACTTTTTGACTAGGTCGCTGAAGATTTTTGCGAAAGTTGACTTAAATTTTGCAGAATGAAACTTGTTTTTTTCCAAAAACTGTTGTTATTATTTGACAGACCTAAGTTTTTTTTCTAGAAAACAAGCTACAAACTAACGTTATATCTCAAAAACGAAAGATTTTCAAACGACTCTACGAAGAGCACTCAAATCTCAAGAGCAAAAAAAGCGCTGTGACGACCTTTAAACATCATCATCAAAAAGTTGTTTAGAGTTTCAGATTTTATGCAAAAAAAACCATAGTAGAGGTAAAAATACCTCAATTTTCATAAACAGGCGTTAATTTTTCATAAATAGCGTGTTTTTCGAGTCAAACTGTCCGCTTGCAAAAAGTATAAGAACTTTTGGGACACCCTGTATTTCCCCTAGCTTCTACAATCTTTTCGTTTGGTCTCTGGGATAATATTAAAAGTAAAAAAAAAAGACTCTGAATAGACTTTCTTTTATGAAATCTTTCTTTAGATCGGATGCTCCTCGAGGCGCTTTGGAGATCTCAATTCGATACGCAGATGCGGTGGGAAAGTTGATTCTTGAAGTAACTCGTGCTCGAAATCTACTTCCTGTCGACAAGCAAAACAGTTTGTTATATATCTGTTAAATAGAAATCTGATTTGCATCTATTTTAGAAACAGCTGATCCATATGTGGTTTGTAAGTTAATCAGCATTGACTCAAAACGAGTGATCGAAAAGCGAAAAACTGGCATCTCGCACAACACGATCGATCCCGTTTTTGACAATCAGTGACTCCTTTTTTATTTGCTAAATTGTCGAGTATTTTAGTTTTGAGTTTGATATGAACAAGTCCGATATGCACAACTATCGGCTTTCATTTGAGGTGAAAGACAGCCGCAACTATGGGATTGCCACGAAAATTCCTGTACTGGGACAGGTAAGATTTCAAATTCAAATTTAACTATAAGTTTTTAAAATTACACACCAGAGTATTTGATTGGCTTTAAAATTTTCAGGCCGATATTCGATTAGAGAGATTGGATCGACACGAATTATCCCAACAATGGATTACATTGGAAGCGACCAGAAAATAAGTATTATCTTTATTGTTTCGTCTCTAAAATTGTTAAATAGCTTTTATCTAAACGATCTTGTTTTTAATCAAATCAATCAAGGGGCAATAATATTGTGATTTAATGATTTTTGTCAAAAAAACAACCAAAATCTAAAAATCACTTGGCTGTATCCCGATGGCTCTTGAATATGGGTATATTTTTTTGCATTCATTGATTCTTGCCATTTAACCTTTTCAATAAAGTTTTATTATACCAATCAAAATGAAAATAAAGCAAAGTATTAACACGATACACTATAATCGTTTTTCCTAGTTAGCTTCAGTCGACGATTGACTTCACTGGGGCAGTTACTAAAGAAAAAAAGAATAAGATTACAGTTAGATATCTCAGTATAGTACGTTTTTTTATTGTTTTTTTAATTTAGTGAACTATTAAAGTAAACCTCTTTTGTTGAATCGATGGGAAGAGTCGGGATGAGTGAAGGGAATGATGACGATGGGACAAAATGAGAGAAATGAGTGAAGCTTTGATCAGCCATCCCCATTCTCATGCCGGGTGTTTGTGGGCTTAGGAATACCGATGAGGGCTAAAAAGTCGAGTTTTGAAAAAAACAAGCTTATTATTTTTTCAGTATACTCATAAAAAACATACCTGTGGATTAGGAGCCATTGGTAACGTTTGCAAGAAATCTCCGGGAGTAAATGAAGAAAAAGGATTCGCATCTAGAATATAGAAATTTTCTTTTATTTACAAATTTCTTTCTTTCTTTTATTCATTTGATTTAAGTTTAGATATAGATTTTGTTTAAAGGTACTGAAAAATCCAGTACAATGTCTACTATAGTATGCCGAAATAAAAGTCCTATACTTTTTATTGTGCTTTACTTAAAGTAATGTGTACTTTTACAGAAAGTTACTTTGTTACTTTAGTGAGAGACGTTATTTTTACAAAAAGTTACTTTGTTGCGGGAAGAAATGTTGTGAATGCATGTGATGATGGTTGATTGAAGCCACTCCTTTATAGTTGCCCACAGTCGAGATAGCCATCCTTTTTGGAGTTATTTCTGTAAATGATTTACTTTTTTATTTTTAAAAATCAATTTACTAACCATTTTGCATATCCTCAGGGGCGGCAGCTCTTTTTCGACTTGTTGGAGAATTCAACTCTTCGGTGGGAACAATCGGTAAACTAAAAATTGAAAATAATAATGATCAAATTGCTTATTGATTTACAATATTGATAAATTACAATAGTTTTCACCTGTTCTCATTATGACCGCCAAAGAAACGATAAACACCAATCGATTGTCGCTTCAAGAGACAATGTGAACCAATACGCATTGATGAGAGTTGATTGAGTGTACGTGAAAGTGAATGAAACGTGGTTCGACCCCATTTCTTCGCGAACAGCTCCGTGTTCATCACAATTTCCCATGGATGTCCGCGTGTCCATCGAACGGCGATTTGCTGAATTACACTTTATTTTTAAATCTATTCCACTTTTATTATCGTTTAGAAGATTTTTAAAGTCTACACTATTTGTAAATCGTAAAAACTTACATTTTTTGCCATAATTCCACTCGGTTCCTCTTTAGATGCTTCCAGATCGTTTAACAAAAAGTTGAACAGTTTATGATCGGAACAGCCTAAAAGATAAATTCATAGAAAAAAATCTATTTATAAATTAACAATTAATAAATATTAACAACTTAATAAAACAACTCACTTCGCAAAAAGTTGATTTTCTCCTCGTCGGTCACTTCATTTTCAATGTTGTTGACCATTTTTAGTTTCGAGGTGTTGATCTTCTTTTCTTTTCAAATGAAAGATAGCAATTTATAAATAGATCTTATAGTGAGGATGGAAAATCTGCCAAAATAGAAGATCTGCCAAGAAATTATTCACCGGAAACCCCTTAAGCAACGCCTTTCCATCAACAAACAGGAAATTATTTCTTTCATCTTCGTAAGCAGATGTGAAGACTTATAATTGTCTATTTATTGCATTACTTTTATTTATAGCGCTTTTCAACAAATATTATACTACCAAAATTTTATTAAAATATCGATAAAATGAGATAATCACATGAGAATCATGAAATCGGGAGTGGGACAAATGCGACCTCTTTTTTTGCGCACCTTTTTTTCCGCACCTTGCCCATTAGCGCACCTTTTTTCGCGTTTTAAAAAGCTCTAAAAAGCTAATATTAACCAATTTCTATTCCAAAAGTTGTTTTTCTAGGTAATTTTAGGGCGTAGAATCGAAATTTTGACATATCAGAGCTTGTGGAAACAAACGGACGGAGTTATACAAAGAGAAAAATCGACAATTTTCTGTAATTTGATCTAGCCGTTTTGTCTTTCAAATTGGTTCCACAAGCTCTGATATGTCAAAATTTCGATTCTACGCCCTAAAATTAGCTAGAAAAACAACATTTGGAATAGAAATTGGTTAATATTAGCTTTTTAGAGCTTTTTTTAAAACGAGAAAAAAGGTGCGCTAATGGGCAAGGTACGGAAAAAAAGGTGCGCAAATGTCCGGGTGCGCAAAAAAAAGGTCGCATTTGTCCCACTCTCATGAAATCAACAGAAATAGAAGGCCACGTAATTGTTGAAAAGAGTAAAGATAAAGTTTTGAGATTTACAAATCAGCTCATTATATTATAATGCACAAGTATAACTTGTAAAAAGATTTGGATTTTTGAAGTTTCCGAATTGGGCTTGCAATATTGGTAAATAGAAAAGAAAACTTAAACAGCTCTGAGATGTTGCATGAGTGAAGATGGGATGGTGGTTTGTTCGGAAAATGATGAAGAAAAAGAGGTATTTGGTGAGTTGTGATGGGGATCAGTGTGAGTGTCATCTGATTGTGATTCGACCTCATCTCTTTCTTCACCCCTCGATCCATCATCATCAATACTCGACATGAAAGTTGGAGCCAACTAGAAAAAAAAACTGTCATTATCAACTATAATAGCTTACAGCTTACAATAACTTATCTCACTGCAGTAATTCAGTAAGTTAACTTGTATAATTTTCAAATTCTTCAACTGTCGTCTACTGTTGTTTTACAGTCTTGTAGACATGAGCATTATAAACTACAAAAATGACGAACTGTCACACTATAAACGCTTCTAATTTGCTTCAAATCTGCCGGATTGACATGATCTATAGCTCAAAAAATAGAGAATCTCAAGAGCTTTCGAACGGGCTAAAGCACCCCCAAAAATATCAATGCTAAAGAAAGTTACAGTGGTTTATAGTCGTGACTCGATCGCTTCGACTATGCACGAGTACGGTCCGTTTCGAGACTACAAATCACTGTAACTTTTTTTAGCATTGATATTTTTCGGGGTGCTTTAGCCCGTTCGAAAGTTCTTGAGATTCTCTATTTTTTGAGCTATAGATCATGTCAATCCGGCAGATTTGAAGCAAATTAGAAGCGTTTGTAGTTTGTAATGTCCATGTCTACAGTCTTGTTAATGTATTAGGTTGATGCAAAAGTCTTTTTCATTTTTTTCGTACTTCTTTTGAAAAATAACAAAGTCATCAATTAACCTATGGTTTGCTCTAAATGAAAAGTGTTTATTGTTCAATTTCCCATCTTTTTAAGTCAATTTGGGTTCACTTTCAAGCAAATTCGAGAGTGAAAACGGGTTTTTCATAAAAATCTATAAAAACCTCTATAAAGAAATTGGCTGAATCAATTTCTCTGAAAATCTGAAAAAATATCTAACTTTTTGTGCTCTATCTTTTATTTATTAACATCAAGATTGGTTTCCTTAGCTAAAGCGTCTAAAATGCATCATCGAGCCGTCGCCTTTTTTGACTACCCGACTTCAGGCCCTCAAAAAAATCTAGACATAAGACATTTTAAACTCGTTTTAATGTCATTTTGCAGAAAAATAATTGGCCTTTCGAATGCAATAAACCGTTGTTCAATTGGTGCATTTGTTACTTTTTAACGGAAGTACGAAAAAAATGAAAAAAGACTTTTGCATCAACCTAATAGTTAGTGTGTTGCTCACTTTATTGATGGCTTCAAGCAGATCATGATCGACGCGTTTTTTGTTGAGATTTTTCCTCTCATTGTGTCTTTGCTTCAATAACCGCACAACCTAAACACCTTATTAAATGAAATAATATACATAATTCGGTACTTATTACTTTTTTTTCAATCACATTTTACATCATTTGAGAAAATCTACATGCAAAATGTGTAAGAGGAAAACAGTAACAAGTACGCTATAGCCTAATTGTTACTATTTTCAACCACATTTTTCATTTTATCACCATTTATATAGTTTTAAATTTGACAGCCACAAATAGCCAATTTGACAATTTGACAGCCACTTTGTAAATTTTTACATTTAAAAAAATGTAAAATATAATCGAAAATAGTAAAAAGTACTCATACCGTATTTACTCGAATAGAAGACCGGCCTCGATTATAAGACCGGTCTCGAATAGAAGACGGGGTCTAGGGGGGTGATTGAAATAAATAGAAGACCGGTCTTCTATTCGAGTAAATACGGTAATTCTTTTAATAAGAACAGATAAATAAAAATCGAATTGTTTATCGTTTACTTACTTTATCTGCATGTTGAGGGAAACATTCAAAGGCAAATTGACACCATCCCTCAACCATTTCGTCTGTTCTGCAAAAGACAATGATCAATTTTGAATAGTAAAGCAACAGTGTTGAGAAAGTAAAATGAGATTTCTTTTTCAAACTCACATGTTTTCTAATACATCAGCTCCATCAGGGTGATTGCTTTTGATGTGAATTTTCACATTACCATTTAAATGAGAAGAATGAGCACATTTAGAACAACTTAATTTGTGAACATTTCATTGGAAAATTGTTTGAAATTGGAAATTGTTTGCATTTGGAAATTGTTTTTTTTTCAAACCTGAATTGCTTTTGTTTCCAATGCATTGCCAGATGGTAGCGAATACAATGCATTCTTGAGATCTTTAATTTTACATGACATTTCTGAAAGAAAATATATGATAATAGAAATCGTTTTTTTTTTAAGAAACCTGACACTCGACAGGTTCTTCTTCAGACGATGAACAATTAAGAGGTGATTTCACTTGAAGACCATCATTTTGATTATTCTGCCATTCACTTTTCGGGAGATTTGTTGATAAATCGGATGATGGTAGAGATAAGTTCGGAATCAAATTCGAAAATAAATTATTTGAATATTTAAACGATTCAAGCTTACCTTGCTTTCTTGAAAAACTTTATTCAACTCAAGTAGAAGTAATTGCTCATTTTCTGTGTTAAAATTTTTCTCAATAATGGTTGCAGTGGCCTGAAAAAACTTCAAAATTGTTAGAGAAAAATTGAAAAAGAAAAAAAACCTTTGGTGATGTCTCAGAATGAAAATCATCAGCATATGTAGAAGTTGACGAAGAGGATGCTTCTACCTGAAATTTGCAAATATTTACGCAAAGCTATCACTATTGTGCACCTCATCGGTTTCCTGCTTAACTAAATCGTTCCGAAGTGACTGTGAGATCGATTTTCCATTTCCGTTCGGCTTGTTCTTTGAAGAATTGGCTTTCTAAAGTTTGGATAAATAAATAATTATCGAAAGCCTACCTTTGATGTTTCGAGAATTGCTTTTAAACAATCTCCAACCTAAAATACTCTTGCGTAAATTTTTAGCTCAAAGTTCACTCACTTTTAACGCGTTTGATAAAAAGGGATGTTTCTCGGTGGACTTTTTTTCGGGAACGGTTATCATTTCATCATTTGGAACCTAGAATTCAAATTGTATGCTTTGGTTTTCCGTTTTGCCCTTGCTTATCGATACAAACAGCAAGCTCATCTTTAACCGTTCAGATCTCGGTTTCTAGAACAGCTATCAATCTGCAAATTGTTTCATTGGAAAGCCAAAAATTTCAGCTTTTGATTGCTATCTCATACATAGCAAATCCTCATAGGTGAGTGCCCTCAAATATCGATAGCCTTATTGATAATCGATACTTTCAATATCGATAAGGTTTATGGGTCGTTAAAAAGTTAAGCTCATTAAAAGTTACTTATGTATAAAATAGCAAACAAAAGCTGACATTCTTGACTTTCCAATGAAACAATTTGCAGATTGATAGCTGTTCTAGAAACTGTGATCTGAACGGTCAAACATGAGCATGCCGTTTGTATCGATGAGCAAGTCTACTTATCAAAGCCGCCATAGCCGACTGGCTAAGAGCCATATCTTCGTCGGGAGGTCAAGGGTTCAATCCCAGCTAGATTATTAGCTTTTTCACATGTATATGAAGTTTTTTTCTTCTTTAGGGCTTAGACGTTGTGCTTGTGTATTGCTTGTACCACATTATTCGTGTGAATAAATGTATTTTTTACCGGACTGTTCGATTCGGAGATTGGCCCATTTTCGTTTCGTTTCCTTTTAGATGTGCTCTAAATTTGACATTTTTGCTTTTCATTTTGTGGATTCATTTTCTCAAAACCTTATTATCGTTTGTCTCTTCATATTGTGGAGCGTCACGGAGTTTCTCCACAAATGACACTTCCAAATACCCGTGTTTTACCTGAAATCACTTGTAAAACGTCAAATGAAAACGTTATTATGCTTTAGTAACTTTAGAATATTTAGTTCATATCTTGTTTTTCCAAAAAAAACTCACAAGAATTGAGTACAACTCCACCGTGTCGGTTCCCTCTTTAAGTTTGACGACGGCAAAGCGAGGTACGCTCATAAAGCTAAAAACGAATCAATGAAGAAGAAGAAAAGAAAATTTTGGAAAGAAAATGAATGATGAATAAACATCAATAGATTTTGGTTGTTAAATGGGACAAATGAAGGGACCTTAGGGATGAGTTGAAAGAGATGAAAAGAGATGAAAAGAGTTGTTGAGTGGGTCCTCCTTTATTCTATTTTCTCTCTTCCTCAATGGCTTTCATTTTTAATCAATCATCTGATATTCAAATAATCAACCTTAGAAGCTAAGAATATAGCTAAGAAAGCTAAGAAATTATAGCATTATAGCTAAGAAATTTTAATTAAAAAAAATATTTTGCTGAAATTTTGAAGTAAAAATTCTTTCAGTATAAGAGAGGAGATTTTTTTTTCTTTGGTGGGAAAAGAGAGCAATTTACAGACTAATGGCGTTTGAAGAGGACATCGATGGGGTGAGCGAGGACGAAATTGCGCCAATTAGCCTCGCCTTGCCCATTTCTCCTCCATTCTTCCATCGATGCTCACCCAATTCCTATCCAAAACCTACATCCAATTTCATCCTAACTGTCAAGAATTACTTAAATACAAGTAATTTTTCAAATCAATCAAAAAAATAAGTTGATTGGCTTTGGCTTGGTTGGTAGCTTTATCTTTTGCTTTAAAGATTTTGTTGTAGCGAAACAACCTTGTTAACTACCGTAAATACTGTAATAGTACCCCACCCCCATCATGACGGTGCGGAGCATTGCGTAGTCTAGCTTTGGACGCGCTTTTCTCGACACTGGTTTAGGCTATAATGCGCGCTTAGGTATCAAAAAATAGCTGAAATTCAGGGCTATTTTTTGATACCAAAGACGCATTTTTGAAAGTACGGGCGCTTTGAAAAAATGAAATACTAAAAAACTTTTGCGACTACCCGACTGTACGAGGGGGGTGGGGTACTATTACAATATTTACGGTATGTTCATTTAAACTGTTCAAATATCATTTAAACATTTGAATCCTTTTTACTTCAATCAGAAAATACAGCTTAATTCAATTAGGTAACAAATTGTATAAGATCATTATCCTAATTTGTGTTTTTCAGTTAGAAAAAAACAACAACTCAGTAACAAATTATTTGAACGAAATTTTTTTTTTGAGTAAAATTTGATCAATTTGTGGAGGCACTTTAAATGAGAAATCTTGAGAAATTTTGGAGATTAAATAAGCGCTTCCAAACAGGAAATTCGAATTTCTCCTCTACTCGTAAAAGAAACTGAAATTAAAAGAAAAAAGAGAAATCGCCGTTTCGATAATGGATGTTGGAAAGTAATCCGAATAAATCAAAAAGTATTGGATGGACGAATGTAAGAGATGAATCATTGACCTTAGAAAAGGAGAACTCCTTAGGAAACAATTGATCTTTTAGTGACTAAAAGTTGTGATTAATTGACGGGAATCAAATGGATACTTTTACGGGGCTTTTTTTTGGACACTTTACTAATTTATCTTTAGTATTGGGTTAGTGGGTATGACTTTGCACGTTTATTCAAATGAAATTTTTATTTAGTTACTCACTTAAAAGCATTCGATAAAGAGGTCATTATTTTATATGATTTTTGCCCATTTTACTGGTAGAAGTCAATGCCTTTCTCGTAAAAATCTTCGATTTTAATGCTAACTAATCTGTTGTCCATTTTTAACCTCTTCTTCGGAATCAAAGTGTTTCTGCGCATTGCTCAAATCATTGCTCATCGTTCGGAATATGTAGATGCAAGATCAGGGCTGTATGTCGGATGAACCATCACCTCCCATCCAAGCGAGTTTAGTTTAGAATAAGTCATCAGTATGCAATCTCTGCAGGTTTGAAGGATGATTTTTCTCTTTTAGGTCTTTTCTCTGGCAAAGATTTAGCTGACTTGTCAAGTTGCCCTGGGTATTTCAGTGAGTTGAGTCTTGACTTGCTATCCAAAAGTTCCCAGTAGATAGGATCTTCCAAATCCCAAAACACCGAGATCATCAACTTCATCAGATCATATGCGCATTTGGCTTGACGTTGTGTTCGGGCTTTTCCCCCACAGCAACTCATTGGCACTTTCTCCGAAAGTTGACAGTTAGAATCGATTTTCATCCTCTGTGACAATAAGGGGTAAAAAAGATTTGCGCTCATATCGAGAAAGATGAGCGGCACTGATTGAAACGCGTTGACATTTCTGGGTGTCTGTTAAGTCATTTGGAATCCAAGTTCCTAATATGATTTTAACCCAATTTTATGCAACTATTTGAGTATTTTTGTATGACTAACTAGTAGCTCTTCTGCCATTTCGCAGGAAGAAAGCTTGTTGTTGATTTGAAGAATTTCGAGCAACTTGGCATTATTCAGCTGGACTGCTAGATGAGCTCTCCTTGTCTTCGAGAATTTATCCCCAGAACGGAATTTACTAAACCAGTTTGCACATGTCCGTAGTGGAGCTGATCTTTTCCCATAAATGTTCTCAATATTAGCTGAACACTGAAGAGGCTTGTGTTCTCGTAAAAATTCGTATAAAATAACGTGTCGCAGACGTCCAGATGGTAGATTTTCAATAGTTAGAATAAAGTAAAGTAAAATTCCAAAAAGTGAAATGTCGAAAGTGAAAATCCATTGTTTTTGCTAGATTGAATGTTCACTTATCTATTTTCCACATGCTCCGTGTTTACAGCTTTGAGATTTAATTTGACAAATGCAAAGTCATACCCACTAACCCAACACATTGTATTCAACGATTTCATTTTGATGTACACTGATAATAAAATAAAAAAGCCTGAATAAAGAGTGAAGGAAAGATCAATTGGATGGAAAAATCAATTGGAAATGATACTCGATTGACAGAGCTACATTCTAAAAAAGAGAAAACTTTTGAAGTAAGCATTGAATTGCAGTAATTGCAATTGAAAATTATCAAATTGATGGGAAATTTTACGAGAAACGGAGAAGATTCTCGAGATCAGAGTAAGAGGAGGAGGAGGAGGATTCCATGTGAGGTGAGAGAGGAGATTGACCGGGGGTCGACACACCACAAAACGGCTAATGTCTGGCGCCCTATTGCTCTTCACCCATCCCCCCGTCCATTCCTATCTCTGCTCTCCGATTGCGCCCAATCGCGTCGAGCAATCAATTGGTAATTGCCCCCTCTCCCCTTCAGCCATTCCCCATCAGGCACTCCCTCTTTTCTCTGACTTTTCAACAATCGATATAGGTTTTGGTAATTGGGATTGAGCTGCTGCAAAGGCTAATTGTGAGACACAGGTTTTGCCTTGTCCTGTTTGTGTCCTGCTTGTGTCCTAAATGACACGATTTTTATAACAATCAACTGCTCAATAACCTTAAATCATCTTAATCCCACTGTGAAATTGAGTGTACCAATGTTTGTTAAAGCACAAATATAGTATTTTTTCAATGATCTTTTTGATAAAATTGTAATTGACTATATAAAATCTTCTTCACTAGCAAAGCGCCGTTTTAAACTAAAATTCCGACTCGAGTGGTAAAGATGGAGTGAACGAGTAAAAGAGAGGGATGGGGAAAAGGAGGGATGGATAAATGCGGAGATTCTATCTGTGCTCACTGCCCGAATTGGGAGATGGACTGTGTTTGTGCACAGTAATTGCCCTCATTCCATCCAAGTGCTCTTCTCTAAAATTTGGCGGCCGTTTCTTCTTCTTTTTTTTTTCTTTGCCTCTTTCCTCATCACCACTTTCAATGTCTAGATCGTGTACAAATGGATCATTTTACTTGTAAAAGGATGATCAAATTGAAAACAAACTAAATATAATGAAATGAATGATAATGAAATCAATGAGAAGTGAATTAGTCGTTGAATCGACAAATGTAAGACGCAAAAATCGTTCTTCTTCAAATCTTCAAAGTAATTGTGATACTATTATCTTCCTGTCACTTTCCCTTTTCGGTTATGGCTGACTGTGAGTATAATCGAATATTCCCGTTATTGTAATTAATAATTCCAAAAAATTAGAATATATTGATGGATAAAAAAGGGTTTAAAAGTAAAAATCGTTAAAACATTAATGATCATGGTCATGTCATTGAAAAAGAAAACTAAAAATGATAAAATTGAAGAGAAATTAAGTGCCAATGGGAGAAAAAGAGCGGATTTTGAGAGAAAAATGGAGTCTTTTGGGGCAAGAGACACCCTCCCAATTGACTATCGATCGATCAGCTCTTTTGCCCCACCAACTAGGCCATCCCCTCCTCCCCCTTCTCCCCCCTCCACTCCCTCTTTTCACTCCGATCCGCCTCGGCAATTTCTCCTTTCTTTCATGCGAGAGAAAGCTCCTCATTCAGACTCTCTCACAGTTAAATTATACGACTTCCAGATGAAATGTTCCAGATGAAATTCACCGACAAAACTAGGAAAACTCTTTTCCTATATTTGAAAGTTGAAATTCACATATGGCCATTGTGAAGATTTGATATTAAAAGTGAATGGCTTTCCGCGAATCTCATTCAACAGTCGATTGTGCCTTTCAATTGACGAATTTCAATATGTGCAAATAAATGCAAAAATAGAATGCCAATTCAAATATACGAAATGTTCACGCGGTTGAGCACTTTCTTTTTTTTCAATGGTAATTTTAAGTTTAAGATTGTCAACATATTGTAATAGTTTAATAAATGAAAGTGTTTTGGCAAGTTGGTTCTTTCAAATTTTACTTAAAGTAAACCCGTTTTGGGGGAATAGTGGCTCACCGAATAGCAAATTAGATAATCAAAATTTAAAGTAAATACATCGAAATTTAAGGGAGTGGGACAAATGCGACCTTTTTTTGCGCACCCGGACATTTGCGCACCTTTTTTTCCGCACCTTGCCCATTAGCGCACCTTTTTTCGCGTTTTAAAAAGCTCTAAAAAGCTAATATTAACCAATTTCTATTCCAAATGTTGTTTTTCTAGGTAATTTTAGGGCGTAGAATCGAAATTTTGACATATCCGAGCTTGTGGAAACAAACGGACGGGGTTATACAAAAAGAAAAATCGACAATTTTCTTTAATTTGATCTAGCCGTTTTGTCTTTCAAACTGGTTTCACACGCTCTGTTATGTCAAAATTTGAATTCGACACCCTCAAATTACCTAGAAAAGCAACATTTGGAATAGAAATTGGTTAACATTAGCTTTTTAGAGCTTTTTTAAAACGCGAAAAAAGGTGCGCTAATAGGCAAGGTGCGGAAAAAAAGGTGCGCAAATGTCCGGGTGCGCAAAAAAAAGGTAGCATTTGTCCCACTTCCAAATTTAAAATAAATAAATCAAAATTTAAAGTAAAATACATCAAAAATTTAAATAAACAAAGTAAAAGTTTTGGCCTAAACATAAGGCGTAGACACCTATTCAGAACAAAATATAGTTGTTAAAGAACAAAAATATACTAGCAATAACTAGATAAAGCTTTAACGATCTAATTTCGAGTATCTATTAAGAGCTAGCCTAACTAAAGAGCAACTAACAATAAGAACTAGCGAAAATAGCATAACGATCAATAGGATTTGATAAATTACATAATTTAGGAATAGAAAGAATGAAATAGTCAAGGAAAGTGTTTGTTGGATGATTGGTGAAATTGAATTCAAAACAAAGCTTTCAACAGAATCGACACGTTTTTGGACACAATGCTCGCATCATGTGATGAATGGCCGGAACTCTAAAAAATTTCATTTTTCTAATCATTTGATGAAAAAAATGAAAGAAATAGCTAAATAATTGGGTACTTTTGCATCTTTACCCCGCCAACCAAACAGCATAAATGTAAATTTTCCCCGCGTATGTCTCGAGTTTGGGGGAAATTGTAGAAATGAACTTATTATGTCTATATTCATTAGTTCTATTGGGTTGGTGAATTGAAAACTGCCGGACTTTGAACTAAAATTTATTCAACATAAAACCATAAATTCATTCCAAATAATTCCATTATTATTGACGACTTGTGCCCATTTTACAGGCAATTTGCGGATTCCTCTTTCGTAGTAGGATTTTGGTTTGTGTGTGAGACAAGTGTGAGACTCGAAAATGGAGGACTGGAGATGTCCCAGTTTGAGCACTTTCTTCAAAAGAAACCCATTTTGGTGTCAATGGAAAAGTTGTAGAGAATCAAAAATGAAGCTTATATCCAAATTTTCAGAACTATTCAAAAACTGGTTTTCAAGAAATGTCAAATTTACGAATTTGCACTAAACTTGCATTTTAAGCGAAACTACTAAGTGCATCTTTTTGGAAATTTGGCTATAAGCCCAATTTTTGATTCTCTACAACTTTTCCATTGACACCAAAATGGGTTTCTTTTGAAGAAAGTGCTCAAACTGTCACATATGACAATAGCCCGCAGTTTTCAATTCACCAACCCAATAGCTTAAATCTATTCAAAACCATATCAAAACTAAAATAAAAAAATGCTAAAATTCAATGATAAAGGAAGATGTCAAAGATCAATTTGCATACTAACTTATCTTTGGTACAGAAGTACCGACAATTGTTATATTGGTTCTACGGTCGACTCTTAATTGCATTAGGCAATCCCACCTGCATCTATCAGCCGTCCACCAGCACACCGTGATCTTATCTTCACAAATTTCTAAAAAAATTAAGAATTAATTTTTATTTCATATGTTTACGAGTTATTTTCTTCACTGGCTCAAGCTCGAGACTGTCGAAATGTTCCGAATCTTTATGTGGTGGATGGAAAAATGGAGAGCTCTGAAAAATTATTAAAATTACCCTATTTATTCCGATAAAAGAGCCCTTTAGATTTTTTTATTTTTCGAATTTGTCAACTCTTGGATAGCAAAATGCTCAACTTTTTAAAGAAACTTCGAAAGGCTTTAAATGATAGTTATAAACTAAAAAAAAGCTGAATGACATTGAAAACCGGATGAAAATCCGATAAAAACATTCATTTTTGAGCTCTTGAAAATGGTATACTGTAGCTAGGGCAAGAAAAAGAATTTTAGAGGGAGATTGAAAAATAGAAGAGCCGGCTTTTGTATTAGAATGTTTACGATATATTTATCACGTATTTATCGGTTTCAAAGCTAATCTTTGCCATATTATATCCGTAATATATTATTATCTCAGAAAAACTATATTATTATAATATTATATCCCAGAAAAAAGTTCGGAAAGAGGGCAAGCAGGCAAGGTTCCATTTCTTAGGCAGCTAGTTGCTAAAAAAACCTTCTTTGGCTTTGCCGAAGTTTCAGGCGAGGGGTAAATGCTTCCTTGCCCCTCTGGGTATTGGCCTGCTATGAGGTTATAGGAGTATAGCGGATTTACCACATAGGTTAACTTCGTTCTGAAACTATTCAACTATTTAAACGTTATCATCATATCAAATGATGAAAAACAAAGCAGCTCACCCTTGCTCGAGCAAACGGCGCACTGATTTCCTTGCTTTGCAAACATCCATACATTCGATTAATCTTTGCTAAATCAACTTCCGAAAAATCTTTTGCATTGCCAATTGTTGCCGCTGAAATGAATGCCGTTTTTTTCTTTTCTCAACACAGCGAAATTTTTGTTTGTTCGTCCGTAGAAGGATTTAAAGAGAGAAAAGATTAAAGAAAATTAAAGTTAAAGAAAAAAAAACGTTAAAGAAATCCTATTCCTACTCGAAAATATGTCAATCAAACCTTTTTGTTTTGGCAACATCGTAGGAAAACCGTTTTTCGAAAAAGCTAAGCTATCATAATGTAGAATGGATTTATAATCATAAGATTGTCCATAATAAGATGTTTTTGATAGATCGACTTTTCCAAATTGATCAAGTGCAGCTAAAATGATCAATATTTTCAATTCAAATCTTTTCAAATACCTCGATCAATGTTTTGCCATATGATATCAATGAAATTATCTCGATCCCATCTTTCTAAAACTTTTATTCTTAAAATTTAAACGAAAATGAGCTCAAAACCGACCATGCTCATGATAAAAGCCAACAACGTGCATCATTTCATGAATAATCGTTGCATATTCCATGCATCCGTTATCCAATGAAAGCACTTGCACGCCCGATGTTCGACCCACTTCCGAAAAACAACTGAATAGTGTTTGTGAAAATTGTGACACATTTTGACTACGCACCCATCCACCTTCCCAATAAAAAGATAGTCGGCTTCTCCGCCGGCTCTTGGCACAAAACGAATGCACGTCTTTTCGTGGTACTAAAACTTTGACAGTGATCTAATTTTGATATGATAAGTGGAGGTGGATTTTTTTGGTGAACGAACGGCTTTAACAGCTCGAGCGAGAAGAGCTCTCTCGTGAGTACTGTAATGAGGAGAAATCGCATAAGGAATGCGAGCATTTGGCCATAATTTTGCCACTCTTGACACTCCATTTCTTTTATGGCGAACTCTTTCGGCCCAGGGTCCTCTGATATCGGAACTGAAAATCTCTTTCATGTATTTAGATTTATAGTACTGGACAATGAAATATCATATTCAGAAAAAACACTTTCGCACTTTCGCGCGTCTGTAACTCCCTTGTCTTTGAGTTTATACTATTAGTGTTATACATTTTCTGAAAGCTCTTTTCAAGGGCTACACAATGGTAATATTAATATTTAGAAATACGGTAAAGACAAGGGAGTTAAAGACGCGCGAAAGTGACGATCGTTTTTCAAATATGATATTTCATTGTCCAGTAGTGTACGTAAACATGATATGAGTGCTGAACTTACCGATATCCATTCACAGCCTCTATCGGAATCATTTCTTTTTTCTCAATTTCATCTAAAGCAATATTATAAAGATTTTTCTTTAACAAACCTTTAGCTAGTCGGTCTGCATTTATAAAATCTTCATCGGAAAGAAAGGCAACCTCGGGCTCTGATTCAGATTCAGATAAGATCACTGACGATGACTGTAACAAAGTGATTGTTTTTGTTGTTGAAAACCTTATAAAGTTCATTTCTTTTTTTATAAAATAAAAACTTATTTAAATTAATAGGAAAGCTCACCCACACAGATCAGAAAAAGAGCTGCCGCCAAAGGCAGCAGCCTATCCAAATCCTTCATGGGGCCTCCAGCCTGCAAATCTGAAACAAAGTATTCTCTGAAAAAAAGTATTCTGCTTTCCCTGGCAAATCGAAAAGGAATTTCAAAATTTAATAAAAAGTTTTAGAGTTTAGCAAATAAAATTTAAAATAAATAAAATTATTTTTAAGTTCATCCTCAAGAGTTTGGTCGATTAATTCAAAAAAACGCTTCAATGACATTGTTTCTTGATAGAAGAACAATGTTTATTTGAACTTTTTGCTGAATTTATGCGATTTTTTTTCATTGCCAGACGACCACCCGGGTTGCCAACCAAATCGTTGAGTGAAATGAAAAAAAAAGGGAAAGGATGAGAGTAGAAAAGAGAAAAGGGAAACCATCACGAAAGAGAAAGAAATGAAAAAGCGAGAGGAGAAAATAGTGGAGGAAACCAGTCTTTTGTTCTCACTCTTATGCCACTTTACACACATGGCACTATGCAATATAAAAAGTTCCGTTTTCATCTAAAGATACAAGATGATTGAAATTCTGGAGTTACATCTGGCTTCGAGAAGACTTGATTGTTGTCTCTAGTTTAAGGTTTTTCTGAAAAGATTAAGATAAAATGACTATGAAATAGATATTGGACAAATCGACTCAAAGCAGCTATTAGAAAAAGCTGCAAAAAAAGTGAATGGAATCAATCGCATCAAACTTAGAATCCGACGATCGTTTGTATGTGAGTTCTTTGTGTTTGTTTGTCTGTGTGTTGGACTCTTTTTCCTTTTTCAATCATTTTCTCGTCTTTTTTTTCCATGGAAGTGAGTGTGTCCGTGTCTCTGCGGGCAATCTCGTTGTCCAGAGGGCCTTTTCGAGAGATTTCCCTCGGCCAGAAATTGCAAACATAGAGGTGTGGAAATTCGACAAGTGTTCCGCATCAGTCACACCGGTTTTTTTTAAAATAGAAATCGATTATATGATCAGTTGTTAGAATAAAGAGAATTGTTATATTAATGAAAAAGAAGATTTTGAATGAAAAAGAAGATTTTGAATGAAAAAGAAGATTTTGAATAAAAAAGAAGCTTTTGATACAGTGAACCAAGGTATGATTTCGGTTTATCTGGGAAGCTACCTTAGATAGGATTTAGGATAGGATTTTGAAGCTATCTTAGATAAAATTTAGGATAGAATTTTGATAGGGTTTTTGAAAACTTTAGAGAACTTGACGGTGAAAATCTGGATCATATTTTTCTCTGCTGGAAAGTGGGAGCAAAAGAATCCATGCTAATGGCTGCCAAAGAAATGTGGTTGGGTTTTTGCAAAGCACAATTTAACAATTGCAAGAAAAGTTTGAGAAGTTTGAAGCCATTTTGGAAAAGCTATTGCTCTCTTTGTACAAAAGAATAAAAAACGAATGGTAGTTGAAAGTGGCATGAGCACTCTCGCCCTCACCTTGCCCACCTTCCCTCCCTTCCCCCACCTCCCCTAACTCGTCTCTCAATTCCCTTTCACTCAACGATTAGCCTCACGTTTTTACACCAACAAAAGATACAATCTAGCTTTTAGACCAATTCTTCGATCCCATCTAGATAGAAAGTTTTCTAGCATTGATCTCAAGAGCGAACATTGCTACTTTTATCACGAGTGTCACTCTCTATTAGCCCTTTTATGATTCTTTACCCTTTTGTATCTATTGGAGAACAACCAGTCTTTGTGTCTGAAGGTCATAATTGTCTTTTTACATAATGTGACTATTCTCGAAGCGAAAAATGGCTGCTTCTACTGAGGCTATCAACTTTGACAAGGTCATCTAAAAAACCAGATTTTCTATGAGCTTTCAACAATAACAATGCATTACAAAAATATTGAAACTATAAAATGCTAACATTATACTTGTAATCAACAGTTTTCTTTTATTTTGAAATCTATGTGAAATCAATCTTGAAATCTAAAATGTGAAATCCAATAACCTCGAGACAAAATTATCTACCAGTTTGCAAGGGACAAATTCTAAACTACAAATTCTTCTAACAAGGGACAAATTCTAAACACTGATAAATCTTGAAAGTCAGCTTAAAAGCTATGAAACTTAATTGAAATGGAAAACGAAAAAAGTCGTTAAGATAAGGTGTCGCTGGTCGATGAATGGCAGCCTTTCCAGATTTCATTAGATGAAAAACGAAAACGCTAGAGGAGGATCGGAAAACAAAAGACAAAGACAAAGACAAAGGTGGAAGATGAAATTGAGAAGAGGTTCCCTTGATCGGCCTCTTTCTCCTCCTCCATCATCTCCTCGAGGGTGTCGATTGAGGGGAACGGGTTCCAGTCCCCCGTCGCTCTCCTCACTGGCACTGCCATTGCCAATTCTTTTTCCTCTTCTTTTATTTCATATCTTTTTTTCCTCTCAATTTTTCCTTTTCTTCTTCGTCTACTTTTCTCCTACACTCTCCCCACTTTCACTTGACGTTAATACTAATTTTGCCTGATCAAATCTTCTCAGATTTATGTGATTGCACAGGAAAGATCACTGATCGAGAATTGAACTACAAAAGAGAAAAACTAAAAGAACTTTAGTCCTGTTTAAAAAGTTTTCTTGTTTAAAAGTTTTATTCTTGTTTTATCCTTTGAAAACTTCAAAAATTGTCTCGCTGACGAATTTGATGCTCCAGTTACCGTATCCTATAGGCGTGATTGGATTGAAGCCAAGAATCGATGGGTGCATGATACTCGATCACCACAAAATTCATATAAATAATAAAAGTTATAGAAAACTTTTCACTTTTGAATTTAATAAAAAAAACTTTGAACAGTTTGCTTGGCTTATTGTTTGTTGCATTGTTAAAGCTCATTTTGAAAATGATTTCTATCGGTGAAAGCTGTTTTAAGTAAAATCTTCTGTGTGCTGTATTTATTTTAGAATAAAAAGCTATAGTAACTTTTTTTAGGTGTAAGTCGAGAATTGGAAGCTTGACTTTATCAAGCAGACAATAGCGGGTCAACGGCAGAGATGGCGTCGGCGGCGCCACCGTCTCGTGCCTCATATGAATCAGATGAAATCGAGCAAATGTCTTCGGTTTGTTTTTTTAGAATTGATTTAGAATCAAGTAAAGTAGAGTTTTAAGCATAGTTCGATTGATTCATTGTCAGGAAAAAGACTAACCCGTTCTTTTAGGCGAGTTCTGAAGAGGTGCCACTCACGCTGAAAAAAGAACCGATTGTCATCAAAGGAATCGGTCACATTACTTTGTTAGTGTTTGATAAGGCTTTTATTTTCTTTGAAAATAAAATTTCAGCAACGATCTTGATCTCATAAGGAAATTTTTAGATTTGGATTGAACTCACGCTTCGACACCGAATTTCCCCAAACACTAATTGGAAGGTGAGTAAAAAGTGACTCATTTTTATAGTGGATTGTTTAAATCTTTTTTTTAATTATTAACATTTTCAGGGTGGCTCCCGAAGAATTGAGTGCTACATTGAAACGAATAAATCTTGTATTGAAAAGGCATGTCGAAGTTTCAGGAAGGTTTGTTTTAGCACTAAAAGCTAATACTATCATTGGAAAAGTTGTAGGCATCAATTTTACATAATTATGTCTAAATTTTTACACTCTAGATGGCTGGCTTGTGGTTTATTGCTGTGTTGCTGTTCTCTCGGATGCTCGCTCTGGCCGGTGATATGTCTCAATCGAAGGGTAAACTTTACTTTCATTAATGGATACATCGATTTTCTATACCGTAAAATAAATAATCTTCTAAAAGTTAAAGTTAAAATTTTAAAAAAAGATTCTAGGCAATCTCAGCGCTCGAAAAAACTCTCGATTACGAGAATCATCATTTGTATCACAAATTGGGTCTTCATTGGAGTCTTGGTCGAAGTAATGCTGATTCCAGGTAAATTTCTGATAATGAGAAACTAAAAACTTCATAATGAGTTGAAGATCTAGACAATTTGCAATACCATATGAATGGGTAAATTTTAGATTAACCGAGTATGTGCTTCTTCTCGATTTCATTCCAAAAATCCCACTTCTTGCCCCTGATTAATTCTAAATTGATTCAATTTTCACTAGGCTTGTGTTTCGGTTGAACCGGAAACGTTCTTTTTCGGTTCGGTTTCGGTTCCGGTTTCAGTTAACCGAACCGAGCCGAAAGACTCATCTTTTCGGTTGGACCGAACCGAACCGAACGATTTCGGTTGACTTCGGTTGAACCGAAAAGAGCCAACCGAAACATAAGTCTAATTTTCACCTTTATTTTTACTTATTTTAGCTTTTTTAGCTTCATTTTCTGTTTAAAATCAACTCTTATTAGCCGAAAAAAGCATTTAATACAACTACGGGATATTTGTTAGTCAAAAAATTAAGATAAAAATAAAGATTACTCACTCATTTCTATTAAGAAATATGTCCAAAAATATAAGAACAAAATTTTGCCTTGCTTCCAATAAGTGAATCATCTTTATTTTTAATGATCCAAATCTTTATCCTCATTAATTAATCCAATTGCCGCATCGCTCTATTGGCGCAGTCGGTTAGCGCATGGTACTTATAGTCTTAAGTGATGCCAAGGTCGCCGGTTCGAGCCCGGCATAGAGCAGATTTTTTTTGTGAAATTTCTATTTGCTTTCTCGTCTAAAATATCTAAAAATGTAGTCAAACAAAAGAATATTGCCATGAAAAAAAAATCGTTTCCTCTTGTCATCGCACTCTTGTTGCCACACGAAAAATGTTCTGTCAAACAGATTTTGTGTAGATTGAAAGCTAGTTATTTATATACTTTGAAAGTATTCTTTCCCACCAACTCTCTCTTTTTCTATTCTCATCTTTTAGTGCCTATAGAATATTCATTTAGCTGTTTTAAATGAAATTTTGCGTTTGAAATTTCACGTTTTCGTTCTTTCAACAACAACAAAAAAAATCAAACCCGAGTTTACGATTGTACAGTTTCTCTTTGTTTCATAAGTTTTATGCTAATCTTTTTTTATTATAATATAATCAAATTAGATATAGAAATTGATTTGTCTTTTTAAAGTGTTCAAAAATAATAATTATAGATTTTTGTACATAAAATTTTCTTTCTTTTCTTTCTTTTCTTTCATTTTTTTTATTACATAATGCGTAAATATCGTATGCAAAAAGAAAAAAAAGTTTCCCGTGTAAATACGAAGATAAAAACAATAAAGAATGACTGATACCTATGAATTTTGTGTTTTTCAAAAGAACTCACGATTCAAAACAAAATCAAAATAAAGAGAAAACAATGAAAAACTGCAATTTTGGGTGAAAAATTTTAATATAAAATCTCTGTTATGTATCAAATATGAAAAAAAGTCTTGTGTTTAAAAGTTTCTAAATAAATTGTTATTATAAATTGGACTTTCTGTCGATTTTCACCCCCACTTTGCATTTATAATAAATACAAGGAAAAATAAAGGGAAAATACACTACTGGACAATGAAATATCATATTCAGAAAAAACATTCCTTTCGCGCATCTGTAACTCCCTGGTCTTTGAGTTTAAACTATTAGTGTTATACATTTTCTGAAAGCTCTTTTCAAGGGCTACACAATGGTAATATTAATATTTAGAAATACGGTAAAGACAAGGGAGTTACAGAGGCGCGAAAGTGTTTTTTCAAATATGATATTTCATTGTCCAGTAGTGTAAATTCTAAGATATTAAATCTACAAAATGGGAGGCCAATGATCCACGCAAATACAGCAAATTGGTATGCAAATTGCAGACTAGACTTTCTCTTGAAAAGCTCCTATTGATGGGCACATTCGAAAACTCTTCTATGAAAGTTACACAGAAGAGGCAAAGAAAAAAAGGGTAAAGAATAAATTATTAAAATAACACACAAAAATAATTTAACGAGTTGACAATTTGATGAGATTTTTTTTTTTCAGTTGAAAATGCCATAGTCGTAGTTTGGTCGACCGGCCGCATAACTGTCAACATAGGCTTTGTGATGAGAGAGGGGTCTCAATGCAAATTTCACCTAAAATTAGCACTTCTAAATTGTTCTTAAAAAGTATTCAGGCTTAAAAAGTGAATCCTTTTGTTGACTTCACAGTACAAAGCTTTAGTTCTTAACGCTAAGCAACTCTTGCTTGAACTTGCCTGGAAGCTCTTTTTTTTTATAGATTTATATATGTTGTGTCCGATTTAGATTGAACTTATCGCGGACGTCCGATTTAGATTACTGGACAATGAAATATCATATTTGAAAAACGATCGTCACTTTCGCGCGTCTTTAACTCCCTTGTCTTTACCGTATTTCTAAATATTAATATTACCATTGTGTAGCCCTTGAAAAGAGCTTTCAGAAAATGTATAATACTAATAGTTTAAACTCAAAGACAAGGGAGTTACAGATGCGCGAAAGTGACAATCGTTTTTCAAATATGATATTTCATTGTCCAGTACTGTAGATTACAGTCTATATCGGACGTCCGATTTAGATTCAATCTAAATCTTATATAGATTGAACAATAGTACGTCTTATATAGATTGAACAATAATATAAACATGCTTAATATATGTTCTTAAGCGTTTTCTGTAGTTTTTAACTTTAATAGGATAATAGTAAGCATTTAATAGGAAAACAAGAAAACAAAAAATTCTCAAAAAAAGACAATAAAATTTCTTTGAAAAGCGCAGAAAATTGCAAAAAAAAAACGCTTAAGAACATATATTAAGCACGTTTATTATTGTTCGATCTGTATCGGACGTCCGATATAGACTGTAATCAATAAAAGACCTTTGAAAAATGCAGAAAACTACAGAAAACACTTAAGAGTATATATTAAGCATGTTTATATTATTGTTCAATCTATATAAGATTTAGATTGAATCTAAATCGGACGGAAATCTAAATCGGACACAACATATATTTAAAGAGGAGATTCTTTTTTATATATTCACTAAAATTTTCAGCACAAAAAAGGTACTCAAATATGGGATTTTGCTTCGTTCAAAAAATTCGCTTAAAAACTGTCTATTTTGACTAAAATCTATGTTTTAAGTACTCTTTTTCAAAGTAACTTTTAGAAAAAAACGGCTCGACGGAGTTAGCTGAAAATTTTACTGAATATATAAAAGAGTTTCCTCTTTCTTTCGCTCAAAAAAAAAATCAAGAGTAGTTTCGAATTGAACAAACGAGCTAGCGGCTTCTGAAAATAGCCCTTTTGACTACTTTTCTTCTCGCTTCTTAAAAACCCCAAAATGAAACCATTTCAAAATATCTCAAAAGACATTGTATAAAGGACAAATAGCTTTCGAAAGCTTTTCAAATAGCTTTATATATAAAGGGCTTTTGAATGGTACAAAGCATGCTTTGATTGATAACCTGATTTGTTATAAAATTGATTTTTTTAGAAAACGGCGGCTATTTTCCGAACAACTAAATACATCAACTTTTAGCTTATAACATTTTCTTTTGAGAAATATGAAAAGTGACCTCAGGTTGCCGCTGCATTCTTGCAATATAAGCGCCCATTTTCGGGTAGTGAAGCCCAGGGAAATAGTGGAATTGAGTGTGCGGATTGAGGGTGATCAATTCAAGGCGCTCCATGAAAGGCCACAACAAGATATCTGCATAGCCAATGTTTCGACCTAAGAACAAAGCTAATGTTTTTCTTTTGCATTATTTCCAATTAAACCTCCATAGAATTGATCAGTCAACAAACTCTCGGCGTTGCGTAGAGCTGAATGCAAGCTGTTGTCCACCTGTATTTCTTATGGTAATTTCAACTTTTCCATTTCACCTGTCGCATCTGTTGGGGAGAGGTGGCACGGAAGAACTCGAAGAGTACGTTCATTAGCTAAAGTTAACGTTCATTAAAAATTGAAGTTCATTAGAGTTCATGAAGAATTGAGGTTCATTAACGTTCATCAACGTTCATTCATTAACTAGACTTAGCTTTGGAAAGTTTTTTCTTTACCGGTGACAATCTTTCGAGAACAATCTTTTGCATTCCTTTGTCGTAGGGATCCTAAATATTTTCTTTACAATTAATTCAAATTACAATTTGTCCCAATTTAGAAAGAGATTTTTGATCGAAACGTTTCACAATCAAAAAGGGTTTCTTTAAAACCATTATACAATTTAAAGAAAAGCACCTTTGGGAGAACAGAAGTCGAAGGGAAAAGATCATCCAAATATTCGCAAATCACATTCGACTCCCAGAGAATCTGAGCCAAAAATTCTACTTTATAACACAAATTTTGTCTACTTTTCCATTGATTTCAAGCGCTGGCACTCTTCCGAGTGGACTCTTTGCGAGAAACCAAGCTGGTCCTTTATCTGGGTTCACATTCGTGATCTCGACACTGAAATTTATATCATCTTACTTAAGAGTTAAATGGAATTTAAGAAAAATAAAGAAAAAAAAATTGATACGGGATGTTTTTCTTGGCCAAATAGATGACAACTCTTTGCGCAAATGGACAAAATCTCATTGAGTAGAGACGGAACGAATGAGCAGCGAGTGGAGGCTCGTATGAACCTGTAGATCATTGTAAAATGTGTAAATCGAGTCTGATTTTGTTATTTATATTGTGTATTGCATTTTAAGCAACCTGGATGTAAAGTAAGAGAGTTGAGGCCTTTCATATTGGTGCCGGCAACTCCATAGCTATGATAGCGATTCGGAGACGGTACAATCGCTGGATGATAAGACTGAGATGATGAAAGGTTTTGATGTTGTTGCTGAAAATTTTGTCTTTACAATTACTGCGATTCTTTTCTTTATTATCTTTCCACTATCATATCTTTACATTCTTTTCAATTCAATTCAATTCAATTCCTGCTTTCTGTCAATACAGATGTGAAAAGAAGGGTTGATTGGATTGAGACAGCCAGCTGGGTTGTTTACTCATCTTTCGTCTTTCCATCCGGTTTGATTCACAGCTGATCGTGTTTATTTTAGATCTATCGTTATCTTTCATTTAGCAAATAGCTCTCTACAAAAGAAATTTATTAAAGAAAAATCGTTTAAAGTGAATAGACAAATGGAGAAATTGAATGAATACTGGTTGTTATCGTTTCTAGCCCAAATTGGACTGGTTGTTATCATTTCTAGCCCAAATTGGATAAAAGTTCTTAGGATTTAAAAACCCGAAACTATCTTTCAAATACTTACTGACGACTGTCATTTGTTAATTTACAGCTAAAAAACCCGCCTAGCGACGCCTTCTAATACAATGTTTTGGGGCCCGCACATTCGTCACCGCGGCGCAGTCGGGGAGCGGCTTGGCCCGCACGACGTCCGCATGATCGACCTTCCGGGTTCGACCCGCATAGTCCCATTTGATTTTGAACTTTTTGATTTTTTATTTTAAATGACACCACCATATTATATTTGAAGACTTTAAAAGATTTCAGTTTTTTTTGGCCCTAAGGACGGCTGAGAAAAAGCAGACAGACAAACAGAAACTACTTTTTTATATATAGTAGATTGAATAGCACTTTGGGAATGCAAAAACATGTACTCACCGAATAATATTTGGGATGGGTGTTGTATTGTGAAGGAGACGAGCGATCGACTACCGCATTTGAAAGCCCAGCCACAAATTGAATACACAGTGCCGCCGCTGACGAACAGTTCGCCACCATTCCTAGAACCATTTGTTTAAAAAAGAAAGCTAATAGTTAAAGAGTTAATTTTTAATTTTTCTTCTATAATCTACATTCAAAATCCGTAAAGAAATTCGGTACTCAAGGTAAAGAAAGATAGCATGTAACATATAATAAAACAATGAAGACTGGCAGGTTGAAGAAAGTCGAGGCTAAAGAAGTGTGGGAGGATGGTATAGAAAGGGGAGGGCATAAATCGAGAGAGGGGAATAGGTTGGCCCTCTATGTCTCACTCATAGATGACGCTAGTCATCCCCACAAAGTCGATGGGACCGACCTCCTCATCCTCTGTCAAGAGAAAAGAATCAAGAAGAACTGTTGAAAGAACAAGCCCTGTCTGGGGGGAAAGGGGTCTGGCACCGTCTTTTTCCTCTCCGTACCCTCATCCACTCCCGGTGGCATCGAGGGGAATTGCCACCGAGACAGGTCTGTATTGTACGCCTCTTTCTGCAAGAATAAGTAATTGAAAGAGAGAATAGACGTGTTTCTCTTTCCTTCACTCGACATCGGGGTCAACTATTCGGGAATCAAGCTATGTCGAAGCTTTTTTCATTACCAGATCTCTAGTTTTGTTGATCCGAGCTAGCTTGTCGAGCTAATGTGTGGAACTATTGACTCAATTATTTTTCAAGTTCAGCATAAGTCTAACAATACAACTCACGGTGCATCTTTCCATTAGCTGAGAAGGAACATAGCAATGCTCAAAGAATCAATGAATCAATTGAAGTCATGATGTTCTTTTAATAATTTGTGTCTTGAATAGATACAGATCGCAGAAAGACCGGGAATTGTAGAGGATGAGAGTAGGCCTGAAGCTATCCTGGAGGCGCCATCTCGGAGGGCCTCACGAAAGCGCTGCGCAAATAGGGCTCACGCCCCATCTCTTGAATCTCTTAGACCAAGAAACCCCTAAGATCTTCAAAGAAAAACATTGCTCTCAGCGAAAACATCAAAAATTAGCTGTCGAATCCACTCGAGGACTTCTTCTTTTCTAGTTTAATACAAGTTTTTTGAGAGAGAGGAATCCTATTGATTGATTTTGCTTTGAATTGTACGGCTTCAATTTTCCAGCTATTTTTTTAGCAAAATGCTTACGATAAAGAATCAGAGATTGTACGAACAGTGGTTATCTCCGTCATAATCGTCTCTTGTGGGGAATGGAAGGGAATGGAAAGTCTCTTTCTTCTTTGACACTGTCCATCCAAGTCAGCGCAATCCTTACAGAAAAAGGACAAAGAGCAAAAGGCTAAGAGAAGTCCCGATCGGGCGAGGTTCAAGTGGCTTGCACCCATTTGCCATCGTGGTGGCTTGTCCCAATTTAGAAAGAGATTTTTGATCGAAACGTTTCACAATCAAAAGGGTTTCTTTAAAGCCATTGTAATATTATGCTTTATACTTTTACTATTATACTTTATACTTTTATTAACTGTAGATATATATTAATGAATCAAAAAAAGTGTTCTAATAAGTTTTAAAACCACCCAAGTGGTTCAATGTAGCAAGTATCCAGATTGGGCTTAGGGGTCCGATCTCAAGAGGAGACACATGAGAAGAACCAGATTGTTCGTCAAGATGAATGACAGAAACGGTATCAAGAGAGTTGGATGGGGTGGAGAAGAGATTCTACCGGTGAAGTATTCACTGGGTAAACGAGGGAAAAAAAAAGTAAAAGCAATACGCCAACATTGCTTGGCACCTTTATGTAATCGAGGACTCATTTATGAGTGAATTGTATGAAAGAATAGAAAGAATAGAAAGAATAGAAAGAATAGAAAGAATAGAAAACATTCTTTTAGATTTATGCAAAAAAACTTACGTCGAATTCGCATTTTCGAAGCGGCTTTTAGGCGATGAATGCAAGGAAATTACAAAGTGATGTTTGATGCACACTAAACAATACTGGCAATGAGAAAAAGAAAATTTAAAGTGTCAGAAAGATTTAACAAAAAAAAAAGATTTCGACTTTTTCAAAAAAACTTAAAACTATTTTAAAGTATAACGCTTTGATATTTGTTTCAATTATTTCTAAACTAGGCAATCTGTTGAAGCGATTTGTTTGCAAAACACTCCCGCGAAACTTTAGAAAAGAATTTATAAACTGTGAATGTTTTGCTGGACACACCACCAGATTTTTCGCCTAGCTCAATATTGTCTTTTTAATAGTGAAAAGTTCATTTTAGAGAAATAGAGCTTTACTTAGAAAAAAAAAACACAGACAATCACAAAAATGAAACTGGAAAAGTAGGTAGAAAAAGTTTGACAAATGGGAATAGATCTTTGAGATGCACAGACGGAGTTTAAGGTCATGAGCTCTTGCAATCACATAATAAATGAGCAGCACAAAGAGCTCAATCAAGAAACAGAAAAAGAGATGAGACAAGGATTTGTGAAGAAAAAGAGGAGGGGGTTGTGTGAAATGAAGAGCAGCACAAAGTGATCCCCGACTCTTGGCCCATCTGAGGGTAGGCATTGAGAAAAGGATCGGCGAGTGAGTGAGGATTGGGATTTAGAGGAGATCTGGTTACTCAAAGAGTCCCCTCAGGTCCGAAATCTTTTTCTTCTTGTTCTTCTTTTTGCAGTACTTTCTTTGAAAATGCGCACACGCAATACAAACTTGCACAAAAACTTTGTGAACGAAGCCTTCGAAAGAGGTGAACGATTTTTCGACGATCAAAAGAACTCTCGATGAACCTCATCTTTTTTGGTTTCGATTCACGATAGGATTTTTCTTTTTCTAGACAATTGACATGTAAAAATTACTTACTGCATTTTCTCTAATAGTAGTGCACCATGAGCGTCGCCTAAATTCCTCGAAATCTCGAGAACCACGTATCAGAACCTATCGATATACGGTCGGAAAATGTGGCTTATGATGTGATCTAGTGGGCAATTAGAGTGTTGAGCCTCTGGGAGAACTTGGAAACTGTAAAATAGGCATTAACTCGGCTCGACTATGAAAAATACACTGACCTTTTCCCAAAAAAACAGACAAACTTTAGACTTTTCTAATAGTGGTGCACCGCTTCGACTAAATTCCTAGAAATCTCGACAACCGCTGATCAAAACCTATCGATGTGGGGTCGGAAAATGTAGCTGATGAGATCTATGTAGGGAGTAGAGTGTTGAGCTTCTGCAAAAGCTTGGAAACCGTAAAATTGTCACCAACTCGGCTCGCCTGGGTGCACTACTATTAGAGAAAATACGGTATGTAAAAGTGTCTACAGTTTTACATACCGTATTTTGTAGATGACGTATGTAAAAGTGTTTACAGTTTTAAATATAGATAATATCATAGAATATTGTTAACATTTTGTTAGATAAAAAAAGAATAGTTTGCTTAAAGCTTCGAAAATATCCATACAATTCTTTAAAGAAATGATTTAGAAATTGTTGAAATAATCGAAAGATTTCGCTTCTCTCATTTAAACAATTAAATATCATGTTCCCCATCTACAACGCAAATCAAAAAATAATTAAAAAATGTTGCTGAGCAGATGAAATGATGATCACATCAGACAACTTGTATCTCTGTCAGCTCATGAATGAATGGCAATGGGGTACCGGTCTCAAAAGTGTCTGTGTCCACATACATGGTTGTGGTGTCTTTTTTTGATTCGCTCACCCGCATCGACCCTTTTTCTCATGACATCATCAAACATTCATTCATCAAACACCCAATTGACGGTATTCGCATTGTATTTGTAATCATTGAAATGAGTTAGTATTATTGGATTGTAGCAGTGACATCGATTGTTGCATCGATTATATTTTGATTATATTTTGATCGACATCGATTATATTTTGATAAAAATTTGAAGTAAAACTTTCTTCAAATAATAGATTTTTTTGGCTCTCTTCAACAGGATGACTTAACGGGATTTTTGGGGATAAAAACTTGTGTTCTGAACTTTCACGGATTCCGAAAGGGAAACACCCTATACCCGGGCGGTTTGCCAGATGAAGAGCGATTAGAACAACTCGCCAATCATTTACACAGGGATTCCACTTTTGCATTGTAGATGGTACAAAAGAAGAGATTCAACTGTAAATTTATCGGGTTTTTGGAGTCGGCGAATCAATTGAAATTATTCATTTTGCTGAGTCTGCCAACTCCCATCTCCAATCTCAAATAAGATCACAGTATGACTCACAATAAGATATTACGGCTCACGTAAGGATATTGCTAAATGAATGCTCGCTCTTAAAAGAGGACCCCTCACCTCGTCATGACTGACGAGGTGTTCTTTGTGCCGTTACGTAATCGCTCTTCATCTGGCAAACCGCCAGGAAATAGGGTGCTTCCCTTTTGGCATCGTTAAGGAGAAGGACTGATCCAACATCGTCGCTTATGTCCAAATGTTCAAATTTTGGGTCTTGCCTCAGATTTGGGTGTATTTGTGCTAGAAATTCTACATTTCCCCAAATCAAAATTAGCTGAAATGCTAAGATGATAGTTTTACATATGTATATCATAGCTTTTCACAATGAAGAGACCCGTATTTTGCCAAAAGATTTGTTTTTTTCAAAAGATCAGGATTTCCGAGAAAAACTTGATATTCAAATAAAGGTTTTCAGGTGTTTACTTGAAATGGATGGCCTAGAAATTCGAACATTAAAAAAGAAATTCAGAGTGTACAGTGTAGAAGAAGTGTAGAAGTGTAGAAGAAGAGTGTAGAAGAAGTGTAGAAGTGTAGAAGAAGAGTGTAGAAGAAGTGTAGAAGTGTAGAAGAAGAGTGTAGAAGAAGCGTCGATCGTCAATTTATATTGATTAACAAGTCATCCGATCATTGAATGGAGTCGAATTTTTCTATAAATTGTGTATGATTACTACAATAAGATTTAAAAAAGCATGTTTCTGTCTAGTTCCCAAATTTGCAGAATATTTTATTAATGAATCGAGGAACAGAAAAAGTCGGATGAGAAGCCCGAAAGAAATCGCAAGAAATTGCACAAAGGAATAAATGAAAAATGAGAAAAAAAAATCAGCACAATGTAAAAGATGAAAACATCTTTGAAGTAACCGTTTCTACGAAGTGTTTATAAGTTTCTTATAAAGAAAAAAAAGAGAAATTTGTATTTCTTGAAAAGAAATAGTTTTTGAGATGGCACAAAAATGTGCTTGTTATGACTTATCGAGAAAAATTCATATGATTATTTTAAATATGCTTTTTTGCCGCTGGTCAACATTATCACAAAAAAAATGCCAAATAGTTGAATGTAAGAATATTAGTAATTGGTAACAACAACAAAAAAGCCTGATGTTCAATTATTATACAAGAACAAAAAAAATACAAATCGACAAACGAAGATGGTAAAAGAAAGAACTATGGGCAAAAGACGAAGCCAATAAACACAAGACTATGTTCAAATAGGGCTCAAACACACAAAAAATTTAACAATAAAACGAGGAAAATCATGCGGAGAGAGAAGAATTTGGGAAGAGAATTATGTACAATGTATGTACAAAAACAATGAAAACTAGAAAATGATCTTATTAAGAAAATGATCTTAATCTTATGGAAATGAAATGAATTAAATGAAAATCTTTCCATTAAAAGGAAAACAAAAAGAGTGATTGAAGGACGTTTTTCGTGGGCGACCTTTAGGGAATGTTGAATAAGAGTTTTGATTTTCGGGAAAAAAAACAGAGAAATCGACTGGAGATTCTTTGCGAAGACCTGGAAAAAAACGAAATGAATTGTTTGCTTCTTAATCGATACCGTAAATACTGTAATAGTACCCCACCCCCCTCGTACAGTCGCGTAGTGGAAAAAGTTTTTTAGTATTTCATTTTTTTCAAAGCGCCCGTACTTTCAAAAAATGCGTCTTTGGTATCAAAAGAAAGCTGAAATTCAGGGCTATTTTTTGATACCTAAGCGCGCATTGTAGCATAAACCAGTCTCGAGAAACACTCGTTCAAAGCTAGACTACGCAACACTCCGCACTGTCATTATGGGGGTGGGGTACTATTACAGTATTTACGGTAGGTACTTTATTTAAAGAGAACTTTACTTTAATTAGGTTAATGTATGCTTACAAAAGATCTCTAAACAGCGTTTACATAGACTGAATTTTGATGAAATTATGGAAAAAAAGATGAATTCTCAACCGTAATGAATTTACTCTTTTGCACTGAACTTAATCAAAAAGAAACCTATCGTAATGTTCGCATCGAATTGCAACTCTAGAATATTCAATGAATTGATCGGCGCTTCTCGGCATCACGCCATCCATTGTCTTTCACCATATGCGCCAATTCGATGATGTACTTGCCTTCTTTGTATTTTTGTGACAACTCGTACGCGTGCTCCTGGAAATCAAGTCTATCAATTCACGTTTTTTGACTCGTAATTTCCAATTTCCGTTTGCGTTCATTTACATGAGTCACACTAATGACGATTTAAAGTAATTGGAAGCTTCCCAGAAATTCACGACGTAAAAATTGGACAAAGAAAGCTTGATTTTAGTTAATATCTTTAAAAAGAGTATTTCCTATTTTGTAAAAAATGAAAACAAACATATTTCCATCCGAGAGTCGTCTTGCAACACTCGCAGTAGATGTCAGCAACAGCATGAAGACCAGTGAGCAGCACACGCTCTTCTGCTGGCCCACATCCCACGTTTACACTGTAATATATCTGTAGATAATTTCAGGAGTTTGTTTAGCCTATAAACATCACGCTTGAGTCTTACTAGTAGTGCTTTTTGTGCTTTAGTGCTAGTAGTTTTTGTGCTAGTAGTGCTTTTTGTGTGTTATCTTTTGGTTTATTAAAGTTTTTTTTCGAAAACACTTACACACTGTTGAAGAGGTAGGCCTTTCCTTGGCTTCCTTGAAATGACTAAATCAATGGATTAGAAGAAAGAAACATGAAACAATGTTAATACTTTTGAGATAAGCTCGTTGTGATGAGCAAGTTGGGCTCGACAATGAACACAACTGTATGTACGATCTCCTTCAGGTAAGTACTCCTAAAGATTGTTTTATTTCTAGGCCAAAAAAATCAATCAATTAGAAACAACTTCCTTGTTTAGAAGGAACTTGTGAGTGGGAAAAGGAGTGCCCTTTCCGGGGGAGAATTTTGCATCACAAGCAATTTTATCGGTTAGGAAAAGAGAGAGAGAGACTCTTAAACGGTCTACCCTAGCTAAAAATGTCTAAATAATAGCTCAATTTTGTTTATGTTCTATATATAAACAAAATGAATACCTGAAACGTTTTGCTTCGATGTGTGGCCTGAGCCGGTTGATTATCTTTAGTTGAATTCTCGAGGACTCGAGCTCGCGACATCACCCAACGCTGGCGGGGAGCCAGGTTCTAAAAGTTGAAATTATTTACAAAAATTATTTACAAAAAGTACACATTTTTGTTTGATAGGCTATTTGACATTCGAAATGAGGAAAACAAGAGATTCGCACTGAGAAGAGTAAAAGAGATTGTTGTGGAAAACAAAGGACCACGAGGAGGCCTCTGATCGACTCGAGAACTGGGAAAAAAAGGAAAAAGAAGAGAGAGAGAGATGGGAAATTGAGATTGAACCACTCAAAGACCATCTTATTGTTTTAAAAAAAGCTGAACCCCGTTAAAATCAGTAAGATTTAAAGGTCTAAAGTAACAAATTTAAGAAACTAAAGAAATAGTTTGTGATTCAAGTGAATGCTTGGGGATTTTCAGGGATTTCCCTCCGCGCCTTCCCTCGTGCCGGCCTCCTCAACCATCTCTTTCCTTTTCACTCCGCAGCCGTCACTGATCCATTCCCCCATTCCCTTTACTTTGTTGACCTCCTAACTGAGTAGGACACCCAGCTGTTTTCTATGAATCCCAAAAAGGACAACTCCAAATCGGCGGGAAAATCTTTCCCACTGCCCTCATTCTCAATCTAAAGTGATTTCAAATCAATGCATCAATGCGACAAAGATCTTTTAAAAGTTAAAGAAAGATTCTCTGCCAAGTTAAAGAAGTTAAAGAAGACTCCATATAAAACATGTGATCTATAAGAGGCGCTTTTTGAAAAACAAACAAAAGCACCTAGACGAGAATTGGAAAAAAAAGGGGAGAAAAAGCACGAATACTTGTTGACGACATTCTCTCTACCCACCCTTTCCTCATTGCATACGGATTGCTTTTCTTGCCGCCACGCGCCCACTAATTTTGTTTGCTTCAAAAGAAGTATGAGTCTATTTTTAGAATTAGATTCATAAAAGTCAAAGAAAATTTAATCCAAATCATTTTTAGTCTTTTCTTATTTAATCTCTGAGATGGAAACAAGTCTAAATTTGGAGCGATTGCCGTTTCGCGAGGCGTTTACATATCCGATGAATTATTGAACAAGTTTCTTTGCGAAGGTGACTCTGGATTGAGATTTGTGAAAAGGAAAAGTGAAAAACGTTTTTTTTTTTTTGAAAGCTTGAAATAAATGCAAATGTGTACGCAATTTTCAAACAAGTGAAAAGAGGAGAGAAATTGTAAACACGGTCAGCTGAGAGTGAAAGTTTCAGATAAAATCGCCCTGGGAGAGAAAGGATTTGCTTTTGATAACACAACCTGTCAATACACAAGAGATCGACCTGTTTTTAAAGCAACTTGCAATGCTATAAAAGTTTATAAGGCGTCAATGCAAAAAAAAACGTTCGTAGATTAGAAATTGATTGAAGAAAGACAGAGTTTGAAGAAAGTTTAAAAATAAATCCTTGATGAAAATTTTAAAAGCTTTACAAGCTTTATGAGATCGCCTAAAGGTTTATGTGAAAGAAAACAATCCGTATCACATTTTGGAGAAAGCGGGGAGGAAATCAACAAAGAGAGAAGAGATGGTGGTTGTTGGCTTGAGGCAGCCAGAGGCTCTTCGTCGCTCACGATTCTCACTGAAGCGGGCAAAAAAAATGAGAGGAATCGAGAAGAGAAGAAGAGAGGAAGAGAATGGAAAACGAAGCGAGAGTCTAGATGGAAGAGAGACGGCGGTCAGCTGGTGCCCGGCCTCCTCTTTGAATCTACCTCCGCCTCCCATCGTTTGTTTGCAGCGAGACGAAGAAGCCCATAATTCTTTTCATCTCCCGTCTTTCCCCTCCCATTTCTTCATCTTCTATAGTCGATAATTTTGTTTTTAAAAGTTGAACAATTAAAATTAGATTATTTCGGGAAAACTACAGCCGTTAATCCGTGGATTATTGTGTTATTAAATAAGATTGAAGTTTAATTGAATCTGTCAATACAAAAATACAAATGGCAACTTCTCAAAACTGAGTGCAATCAAAAACTAGATAAAATCTAAACTTACTAGAAACTACTGATGTACAGCTTTGTAAACGATCGAAGAAAAAAGCTCGATTAGGAATTTGTGGCTTGAAATAATCACTCTTCATCAGCTTTTTTTGTTATCAAAATATAAACATTTTTAAGGAGAAAGAAATGGAAATGAAACAAAGCACGTGATTCTTTTTTTTCTTTCCACAAAATGCATCAAAAAAATTGTGAAGGGAAGGCACTTGCTGTTTTTGCTGTTTATCCTCTCCGAACTACCTCATATTTTCACTACTAATAAGTCAAAGATTATTCTATTATCATAAGGTTTCAAGAATAAATAAAAATCAACCTTCCAGAGTTTCCAGATCTGTTGCCGAAACACATAGGTGATCGTCATGTTTAAGAGAATAAGAGGAGATAAGTAGCCAAGGGGTACTTTAGAAAATTCTTCTATTTTTAGAAAGTGAGTCGCCGAAAGCAACAGAATCGAGAAGGCTAGGAATACGCCTTTTTGAGGGAAAGGGATTCGGATGAGAAAAAGAAGAGCTGCAAGGGATTGTACTTCTCAAAGAAGGCAATTCTCACGAGAGAGGGTGTTCGGTGGTGGTCGTGTTGTGAGGCACGGGGGGAGTCAGCTGAGCGGGAAGGAAAGGGGAGTCCTTGTTCCCTTGCCCCTTCTCTTGCAGGGCACGTGAGACGAGCGATGGCTGTCCATTACATGTACTGCCCGTTCCCATCCGCCAAAACCCGCTTTTCAAACCATCTTCATTGTGGTCGACTTTGATGAGCTTTTTTCGAAGCTTTCGTCGTTAATCTCGTTTTTGAATTAGTTTTCTTGAAAGACTTTTGGCAAAAGGATTAAAGGTTTCGATAATTTTGAGGAATTTTAATCAAGAAAAAGGAAGTAAATGAAAAATAGATGTTATTCTTATTTTAAAAACCAAAAAACAAGACTGAAAGTTAACTTATTTTAAAAGCTAAACTGTAGAAATGATTTATTTTAAGGAAAAATTTTAAGGAAATTAAGACTGACCTTGAAAAAAGTGATGAATCTTGTCCAAAAAGAATCACCATGTGAAATGATGTTTACAATAGGAAATAAAGAGGCATTTAGAGATTGAGAATCTGGTGAAGCCTGAACAGAAAGCTCAACTGGTTCCGCGTTTTCCGATAAGATTTCGTCAGCTGTGATTACCCACAAAGTGCATCCATCCGAATCGGCGTGACGGAGGATTTCCACCGAAAAGTCGTTATTCGATTCACTTTCCATAAAAACTTCCGAATCGTTTGTTTCTGTTGAGAAAGATCGGGCATCAAAGAAGTATCTTGAAGAACCTTTTGCCTCTTGTATAGTATCAGAAATTGAAATCGAATCAAAATACTGTTCTTCTTGACTTAAAGGAGGTAAATCATTGCTTTCATCAAACGAGTTACTGCTTGAAGATTGCTCGTTGACATCAACATCAACTTTTTCAAATGGCGAATGGCTTTTCTCTATCGCCACATTCTCTAGGCACGTTTTCAAGTGCTCATTGGTGAATTCCAAAAGCATTTCCTGAATATCACAACCATATGAATCGAATGGAATATTTGGGGATGCAATCGAGCTAGTCATTGAAATTGCTAATTAAATAATGGGATTAGTGTTTGGATTGGAGACGAGTTTGTGTTGTGATTCCCTATTTTGAGAATTTGTTCAACTTGATGACCTCGAGACAAAGCACAAGACAGGTGATTGAAAAGAAAACAAAACAAAAGAGATGAAAGGGGGGATTGGAAAGGGGGATGACCAGACCACAAGTGCACAAGTGATGGCCAGGTGGATGCAACAACAGCCCACCTTTTTCTCTCAATAATATTGTAAATAGAGACATAAATAGTGCGTGTCTTATAGAAAAATACTCTGATCTTTTTTTCTTGCAAGAAAATAATTTTTTAGGAAACTTAAAGTATTCGGTTGAGTAGTAATTCACTTTTTCTTTTTTTGTTTCATCAAAGATCAAACCATGGCTTTTTATAAATTTTTAACATGATAATCAGACATGCTTTAGACAATCTAGCTTTAGTCAGACATCAGAATCAGACAATCTAGCTTTAGGCAAAGTTTCATCCCGATCTAATGGCTGGGCTTAAAGCAAGAAGCTTTTATTTGAAACAAGTCGATCAACAAGAGCTTTTGTTTTTGGAATTTCTCAAAGACTGAACTATGTGCTTTATGGAACTTTCGAAACATTGATAGTATTTGATTGTCTATTAGAAAGCAAGTTTTTATTCTGTTTTGATGAATGAAAGCTGAGCTATGAACAAAAGAGCGAAAAGTGACGAACAAAAGTGACTTGCAACTCCCTAGAAAAATTTTCAGAAAAGAATTCAATCCAGAAACTTCTTTACCAGTATGCTTTACCAACAACTAAATAAAATATTCGACGTCAAATCTCCAACATTACCACATGATAGTTTAGACATTTCAAAATTTAATGTTTTTTTTCTGTTTTGAGAAACTTTTTGATAATTTGAAGTGCTGTTAAAGTTTCTCGAAAAAGAATCGAAAAACTACTTGATATAAACGTTTTTATTCAAATTATCTTCTTCAAAGTATCTACTTTACATTGCCATTTTTTTTTACTGGAAATCTTTGGAGGTAGCAGAAAAATCTGGTGCACAGAAGATCAAATAGTCCAAATCGACTGATTGCAAATCAAAGCCTCTAGCTTGAAGCTCAGCCATCAGATCGGGATGAAACTTTGCCCAAAGCTTGACAATGCGTATCAAAACAGGATAAAAACTTGCTTTCTAATAGACAATCCAATACTATCAATGTTTCGAAAGTTCCATAAAAACACATAGTTCAGTCTTTGAGAAATTCCAAAAACAAAAACTCTTGTTGATCGACTTGTTTCAAATAAAAGCTTCTTGCTTTAAGCCCAGCCATCAGATCGGGATGAAACTTTGCCCAAAGCTTGACAATGCGTATCTGATTATCATATTAATTTATAAAAAACTATGGTTTGCTCTTTGATGAAAAAAACAAAAAACAGAAAACAAAAAGTGTTATCAAGAAAAAGTACTCAACCTAATATTTGCCAGAACAGAGAAACCTGTTGAAAAAAATGGATCTGTTCTTTTCAATACTCATATTCCATTTTCGAAACTCTCATCCTTTTTTTTGAAACCAAAAACGAGAGTCTAAGTAAATTTTTCAAATGTTTTCGTTGAAAAATCTCTGCTTTTGCTCGTGTAAACAAACTGAAACCTCTTCGTCGTCAAGCGACGAGCAACACAATATCGACCTCAGCGTGATGAATTCCTAAATAGAATTTGAGTTATAAAATAAACTTGGTCGAGTTATAAAATAAATAACATTGAGTAACGAATCAAAAGGGTAAAAATCTGAGTCAAATATTAAGCAAAGTGATTTGTGTTTTTGATAGTTTAAAGGTTGATTTATAGGAAAATGTCTAAAAAATGGAAATTCCAATAAACAGGCAAAAAAAGAAGAGACGGAAGGGGAAATGGAGAGAGGGAAATGGAGAGTGTCCCTCCGTCTCCTCCACTTCCCTTCGAGGTCCCCTCAGGGGCTCTCCTGTGCAGAAAACGATTGAACACCCGCCCAGTCACCCCCCTTTTTTTTTCCTTTCCTTTTTCCCTTCCATGGACTCCTCTCTTTCAGAAGGAAAGACCAGTGGGCAGCTCGAGAACGGAGGAGGAAAAGATGCGTCTCCGCGGAGGTTCTTCATGCCTCCATCCGAAAAAGTATCCAATGATTGTGAAAAATGAGAGACTCGAGACACGCATACATCGGACAAAAACACTACGAAACCATTCAGGCGAATATTCTCGGTGACCTTTTACCCGAATCCACATTTCCGTTAAAGACATTATCAAATGTGAATTTAATTCTAGGTTAGTGAAAACGTCAAAAAAAAAACTTTAGAAACCCGGTTACTTAGAATTATCTTATATATATATATATATGTTACGTCCGAATCTGAGGAGACGTCCATCTCGATCCGGACGTCCGAATCTGAGGAGATTCATTCTCCCCGAAACGGACGTCCGAATCAGAGATGGACGTCCATCTCTGATTCGGACGTCCATCTCTGATTCGGACGTCCGTTTCGGAGGAGAATGAATCTCCTCAGATTCGGACGTCCGGATCAGATCCTGAAGTCCGGATCCGACCACACTCATTCTGGTCGCATTCGGACGTCCGGATCAGATCCGGACGCCTGGTCGGATTCGGACGTAACATATATATAAATACTTTATTTAGAAAGAAATAAAGTACGATTATTATGAATAATATTTCTTTATTTGTGTTGTTTTTCTTCAACTTTATTCGAGACTCAAAAGAAAAAAGAAACTAATTTCCAAGGAAACGACTTTCAAATGCAAGAAATTGACTAGAGGCTTTTGGGATAAAGAATTCAAAAATAAATTTTGTGAAGGGTAACAAAAATCACAGAGGTAATTATTGAAAGTAACCGAATTTTTCGCTATAGACTCGAATCATTCATATCATTTTCGGGGAGGGAAATCCGTACTAACAAATAGATTTGCACACATAAATCTCTCAGCAAACTAACAGCATCTAGCATTTCTTTCTAACGAAATCAAACAAGCCGTACATATAGGAATTTACATAAATACAAGTAAAAGTGTTTAGCTAGAAATGATACCTAGAAAAATTGAGATTTCAAGAGCAAAACTAACAGTAATCCTTCAAAAAAAGGTTTACCGTGTGTCTCGGGAAAGATCGGTAGCAAATTTCTTTTCTTAAAAGCTTTCATGAAGTGCTATAGAGCTGGAAAATGGCTCAAAAATCTGTTAGCTCATGTGGTATTTTTGAGTCATTTTCCAGCCCTATAGCACTTCATTGAAAGCTTTTATGCAGAAAAGAAATTTTAAAAAGGGCTGCTACGCAGGAGTACGCGATGATACTCTTTACCCGGTCTTCTATTCGAAGAAATACGGTAAATATATTAAATATTTGTCATTTTCTTTACTCACCAAAAAAGGAGATTAAAATTTAATAAGATTTTTTGAGATATGATCGATATCGAGAAGGTTAAAGAATTGAATTTTTGTGAAAGTTTCCGTCACACAGCGATAAAGATCCTGAAAAGTTGAAGGATTATTTTAAACAGATTCTTTTGAAAGAAATCTTTTTAAGCTTTTTTTTCAACCTTTATAGAGTTTTCTTTTCAAATTCTTTAGTCAAAACGATCAAAAAAAAATCACCGAAATGGTTCCTATGAGAAGCAGAATTGATCCCATTCTTGTTGCAAACTCTTTCTCATTTCGCTCCTGGAAAGGTTTTATATAGATACTTTATTCAGAACCTGAGATAAAGTGCGCTAGATTTAAGATTAAAACACATCAATTCATACACATAACACGAAAAGGGCCGATAAAAAGAAACACGATATAATATATGTAAAATGTGGGTAGCACAGATAACGTCAAGGATCCACTAGAGCTTCAAGATCAAGATCATCTACAGATAATTTAAAGGTTTCGAGACTATTGGACTCTCTCAAAACTCTGGGGAGTCGATTCCAAATTCTGGCAGTTCTTATTGGAAAAGAGTTATAAACAAACTTATTGGAGGTGACTGGAATTTCTAAAACGAAAGAACCTCTCCTTGAACTAACCGTGGGATTAATTTTGAATAAATTATAAATAAATTAAAAAGCCTTGTGATAGCCTTTTAGTTCATTGTTTGCTTCTTAAAGTGCAACTGTTTTAAAAAACTAGCGTTACTTTGATTTAAACAAATCACAAATGCATCATTTCAACGGTTGAAATTGGGTTTTTTCTAGACTCACCTTGTAGAAATCGATCAATCCTTCGAGAATCAATTTCTCGTGTTCTTTTGCCAGATCTTGAAGAGTATTTGTGAATTGAAGATACCCTATTAAATTAGTTTTAGCTTTGCAATCTTACAAAATTTCTTACAGACTCTCCATGCGGTAAGCGCTTTGAGTGCAGCGTATTCAAAATCGCGGAGATCCATCTCGTGCATCGGTTGAATGAGTTCGGTGAAGATGCGCTCGTTGAACTCGAGAAAAAGCCTGAAAATAGAAAAATTCTTTCATTTTTCATCACCTTTATTTTTGTTCTATTTGTTGAATTTTTTTTTTTTGAATGATTGAGATTGAGTTTTGTTTTTGCATTTTCAAGAACAAAAACAAGAACGTTTTGTTGTTCAAGAACAACGAAACAAAAAACAAAACGCACTGTTTCTTTCCCTCTCCCGTGATGAGACCAGGCTCATCTTCCCAACCAACAACATAGTTACTCAAATCCGAATAGGTTCCATCCGTAAATATTAGCATTCGATCTGTGGGCTCTCTAAAATAATAAGTTAAGAAATCTTATGATAATAGAAGTGAATAAGAATTCACTCAAAAAGTGACCTCAACTTAACAGTCATCCAAGCCATATCCAAAACACTAAAACCGAGAGCACACGATTTATATAAATGAGCCTGAAAAAGATCGATAGATAGAAAAGAGTTCTAACATTGAAACCTTCTCGTCTTTGCTAAGCAAATGAAAGCCAGGTAGACGTCGAGCATATTGAAATGAAAGGAAATGCTCGAATTGAATCGTGTGGCGTTGTCTTGAGAGAGTATGTGCAGTCAGGGTGTTTCGAGTAAACGGCTAAAGAGAAGCCAATAAAATCTTGTTTTACAATTAAAAGTATAACTTCTGGAAAAAACCTACAATATCTCCAGTTGTCTGAACCATGGCCACCAAAGGAGCCTCACTGTACATCACTCGACGAGCGTCCATTGCCTGATGTTCCTGAATTTTATTTTTTTCTATTGTTTTTGAATGAATTTATATTTACTTTATTTAATAAATTAATTAATTTTAATTACCCTAAAGTCTCGAGTATAAGTTCTGCCTTAATTTACATTCGCTTTAATTGCTTTGAATTTCTTTTTGTTGGGTTTTTATACATTTTTATTGTTATATAAACTTTTATTATTGTTCTTGGAGCGCGGGATACTACAGGGTGACAGCCTATCACCATTGCTATTTGTTATGTGCATGGATACATCCAGACGATAGTGTTGAAGAAGACGCTGGAAAGCGCATCTCTTTCGACCGTCGACGTGGACTTTGGCCGGATGAAGAGGCCAGGGAGGGATCCATAAGACTGAGCACCGGAGAGGAGCAGGGCGGACGCGCCGAGCCACGCCCGGAGCAACAAATAACAGCATAAAATTGCTATAACCCTCAATAAATTTACTTCTATTATTGTTCTTAAAAAGCAAAAAAGTTATGCTGCAGCGGGGTTCGAACCGTCGACACACCGCACCGGAGACAGCCGTCAATTTGCATGCGAAAACCAAACAGAACTTATACTCGCGACTTTAGGGTAATTAATTTTAATTAATTAATTAATTTACTTCTTCCATATAGTGTAGAAGCAATCTGTGCCCTGTCCAGTCTCGAAGATTTCTGGCCCGTACCCGACCTTCGTAAGTTCGATCGTTGGATGAAGAAAAACTCTATAAAATATTGATGTTTAAATTGAGAATCGATACTTTTTCTTACTAACCGGATTAAGATTTTGTTGAAATAAGGCTGATGGAGATGAATGGGCTGAGGGATCTTCATAAGAATCAAGAGAAGAAGAAGCCGAGGCAGGGCAATCGAACCGGATTTCTATAGTGAACATTTGTTGCTCATTCTTTTTCTACACTACTATATTATTCTAACTTCCCTAATTTGGTTTTACACTTTGGTTTTACCTTGTGCAATTTCGTTTTGTTCCTCTTCTTCATCCGCACTTCCAGGACTATGGATTTCTTTCTTGATGATCGGAGTTCCGGGCCCATCCATTTCAGGTAAATACCTAAAAGCATTTATTTAAATATCAGATTCTTCTTTTCTTTTCTCAATAGGGATTTGAGGAGTTGCCTCTTTGAATTCCTCGGTTTGAGTTTGGTTCGGTTTTCATTTCAGATCTTAGTCATCAGTTCAGTTTATCTTGATTTAGAGAAGGGATCGGAATTGGGTCCTCACTAGAACCGAATTATCGGTGGTCGAGTCGAATTGACTTTGGGTTTTGGATATGATAGCTTTTCGCAATGAAAAGTCTCAGATTTGATTCCAATTGTGATTCCAAATCAACGAACCTTGATTCCGATTGTGGATCTTCATCTTCAACCTCAGATTTGACCCGTTTTCCCGGTTTTGGTGGTCGCTTCTTTTGCACACCTAAGATAGAAAGGATTTTTGCAATGATCTTTCTCACTTACATTCCCTCTTCATACCAGCTCGTAAGCACTTCTCATATCTGAAATTGAAATTTATAGCTAATAGAAGAATCAGAGAAACATTTTGTAATTTAAACAGTTTTCAGTGAACTGTTTAAATCTAAAGCCAAAGTAGTTTGGCTTTAGATTTAAACAGTATTTTACACTGCATTTTTAAACAGTAGCACTGCATTTTATAGACATGAAATTATTGTGATTCTAAGAATCGAGGTTCGATGAATGTTACTAGACATTATAAGTGACTTAAGAATATAGGCTCGTAAAGTTTGTCTCAGGTAACTACCTGCATGCTCGGCAAATCATCCGCAACTCGTAGTAAATTCGGCATTTATTTTCCGCTTTGCACACAAATGTGATGTTTAAAGAAACAGTTCGCCGAAAAAATGCCGCACAAGCTAGACATGAGATGGCACCTGAAGTTCCTTTTAAGTGTTGATACTTTAAATTTGAACAGTTTTCAGTGAACTATTTAAATCTAAAGCCAAATTACCTAGCACTGCATTTTATAGACATGAAATTATTGCGATTCTAAGAATCGAATTCGATGAATGTTACTAGACATTATAAGTGACTTCTTAAGAATAAAGACTCGTAAAGTTTGTCTCACCAAAATGTGGAGACGCAGCTTGAGGAGAAGCACACACGTGGCAAATATCGAGATCTAAAAGAATTCAGTAGTTGGGGAATTGCCGCTTTTTATAGTAAAATTTGTTTTTTTAAATTATTTAATATCTAACTTCGTTCAATGGATCGTTGTGGTTCAAGTGTGATGGCTGCAGATGTGAAAAGAGACATCTTAAAGTCCTTTGCTCACCTAGATTCAAAGTAATAAAGCTTATAAAACAAAAAAACATAAGTTCAGAGAGAAAAATAAACTTGAATAAGATTGAAGAAAATTGATTGCAAGACAAAGATTTACGATAGGTAGATATGGTGCGAGTTTATATCGTCTAAAAACTTGCTTCTCATCATTATTATTTGAGTTTTTTTTTAGTTCAACTTCAAAAATGATCCGAATTTCTAATTCCACAAATTAAAATCTTATTTATTAGCCTTTACTTTTGTATAATTCTGAAGTCAGTCAGAAGAACGCAACAAAAAGCCACTAATGAAAGTTGAGAGGAAAACGGAAATCCCACGTGATCCGATTAGCTCGTTTTCAAAGAACTACTAAGAAAAGACACACACAATTGCAAAAGATCAATAAACGCTTTCGTTTCTGAAGCTCGCTCAAACGCTCAAACTCACCGTTTACCTTATTCAACTATTCTGGTGAAAGAAAAAGAAATTGATTGAAAAATTCAAAAAGCAAACAAAAGAATGGCTGACTGCTGAGCATAATAGGTGAACTTTGGTGAGGAGAGATGAGAAAAATGATGGTTGACGGCAATTTCTTGATTGAGGTTTCCACATTATGAGACCAAAGAAAGGAGTGCCAACTCAAGGGAAAGACGTAGAAAAAAAGAGGAAACGGGAGGTGAGGGGGGCCATGTTTCAATCGGCGTTGAAAAGAGCGGTAAGCTCGGGACAGAGAATCGATCAGAGTCGAGAGAGCGAGAGAGGAAGATGGGAGATTTGAGAGAGTCACTGGGAAATGAGGGGAGAGCGAAGAAAATGGGTGAAGGGGGGTGATGAAAAGAAGAGGTGGAAAGGAGAAGTGGTTGCTGGTCTCTTTCCCGAGTGAGCCCTTTTTCGAGAGAAGAGCAGGGCACAGACTATATGGGAGAACGAGAGAGAGAAACGGGAACACCCGGGTGTCGAGCCTCTCCACAACCCATCCAGTTCTCCATGTCTCCCATCTTCACTCACTTCTTGAAAATTTCCAAGTCACATCCTTTTTCAATGCTCAGTGTTTCCAGGTCTCCACTTGAATATTTGAGTGAGTGAACACCAAAGGAAAGGCTGGCGTCGTCAAATTTCAAAATTTGAGATACCCGAATATGAAAGAGTCAAACTGATAAAGGCCTTTTAAAGAATTGATCAAAAAAGAAAGTAGTTTAGCGGGTTTGGTGCAGCGGCAATGTAGAGTTTGACTTGTCACATAAAGCTAGAATTGCTCAGCTCTCTTTTGGTCTGAAAGAAAAACCCTTGAAAAAGTTGCTGTTAAAGTAGTCAAATCTCCTTTTTCCGTTGTACACCCATTAAAAATCAAAATGAACCAAAAATCAACAGCTCTAGTAATTTGATTTGTCCAAAAAAAGAGAAAGCTTCTTGTTTGTTGAAAGGCTGAGCGTATTGTGTGCTGAATGTTGTTGACTAAAATGATCGAGAACACAATTGATGATGCTCGTTTTTAGTTTCCGTCAAAAATTCTTCAAAAGACTGAGAAAAGCGAAAGAAATAGAGGGTTTTTTTTTTCGAATATTCAACGAAATTGAGAAAGCGTGAGCAAAAATCGAGCGTCATTGCGAGGATCGAATGGCTGAGAAGAGTGGGGAAAAATGAGATTGTAGAAAAGAAATAAATGGAAAAAGAAAAAAAAAGCATCCATCTCTACCCTCTAAAATGGATTGATGACACCAAAATGTTTCTTTCACCCTTTATTTGTTCAGCTTTCATCTTCATCCACCCCATATAGAAATACAGACAAACTTTCCCAGTCACATTGAAACGCTTTTCGGAAAATTTTGATCTGTGCACATGTGATCAGCTTGGTTGACCGATTTTCTTCGAGCTTTTCCTAAATTGAATTTAAAGTAAAGAGAAAATAGTGTGAAAGAATCAGAAATAGTGTGAAATAGGAAACGGCTTAGGTCGAAAGCAACAGCAACTTAAATATCTTTTACAATTTCTAAGATATTCAGTTGATTTTAAATGCCCTCGTTTCCTATTTTGCACTATTTCTTGAGAGAAAAACACTCTAACAATACATAGTGATGTATGGTAGCCTAGCAGCGCTTTCTCCCCCAAAAACCAGTGAATTTCAAAAATCAATGCTTATGAGTGTCAAGAAATTCTTGGAAGATGATTAATTTCGAAAAAGTGTGCAAAAAGTTAGTTGAAAAAGCTAGAATTGAAAAGCTGTAGGCTAACAATCAATCAATGAAGTCATTTTTGAGAAGAAAAGATGCCAGAACATAGAGTTTTTGAGTGGGAAACGGAAAGCTGATAAGTAGACTCTTGCCAAACCTTTGCTCCCTTCTTTACTTCACCGCTCCTTTGTCATCACTAATTTCTGATTGTAGGCAACCAAAAGGATGAAATCACCACGTGGTTGTTCCCTTTTATGCTATGATTGTGTCAATGAACCAAAGTAAAAGCAAAAAAAAAGGAGTTTAAGCCTTATATCATCATAGCAAGTATTATGCCTTCGAGATTTGTTGTTGAGGTCGCTGTTGTCCCCTGATGCAGCTGCAAGCAAGGTGTAATAAATTCAAAGTTAAGCTCAAAGCTAATTTTCAAGTCTTTGTTTTTCTTTTTTTTGACTTTTAGTTTTTTAAACTAAATTCAAAACGATTTTGCTTTGATTTATTTCCTCAGATGTAGATTTATGGTCACTCTTGCCAAATCCTTCACTTTCTAAGCAATCCTATCGTCTATTATTTTTTATGGACTCGTGCTTAGACTCTGCTCATATCTTTCATTTTTTTTAAATCATTTTCATTTTGCCAGATCCTATCAAATGAAGATTTTAAAGAGCTTTTAAAGAGCTCTTCTACTTTGGTTACTTTCGAGTCTTTACGGAACTGTTTGTTGTTCTTCGCTGAAATTTTTGTCCACTTACGATGTTGAATTGCCCAATTCTGTGACTCAAAATTTCTCGGCACTTCCACGTGCCATTCAAGAAGAGATTCTAAAAAATATCTTTCTCCAGAAAGACTCCTTTCCGCGAGATGATCTCATCGAAAAGACGAACGATTAGAGCAACGAAGAACTTCAAAAAGTCGCTGATCGTTTCGTGAATGATCTCAAGGATGCCTTTCATGGCATCAAAGCAATTGATATTCAAAAGCTGTTGACCGTTGTTGATACGAAGGATGCGCTCATCGCAATTTTCAGCCGAAAATCGATCGTCACCGAAACCAAAGTGATGCAACATGCGGGCTCTATCCGTTAATATCATTTTGCTGAAAACCCGAATGCATTAAACAAATCCACTCCTAAGAACATAAACAAATCAATCGGAATTCACCCAATCAAGCCGATTTTGGATGATGACAAGTCAAATAAATCAAAAGGATTTTCGAATTGATTTTTCGGATGCTGCACGTGCGGACTCTGTCGGCTATTTTTCTTCCACACTTCAAGTCAAGCATTACAAGTTTGCTGGAACGTTTACTCACAGCTACGGTTCCTGCAGTACCCTTTCCCACATTTGCAGCAACCACGGACTCTGAACTTTCGCCTGTATCCTCTACAGAATCTGCATCTACAGAGATTCGCTGGAATTTCTATGTTCATCATCAAGATTCACTATTTGGAGATGCAACTCCAGCACAAAGAAAGTCTTTTTGATCGTTTTACCTCTTAAGCATTTCTCAAACAAAATCTAATTTGTGAAATTTTAGCCAAAGCAATTGGTCGACTGAGCGGAGAGATTTTGGGAAGAGGATTCGAGGGAATTCTTCAATCAGGTGACTCGCCGCTAATTTCAGAAGAGAGACGCTCATTTGAGAGGCCAACGCATGCAATGGATGGAAACGATGTCATTGGGATTCTCGATCAAATCACCGGTTAGTTTAGAAGACATTTTTTTTACCTTATTAACCAGCTTATTTACCAACTGAGGAGGCGACCACTTCAGCTTTACTCGAAGATTCCCTCATCGAACTTTCGGGTGGGTTTTTTCATTTTTAGCATGTTTATGATTGTGATTTCAGATCCAATCGTCGATTTTATCACAAAAGCTCCCTATCAGAGTGAACGAGCCGATGAATGGACTCAACGCGTTCTGGCTTCGGTAAACGTCTTAGCAGACCAAAAATTGTCTGGTTGTTTTTCAGATCGAGTCAATTTCAAAGGAAAATTTACGAGCCTATTTTCTGGAGTACTTGTGAGTTTTTAAAAAACTATTTAACAAACAAAACAAAATTAAAAATTGGTATTTAGGGATGATGAAACGGCAGCTCATGCTGGTGTCGTAAGAGTTCAACTTCAGGTTAACGCAACCATCGGAAAAGTTTCGCGACTTTTGAGAACAGCATTTCCAACTAAATCGATCATCACAAGCTTCAGAGTGAGTTAAAAACCAGAAAGATTTCATTTAAATAAAAACTATAGGTCTTTTATCCGTCACCTTGGCTTCATACATCTTTGCAACAAAATCCGGAGAACTAAATGTGTTTGTACTGTGCATAAAAAATTACTGTTGTTTATTTACAAATAATGTCACAAAGAAATTTCTACTGGTTTTAGTGGCAAGAGCTAATAACACAAACTGCATCACAAAAATGACTACGTTGCGAAAGAATAAGCCTGAATTGAGTCTAAAAAGTCAGAAAATTTTAAAAGGGCAATTTGGGGAAACCGTATGAGAAATAACTAGTCGTATAAAAAGGTTAAACATCCTAGAAGTCACGCATGTGTTCAGGATGATTTCGGAGACAATCGATGAGGCCAGTCGGTTCCACTTTTCCAGAGCAGATTTTGTGCACAGCCGTGAACAGTGGGAACCTGGAATTTCATTCAGATGAAACACTCTAAACCTTTTAGTCAATATCCAACTAGCATTGAATAATTAGTGCTTTAGTTAACAAGAAATCCTCACTTATCATGCAATCCGCCTTGCTTCTCCATCATCAGATAAACTTCTTCAGCTGTGAGTGGACCTTGAGCCGATTGACCATTCAATAACTCTTTCTCAATCTCAGCCAGTGGCTAAAAAAATCTTTTTTTTTATTATTTGCTAATTGTAAACCTTTCCACCAGCTTTTACAAAAGCTTCGCAAACTTTGCGATTTCTTCCTCCATAACAAGTTGTGATGAGATCAGCCACTCCGCAAGATTCAAAAAACGTCTCCAAATTCGATCCCGGGTAGTAATGCTCAACAAACTGAAATGTTTGGTTATGGTATGTTTTATTAAATTATTTTTGATACCTTGGTCATCTCCATAAGTCCCAATCGAATAATGGCCGCCTTTGTATTGTCTCCATAACCAAGTCCATCAGAAAATCCAGCAGCACAAGCCACAATGTTCTAAAATTGGCTTTGTCAGTTGAATTTCATAAGCAAAGTAAGGTTCTATGTATTTACATTAAGTTTTAATACCTTCAGAGCACCGCAAAGTTCAACAGTGTGAGCATCTTCGACAACATTTATTCGGAAGTGAGGTGTGTGGAAAAGTTTCTTGAGAATAGGGCCCTGGTCCTTCCTTTGTTTACATCCTAAATGAAATTTTATTATTTTTCTTTCATTTAGAATAGTTTAAAGTGTTTCCAAAAACAAATACCAATAGTAGCCTCACAGAAGTTATCGGCTGCAACCTCTGGCGCAAGATTGGCTCCCATCAAAACCGAGCAATCCAAGCCGAGCGCTTCCTAAAAGCCATAGTAAAATTATAAAATGCTAAAATAATAAAAATCAAAAGCTTTCTACCTCAATTTCTTCAGAAATAAGTTTCAATCCGCCTTCCTTTCGCACAGAAACACCCTAAAAGTAGACATTTATTACATGAATGATTCTGAAATTGTCAAGCCCCATACAGGATTTTAAAAGGAAATTATTCGAGTTAGTTAATGGGGAACCGAGGAAAGATTTCAGAAGTTCAAAAGTTGCAGAGATTGAACAAACCGTTTCAAGTGGTGCTATTCCCTTAATTTCTTTGCATTAAATGATCAAATTAAGATATAACGTGTCTCAAAATAAACCTTGATCAATGAAATAGCTTGAACGCCATCAGCTTTTAGGTTTCCTTTGAGTGTTGAACAGATACGGCCAACAAATTGGTGAGGAACAACAAAAATGAGCACATTTGCATCTTGGCACGACTCGAGCAAATCAGGAACCGCCACCTAAAGTTATGGACTAAATTTCTGAATGACAAAAATTCGGTTTTGTGTATTAAAATTTTCAAACTTTCTCACCACATTGTCGGGAAGAATTTTTCCGGGCAAATATTTCACGTTCTCGTGCGTCTCGTTGATGATTTCCGATAATTTGCGCCCATCAATCATCTCCTCGAAGACCCACATCCTAAAAAATGAAAAATATTGGTTAATATTTATGATGCTTAGTCGCTTTTACGTGGTACTATTCTTACTTCACGGTCGAGTCAAATTCTCCCGGATTCTGCTTCGTTGTTGCACCGACAATTCTTGCGATTGCTGATCCCCTAAAATGAAATGTTATATTTACGCTTTTTGACTCTTTGTGATCTTTTTTGCTACTTATTTACTTGATAAATTTCGAACTAACCAGTTTCCGGATCCAACAATTGTCACCTTTAATGGAGCCATTGTTGCTGTATAAAATAGCCGAGCGATGAGAGAAGCCACCTGAATTTAAAATTATATTGCTAAATATATAAAAACTGAGGAAAAATAAAGAAAACAAGAGTAACATGTTGTGGCCCAAAACATCAAAGCTCTGGGTCGAAATCTTACCCAAACTGCTAAATCTTTTAACCCAGAAACACTATTCCAAATGATTTGCCAAAACGAGAGGAATAACAAGATGATTCGCGGCTGGGTTGGATTGTCTAGCCTTTATAGAAAAAAGGATATTTAGATTTTTAATAACTTTATCGGTGATAAGAAAGACATGTGTCCGAAGACAAACAAAGTGGAAGGACCGGGAAATGTATAGAAATTCTAAAACTTTAACAATTTTAAAAGAAACCGAGAAGGAGGAAAATTTTAACAATAAACAGGATTTTATAAGGGGATAGAGGAAGGGGAATATACACGCGCAAAAGACACAGAGAAGCGCCCGACCGGGCAACGATTCTTCAAAAGAATGAATTTTGAAGGAATGGGACTTTATTTTATAGACGGAAAGGGGGGCGCCGTCTCAAGTACGGTAGATTAGGTGTATTTTAGAATTCAGAGTTGGAAAGTTACCAACTCGTATTGCTGGAATTCGGCTTTTACTCAAGGGTATTTTGCTGTTCCTTTTGAATCAAGGAAACAAAAAACGGAACAGAGGGGAGTGTTGTTGATACCTAGAAAGAGAAAGTGGTGTAATGAAAGGCGGAGAAAAATAATGGAAGGGGAGAAAAAAAGGGGCAGAGGTCAAGGTAATCGAAGGGTTATCGATTGTGAAATATCTTAGCAGAGAAAGAACATCATTGGGTCAAGGAAATCCCAGTGGCAATCAACGAGTAATCGATAAGATAATGAATCAGAGATCGTTCCTTTAATTCTCAAAGGTTGCTGTTTTTTTTTGGTGTTTTGCGCTCGCTGCACACGTAAACACTACTTTGGTTCCCTTTTTGGAGAGTTCTTTTGCGGCCGTGCGAACAACGAGCCACGGCTAGCGACAGATCCAAAAAAAAAAGCTCAACTCTCTACTTAAAAGACTCAATATCGACATAAAACGACGAAAAACTTTTACTCTCTCCCAATTATCGTGTCAAAATGTTTCCAATCCTGTCATGACCAGCAATATTTTCGAAATATTTACCTGCAATCAAATTTTTAAATCATAATAAAATTTTATGCAAAGATGCAGTAAAAAGCAAATTAACAAGATAAGTAACCTCAAAATTCGTCTTGAGAAAGACGTAAAGTTCTTTTTGCGTAAACTTTCAGCGACAAATTTTCAGAGAGTAAATATTTTGAAGAAAGTTTTAATTCTAGCACAAGAAAAATGAAATCTAATGCGTAATAAACTAGAGTACAAGAGAAAGAAAGATGAATGCACTTCGTGACAGGCAACAAACAGTAAATTTTCAAAACACTAACAACAAATGCATTTTCACTGTAGCATTTAAAACAATTTAAGTGTAATTTATAAGTTAATTTCAAATAGAAAATGCTCAGATTTTTGGAAATTATCACTTTTTTCATTGACGTTTTCTATTTGCATCAACATTTCAGTACAATTTTACAAAAAGTTTCTTTGCAAAATTTGAACCATCTTCACAACAGCATCTCTACACGTAACTTTTCGAACCTAGAATCTTTTTTTAGTTAGAATAAGTTTTCTTTTTTTGATTAAACCTGAGAATCCATAGATCCCATGAAAAAAGTCGGTTCGCTAGCCCGAGATGGCACAATTATCGAACCTAAATGTGATTTATCATGAATAGAAACTAATTTTCTCGTTTGAAAGTCCTGTCTCTGTTCTGTTTAAAGTTCTGTTTATATATACCGTATTTTCTCTAATAGTAGTGCACCCTGAGCGTCGCCTAAATTGCTCGGAATCTCGAGAACCGCTTATCAGAACCTATCGATGTGGGGTCGGAAAATGTAGCTGATGATGAGATCTAGTGGGGGATTAGAGTGTTGAGCTTCTGCAAAAGCTTGGAAACCGTAAAATAGTCATCAACTCGGCTCGCCGGGGTGCACTACTATTAGAGAAAATACGGTATATATATAGTTGTGCTTAATGCGTCTTTTTGGCTTTCGAAGACAATATATTAAGCTAAGCTGAAAAACAACGATTAATCATAAAATCTACGCGTAATTTTACATAGAATAGAAGAATCTTAACATTTTTTTAATGACTTTAACAACCCTAGCCGAGGAGTACAAAAATGCTATGCGGCAGGATGCTGAAAAACAGTTAAATTCGAGTATGGGGTTTCTAAAAATCGTCTTTTTTCGTCTTTTCCTGCATTAATACGTTTTTAGAGTAAATTACTTATAGAATTAGGACTTTTTAAGCTTCATTATTGCAAATGTGAGCTTATCTTTGACAAATTTTTATTTTTTTTGAGATCAGCATCACGTTTAAAGTTTTATAAGTTTTAAATTTTTACACAAACTCATGAATCTAGGTGAAAAATATCGGAAAATGTAGCTGACGATGAGATCTAGTGGGGGATTCGAGTGTTGAGCTTCTGCAAAAGCTTGGAAACCGTAAAATTGTCGCCAACTCGGCTCGCCTGGGTGCACTAATATTAGAGAAAATACGGTATGTAAAAGTGTCTACAGTTTTACATACCGTATTTTGTAGCTGACGTATGTAAAAGTGTTTACAGTTTTAAATATAGATAATATCATAGAATATTGTTAACATTTTGTTAGATAAAAAAAGAATAGTTTGCTTAAAGCTTCGAAAATATCCATACAATTCTTTAAAGAAATGATTTAGAAATTGTTGAAATAATCGAAAGATTTCGCTTCTCTCATTCAAACAATTAAATATCATGTTCCCCATCTACAACGCAAATCAAAAAATAATTAAAAAATGTTGCTGAGCAGATGAAATGATGATCACATCAGACAACTTGTATCTCTGTCAGCTCATGAATGAATGGCAATGGGGTACCGGTCTCAAAAGTGTCTGTGTCCACATACATGGTTGTGGTGTCTTTTTTGATTCTTTTTGATTTTAAGTTTTATAACGTTTAAAGTTTTATAAGTTTTAAATTTTTAACTCATGAATCCAGGTGAAAAATATCGGTAGATTTTAAATATCTAAACGAAAAAAACTGTGAACTCTTTTGGTTTTTGAGAAAATGATCTTTGTTGAGTGCAACACTAGATATGCCGCTCTTACCAGATCCATGATATGCACGCGCATTTGTCGCCGTGATCAATGATTGTAAAGTCGCCTCACTCACACCAGATCCTCCAATTTTATGAATTCAAAATACAAATAAAGTTTTTTTTTGCGATACCTACGATGATTTCAATTCTCGTTCCCGAATAAACGACAATTTCGGTGAGCAAAGCAATGCCTTGAATAGCCAGAGAGCATTGACCACTGAATATATTTGTTGCTATATTCATTTTTTTTTTCTGACTGAATACCTTGTCAATATGGATGTAAAGCCCAATTGTATAGCTTCATCAAGAGATGTTTTCCAATCAGCGGTCAAATCAAATGCTCTATGCAAAGTGCAGGGCAATGGAGCCGCGACGCCAAGTAATCGTCCACAATTTACCAAATTCAACGTGTCATCTCTAAATTTTCTCTTAACAATTGAAAAATTTCATTAAAACTTACGAGTTTAGGCATCCAAAAACAAATCCACTGGCATAAGGCTTTAAATTGGCGACATCCTCCAGCATTGTTAACATCTAAATTCTGAGCTCTTTTTTTTGAACTCTCCTAATCGATACCTCATTTTCTTCATAAACAAAGTCTCCTCCTCGACATCTTATCATTATCATCATCTTTGTGATCGGGAATTTGTCGTAAATCTTTTTCACGAGTCCTATAAAGATCGATTAAAAAGGAAATATGCTTATTTGCACCGATCGACGGAGTCAATCCACCCAAAGGCAAAGCTGAACATACTTCCAATTGAGTTGCACCTCAAATGTTTCTTATTACGTAAAATTCACTGATTGTCGCTCATTTTATAGATTGATTTTAAATAGATTTTAAATCGATTTTAAATCGATTTCTAAATTTCTGCAACAAACCTCCCTCCACAGCAGCAATTGCCGAATCAAAGCTATCAATGCATACTTCGAGTTTATAGTTTGGCATTGCGTATCTTTTCGTTTAAAAGCAAATAAACACTATTTGTATCCACTAAAAAATCGAAATCAAAATGCGTCAGAGAAAAAGGAAAAGAAATTTTTGCCGCCTCTGTTGAATTGATTTTGTAAACCAAAAAAGAAATCGCTGGAAGATGCAAAATGGATGGACTTTGGAAAACAACAGGAAAACTGTGGTTCAATTTAGATAGATAGATAGATATTAAAGATAGATATTAAATAGATATTAAAGAGAAAAGATAGATATTAAATATTATTGGAAGATGATAATAAAAAAGAAGTTAACTGGTAAAGACTAATTTGAATAATAGAGAAAAGATGGTAAGAGAAGAGAAAAATGGAGGGAAATGTGGTCACAACAAAAAAAGGGAAAAGGAAAGGATGGACGGGGTGGGTCGACAGAAATGTATTCGCTTACACCTCTCTCCATCCTTTCCACACTCCATTCTTGGCCTGTGCCCGATGAATGAGTCATTTGTCTGTCTGCAATTCTTTTTGCTTCAAAATTGAGTCGAATTTCTTTATTGCTTTCAAAATATTGTTTCCACATTCAAGAACTGAGATTTCCGATTTGAAAGAGGAGATCGAGAGAGGCAACGTCTCGAATTCATCGAAGCTTCACTACTAAAAGATTGAAAATATTTTCCTGACTCTTTTTCTAAATCTTCTAAACCTTCTAAATCTTCTAAAAACAAACCCTCCACGAGATCGAGCTTTTTGTGATGGAATTGTCCGTCGACTGAGCGGTGAAGTGGGAGCAGCTGTAGAAGCGAGGGATTGAGCTCTAGATCTCCATTCTTTCACTCGCTCTGTTGCTTCTTGTAATGTCAACGATTTCCCCATTGCCTATTTGATAGATTTGAAATGAAACTCTTGATTTCTCGCCTACCATACTCACAATTCCACACCATCCACGAGGGTCAAGCTTTTGCAGAGTTGTTCGCAATTGATGGCAATAGATATGCTCAAATCCCAATACGATTAAAGCGATGATCTAGAGAATATTTCGGAATTTAATTTATTAAAACAAAGGCAAACAATTCCGCCGCCAAGCATGAGAAAAGCCGACATGAAGTTTTCGACTCCAAGTGGTGCACTTTGTGTTTGCGTGTGTCCGTCTCGAGTGCAAGCGCCATTTAGCCAAAAATTTTGCAACCTTTCCAAATCTCCTAAAAGTTGATTTCTTTAAAAACGTTTCGCTCTTTAAAACCATTTTGTTGATACTGCAACATCCATTGATTCACCATTTGCACATAAGGAGAGTTTTTCGGAAAACCAATCCCATAGCCAGTCATACTAGACCATTTACCCACCTAAATCGATTGAATTAAGTCTGTTTTTTTTTTCTGTAAACCCTTGTGAGTTCACAATTCGGATCTTTTCCAGCCATATAATCGATGACGACAGCATCATAAATAAAAGCATCCAATTGGCTAAAATATTCGAGTGTTTTAGATTTTATTCACAAGAATAATGTAGTACAAACACTACACCATAACACCTAAGACCTAAATGTAGGGAAAGCCCCTTGCATATGGAAAAAAGAACCAATAATCTAATCAAAACCGGCGGGATTGTCCCCTTGACTTCCCGACTAAGATACGGGGCTCTTAGCCAGTCGGCCACGGAGCTCACTTGAGCCACTTGAGCAGTTAACACAAGAACGTACTCATTTCTCACAGCCTCCACACCCGCTGAAACATTTTGCACAAAAAAGTTGTTTCTTTCCACATAATCATTCATTCTGTGCCAATTGCTAAAGAAAAATTTTTTGTAATTGTTAGACTTTAGTGAAACCGTTTCATTGTTTCGTGTGTATTTCCCCCATCCACAGTGCCAAATCGAAATGGTGGTTTTTGATCTTCGGGATATATGAGCTTAAATGTTTTTTGTTATTTATTTATGATTTGACTTCAAAATCTGTCGATTAAAGAGCAGCTCTCAATAAAGAGAGTTGCCCAAACAAGCCAATAAAGACGGCAAAGAGAAAATTTATGTTTTGAATTCAAAAGATGATTAAAGAGCAGCTCTCACTCACCATTGGATCGTGAATACCAGACAAATCATAATATTGAACTCGGGTGATCATGAAAGCTGCAAGATTTGCTGTGTAAACAGCGAGAAAAGTGAGACCAAAAGCCGCCCATACAAGGGCCATACAACGCGAAACAGCTGATCGGGGTACATCTGTAAACAAGAAGAAATTCAATTCAAAATATTTATGATTAGATATTAAACCTGTTGAAACACTAGCGCTGAAGAGAGTCGCCCAAACAAGCCAATAAGAACGGCAAAGAGAAAATTTATGATCTGCAAAAGTTTGTTTGAATTTGGGAATTGCTCGAGAATGTTTGTACCGGGTGGAGGGTATCGTTGCATATTAAATGAATATGGAGAAACCCATTCAAAAATGAAAATTGCAAGTGCAGCGCCTTGGATTGAAACACATAGAATAATAACCCAAGTCGAATATTCGAATGGCTCTAGAAAGAAAAAATGTTTTCAAGCATCTACTCAAAACAAACCAAGGAATGCTGTTGGACTAAGCACTCCACTGCGTATTTTGACAATGATCGAGATTCCGGTGTCAAGGAATGGAATCGAAAAATCGATATCTTTTGCTCTTTCTGAGTTCAACTGAATTTCAAAATTAGATTCGCAAATATAAATACGAACTTTCAAAGATGTAACACACATATCAGCTTTATGATTGATCAGATCGGCGATCAAACCATTCCAACCCTTTTCCTAGAAAAATTTTCAAGATATTCTCAAAAGCTAACAATTTCTTTAACTGTTTTAAGTCCCCATTTTTCATCCCGAACTTTGTAGAGAGTGTATGTGAAACCGATGTCGTTGGCCAGCTTGTTCAACAAATCCACACAATACCCCGAGCAGCATTTAGTCAATGTTCGATTTCTGAAATCATTCAAATGAGTTATTGCAAAAATTTTTTTTGTTTACTTTCTATTTCCTTCAATGTCGATCTCCTCTTTTCCCCAATCACATAATGAGCCCTGAATGTACATGAAATTACTCAAAATTAGGCTTCACTTGATTTCCTGGACAAAGTCCTGTGTCCGGATCGAGCTCAGAAACGGTGATGAATGGGGGCTCATGAAGTGTCACAACCTAGAATTGGTCAATTGTTTCTAGAAAAAAATAAAGCCAATTTTTTTGGCAGGGAGTTCTCCCAGGAGTTTGAACATAGTGACGCCCCAGATGACGAAGCTGCCTCAATCGCCCACCGCTCCTCATCCTTATCTCCAACCAGAAAAAAGCCAAGCAAGAAAGGTCCCTTATGCCAGACGAGTTTGCCAGATGAAGAGCGATTGTGCGCGCGTACAAAGAACATTTCGGCAGTCATTTGCACAGCGATTTTTCTTATGCTTTGTAGATAATATAAAAAGAAGATATTGAGGTGTAAATTTGTACCCGGGGGTTTTCAGGGTCGGTGAATCATTTTGCGCTATTCATTTTATTGAGTCTACCAATTGACGCTCGGGTTTAATTAGTCTAAACTTTTAGATGCAATGAGAATCCTAATTCAGTCCTAATTCGGGCCTCTTCTTTAAAAAAAACTCTTAGGTACCTTAACATGAAATTTGTCTGTTGATCCTTGTGGTGGATTGGCTTTCCCTCCCGGCCACTGTACATCCTGCATTCTCAACTCTCCATTGTAGAACTCTCCAACCTAGATATCAAAAAGAGTCTTTATCACCGTTTACATCAACCTTTTCCCAAAAATAAATCTGTCGATCTTTGGTTTTTAGTCGAAGATTTGAGACCGTGAGCAACGAGTTTTTCAGCTTTCCATATTTATCGAATTTGAAAACAAACGCCGATTGACTGTCTTTTTGTGGATATGGATAGCCCTTGACCGATGAATTCTTCATAGCTCTAAAGTAAATTTGCTTGAAAATTATGTAAGACTTTTTTTTTTAATGTTACTCGTAAAGATAAGCTCCATTCTTCCAGCTGGCTGATCCCTCATTTGCTTTGCATGAAGCATCAGATTGAAGAGAAATCTCTGCCGAGTCGTTCAATCCAACCAACGATTGTGCAAATAGCTGAATGCTTTGTTCGGTTTATGATGTTTAAAATTGAAATCAAACTTTTGGAGCCATTCCAATATTCAAAGCCACCACGTCATCAGAGTTCGCAATCAAATCGGCTTTCGTGTAAAAGTTGATACTCAGCATTCCTGGTTGAACTGGCGGAGTGAAAGTGTCAAACATTCCTAATAAATCTTTCAATAACTTAAACAATAAACTACAATAACAATAAACTTCAATAATGTATTTTCTTTTTTACCTTTAACAGATTGAGTTCCTATCCAGAGATATTTTTCAGAAAGTAGACCGAAACTCTCAGCTTTCTAGGTAAATATTTTTGTTAATAAATTTCTTTTAAAAATAAACCTCAAATATGACTTTAGCTTGTGCTCCAGTACTGTAAAGGAGTACAATTTTTGCTTGAGATTTTCTCAGCTCAGCCATTTGTGAATGAACATGGCTAGCATTCAACGTATCAACAACAGAATCAAAAATCAACTCAAGACTAAATTTACTATTAATAGAAAATCGAGTTTATTTACGGAATTCCTTGTCGACCTTGATTTTCTTTGCGAACTTCGCTGTAGACACTTTCGATGAACTCATTGCTTCCTAGAAAAGATTTATTAGAAGAATTAAATGTTCCGAACCAGCCATATTGCTAGCTACGACGCCAAATTTACTCCAATTGTATCGATTCAATAAAGCGAGCATTGCCTGTAAAAAAAAAACATTTTCTTATGGATTCCTATGGAAAAAAAACTTGAATCTGGTGTTCGATTGGTGGAGCAAATTGTAAAATTCGATACGGCGTCAAGTTCTAAAACCTTTTTTATTTTGAAAGCTTTAAAGCTGTAGCTTTAAAGAAAAGAAGCTGTAGCTTTTTGAAAGCTTTAAAGCTTTAAAGCCTTACTTCAACCAATCTTACCTTAATAAATGTAAAGCCAGAGTTGTCAGCATTAAATGCAATGATCGGAATGCCCGTGTGAGAAGCCATTGTGAGAAAATACTAAACTTGAATCGACTACAACTTTTGTATTTTCGTTTACTGTATTCTGTGGATATAAGAGTCAAAATTATATTTTCTCTATTTATTCTCTAGCTTTTCCTCTATCATATTTCCTTTATTTTCTCGACTTTTGCCCGACCTGAGCGGCGGCTGTGGAGCTATCAAATTCCTCGGTAGAAGTGATGAAAATTATCACAGCAACCTAATAAGCTTGGTGGAAATTGTTTCTTTTTTTCTTGTTTCATTTTTCTTGTTTCTAAACCCCACTTTTTCCTTGACAAAAACATCACAGAGACAGTGAAGAACATGAGAGACATAAAACATTCCTCGGGGTACCGTACAGTCAACTGGAGCAAACACATACTTTGCTCCCACTTTTCGCATTGTTCTCAAAGTTTTCTCTTTGCTTTGATTTATATTCAAATTTTCGACTAACGAGCTTTTTGCTGTGTCTCCAATTTGTTGAATGACGGTGCGAAAAGTTTTTTCATAAGTCTTTGACTTTGTGTAGCCCTAAATAAAAGGATTTTGTAGAGTTTGTCTTTTCGACTTTGTTGCCTTCTTTGATTTTTTAGACTTTGGGTTTTCTATTTTTCTATTTTTCTATACCTACCGTAAATACTGTAATTGGACCCCCATAATGACGGTGCAGAGTGTTGCGTAGTCTAGCTTTGAATGAGTTTTTCTCGACACTGGTTTATGCTACAATGCGCGCTTAGGTATCAAAAAAATAGCCCTGAATTTCAGCTATTTTTTGATACCAAAGACGCATTTTTTGAAAGGACGGGCGCTTTGAAAAAAATGAAATACTAAAAAAACTTTTGCGACTACGCGACTGTACGAGGGAGGGTGGGGTACTATTACAGTATTTACGGTAGTTAAACTAAAGCTAAAGCTTAGTCAATTCGTATTTTGAGTTACTGTATTCTGAGGGTATAAGAGTCGATTTCTTTTTTGAGATAAAAATTTCATTCTGATTATTTTTGTTAGCAGTTTTAATAAACTGATTTCTACCAATAAAGCGATTTTTTTTTCTAACAAAATGAGATTTTATAGATTGAAATGGAGAAAAGTTAAATGAAAAGAAAGTTTGAGAACACAAAATGACCTTATTCTTAAACAATTTATTAAACAAACTTGATAAACAAGCCCAATTTTGACGATTTCTTTCTCTGGCGCTTCCAAGGCAACAAAACCCGCAAAAGTGATCAAAAAGTAGATTGTTGGATTAGCCATTATTTAGGGAATGATAAAAGATAGGGATTGATTGTTGAAACAATACATCGATAAGAAAAAGACAAGAAAAAATTGAATGGGTGTGGGGCAGGGAGCGAGTCTGGATGGAGGAGACTCCCTTGGGCAATTACTTGAAGAGCAACTTGGGGTCCCTCTTCTATTCCCATTTCAGTCAACCCCCAATCTTCGCTTCTCTTTTTCTTCTTCAACTCATCTAAAAGGATCTTTTCTTCTAAACATCTTTTTCCTTAGCTGTTTTTGCGTTTAAAAAGCGCTTTTCACCAATTAGAAAACCGGGGAAACGAACTTCCATTTCCATTTTTCACTTTTCACTTAACCATTTCTCCATTTCTTCATTGGAAATTAGGTTGCAAGTATACAAGTGTATATGCAAGTCTTTTCCTTTCAGCTATCTTTTAAAATTTCAAACTTATTCAAATCGATTGAACTTGTTTATATGTCGTAGCCGATTATGAATTTCAGTCGATTATGAATGAGTGGGTCTAGGAGCGTCCAACCATCAAATATTTGGTATCATTCAACGCAGAATCATTAATAATTATGTTAAATTTTTAAAATTAGAAAGTTTTGATAAAAAGAAAAAAAATTAGAGCAAAAAACTGTTTGTTCAAGAGGAAACTTTGAGGCCCCATAATTTTTTTTCTTTTTATCTAATCTTTCTAATTTTAAAAATTTAACATAATTATTAATGATTCTGCGTTGAATGATACCAAATACTTGATGGTTGGACGCGTCCGGACCCGCTCATTCGACATAGTCGCTCATAGTCGGCTACGACATATATAAAAATAAATAGCTATTGAAGCTAAGCTAAGCATCTAAGCTAACCATGACATGAAAAGTTTATCAAAAAAATTAAGCAAACACAAAAAAGCACAATGATCGACGAAAATACGAGTGAATAAGAGTTGAAGCATCACCTGGAAGTGACCCGTGAGTGTAATTCACTAGTATGACATGACTTTGAGCAAAGTGGGGAGAGAGAAAAAAAAAACAGTACACAAGTAAGAGTGAGGCTCGGAAGTTTTGTGAAAAAATGGGCAGTGCCAATAGAAATCTCAAGCAAATGGAAAAAAGCAATGGAAAAAATAAAATTTTTACTACAAAACTATTTACAAAGATACATTCTTTTAGTATTTGCGATTGTCGAAGAGCTTTGGATCTTTCACACTTTCGCAATAACTGGCCGTTCTTTGGCGAATACAGTACTAAAAACAGAGTTTATTACAAGTGAATAGCCTTTGTTTAAGTGAATAGCTTTTATTTAAGTGAATAGCTTTTCTTTAAGTGAATAACTTTTATTTAAGTGAATAGCCTTTGTTTAAGTGAATAACTTTTGTTTAAGTGAATAACTTTTGTTTAAGTGAATAACTTTTGTTTAATAAGTTTGTATTTCCAAATATGATATTTTATTTGGAAAGTTTTTAAAAAAAACCTCAAAATAGTCGACGACAGGATGAGCGTACTCGGAGTCCCAATTGCGCTCAAACACCGAAGCTAGTTGTGATACCTGAAGACAGAATACATACACGTTTCCATTTAGCTTATAAATGAATTCAAACACCATTAAATCTTTGCACACATTCTTCTGTATACTATTTTTGTTAATATTAAAGCTGTTCAGAAAGTTTTTTCGTTCCTTTTCAAACTTCCTTTGAAAAATAACAAATATTCACCAATTAACCTATAGTTTCCTCTGAATAAAAAGTGTTTATTGTTGAATTTCCATCTTTTTAAGTCAATTTGGGCTCACTTTCAAGCAAATTCGAGAGTGAAAACACGTGTTTTTCGTAAAAATCTATAAAAAAAACCTCTACGAAGAAATTGGCTGAATGAATTTCTCAGAAAATTTGGCTATATACCAAACTTTTTATGCTCTATCTTTTATCTATTGACACAAAAGCTGGTTTCCTTAGCTAAATTGTCTAAACCACATCATTGAGCCGTCCTTTTGACTACTCGACTTCATGCTCCCAAAAAAAAGTCCATACATAAGACATTTAAAACCCGTTTTAATGTTATTTTGCAGAAAAATAATTGGCTTTTCTAATGAAATAAACCGTAATTCATTTGTTGGTTTTAAACGGAAGTACGAAAAGGAGCGAAAAGACTTTCTGGAGAGCCTAATATTAGGGACTTAGAAAAGAAACTCCGGATCAAAAAAGTCACCATACAACGACTGTAAGTAAAGATGATCCCGTTTAATTAGTATTTTTAGAAACCACAATATCTTTTCTTTTTAACGGCATAAATAGAATTATACAGTGATCGCGGAATATAGACGTTTCAAAAAGGTACCAAAAAACGACTTGACGGCGGCTTAAATTTATAAAAAAGCATTATTTTTGACGAAACCCTGGTCTAAATTATTAACAGATCAAAAGCCCAAACTTAATAGAAGCTATTTACAGAAAACTAAAACAAATTCGGTGAACTATTCCATTATAAATATTCCTTTGAAGAGTTGTGGCTCTGAAACAAAGGGCCCAAATTTGGTTTTTAAGTTGATTTTCAAATTGTTTTAACAAAGAGTACGCAAAGAACAAATTTGTATTTGTATGTTATTTGTTTTAGTTAGTAAACTTCTTTCATTTCTTATTAGTGACAAAACATTTGAAAAACCGTGGAGAAATCTTGAGTTGAAGTTCGGCTCCGCCAGGCCATTTTTGGTGTCTTTTTTGAAAATTCCACTGGCCTTTTCAAAAGGAAGATTCGTAAAATTCTTTTTATATCGTTAAAAAAGAGAAGATATTGGGGTTTCTAAAAATACTAATCAACCCGGATCATCTTTACTTACAGTCCTTGTATGGTTGCTTTTTTGACCCGCAGTTTCTTCTGCAAGTCTAATAGGTTAATTTACATTTAAAGTTTATTTTTTTTTTGATTCATTCATTCATCTTTTAGAACTTTTAACTCACCAATGGTCTTTTTGAACCATTTTGTTTCACGACCAAGGCTGTACCGGTTGTTCCACCTTCAAAATAATCACCCGACCAATTCGAAGTTCCTAAAAAGTTCAACTTTCAACTTTGTTTATATTCAATGTTCAATATTCAAAAATATTCAATGTTTCAATTGATTTTCACATGACCTTTCCCCTATTTTTGATTAGTTTTCTCAAATTCTCTTTGATAAGACTTCCGATAAGTGGTAGCCAAATTAAATTTATAAATAAAAAAAAGGAGCGATCTTGTGAGTCCTAGATAAGAGTCTGTGACGCACGCACGGCTTGTATCAAGAATAAAACAAAAAAAAACGGATGAGAGATAAGGGTAGACACGAAGTACCCGATCAAAGTTGATTCCGATATTTTTGAAGGGAAAATGAAAGCAGCTGTGACTTCCCTATCCCTCCCATATCACTACACTCAAAATCCCATTTTTCGATTTATCGCTTTGCTGACAGCAAAAACTGAACTATGAACAAAGAACTATGAACAAAACAAAACGCGCAAATTTTAGAATAGAAGCCATGCGATCGATGGTACGAGGAAGCAAAACTCTCACCAACAACAGCGGCTCCTTCAGTCACCACTACTTTGTTGTGAGTGCGTCGATCTCTCACAATCACCGCCGCCTCCGTTTCACTGGGTGGTGGCACCTTGAAGATCTTCTGAAATTTGTATAAGTAGCAAATTTTAAACAAAAGTTTTACTTACCACTTGAACACTTCCATTGCTATTGATGCCATCAAGATCTTGAAGGGCTTTCAGGAAACGAATGCCAAGCTGAAAAGATTTATTTTACAACTTTGAAGACCTTTCCTTACCTCAGGATGATGAATAGCTGCCGAAAGGATTCTGACATGCACACCCCGGGCGATCGCTCTACGTAAAGCATCGTCCAATGTTGGCCATAACCTTTAAACAATTATAGTCAATTTTGCATTTGAATTTTAAAATTTCTAATCAAAGTAAAACTAACTCTCTGGGTTTGCGATAGACAAATAGTGGATGATAATCCATCACATGAACATAAGCAAATTGCTTGGCCGAGTCAAGAATTTCGATCAACGCTTCCAAATCCCATGTTCTACCGGCGGCATTAAGCGGTTTCGGCGAAGACTGAAAGAACAAGTATCTACGATATATAAAAGCCGTCTGTCCGTCTGTACGGGCATTTTCTCAGCCGTCTTTAAGCCAAAAAAAACTGGTCAAACCGGTGGTCGAACCCGGATGTAGAAATAGAAATAGAAATGGAAATGCACGCTGTAGAAATGGACGCTCCAGAGTGCGCCACAGTGACATGTGTCACCCCCAAAAAAAACCAGCCGTTAGGCGAGTTTTTCACCTGATTAATTACGAAAGTTTTATGAGTTTTTTTTACCGCAATGTATGCTTGAGTCTCAGCTCCATCAATCGACAGTTTTAGAGGATTTTCACTATTGTATCTAAAGAGTTTTTATTGAAAGTAAAAATGCGTGCAAATACTTGGCCAATTGTGTATTGCTGTGCCCAACAGCGAGCTCCCAATAAGTGTCATAGATTGAGCGCAAATCTTTGCCCAAGCAAGGGCAATCCTCCACAACAAAACCGAGTTCCATTTTCTGAATTTCGATTTTCGTTTACTCAAAGAAAGAAAGTGAGTCAATTACTTGATTGAGCGATCTCCAGTCGAGATTTGCTGATCCCAAATAGAAATGTCGATCATCGGCGAGCAGAAATTTGGAATGCATCTTCCCATCTCTTCGAGTCAATCTTTTCATCTCCAACTTTCTACGCTCAATCAAGCCTAAATTTCGATAAAAACAAGGCGAATAATGATCTCAAACCAAGGTCCTCCAAAATATTTCCATCTTCATTGTCTCCTTTGTCTTTTGGTGGGAAGCTCTCAACCATTCCAATCTTGATTACATTTCCCTTCTCTTTTAATTGTTCAAAGATGGCGTCACCCTAAGAAATGTTTATTTCTATTCAATTTACTTATTTCTATCTCTATTTCTATGAAATAAATCGATTGAATTACTTCATTTGCAAAGTGAAAATCGTGTGGATCGCTGAGAACATGACGACCTTGTAGACTCGATTTATATGCGGCAATTACAAGTTCTTTCTCGGCTCTGAAATGTTTCAATATTCCATCAAAATGAAATTTTGTTGTGCTTTTTAAATATAACTAGTTTACCTTTCAATAATTCGACTCCAGGCTTCAAAAGTCGATTCCGGAATGCGTGCGCCCGGGAATGAAACATTAGTAGGAATACTCTCCGCTATGCTTATTCTAAAAACAAAAATAAAAAAACTTTTCATACAGTATAAAAGCACATTAATAATATCATTAAATTGCTTAATCATTTTTGAAAAAAAAATCAACTTAAAAGGCTAACCCACCATTGCACTAACCATGGGGTGTTTAAAAGTCCACCAAAGCGAGTCTGTTGGTGTAATTGACCTTTCAAAGTCGATCAATGTCAACGACGTTTTATTATTTATCAATATTTATTGCTCACCTACAAGTTGCGTAGCATTTAGCATCATCTATACTCTCTGTTCTTTGTGTTTTGTATAATGAATAGAAAGAGAGATAAAGGATGAGAAGTGAAGGGAAAAGAGCGCTTGTCCACGACTGAAAATGACAATGAGCTGAATCTTAAAATGCCAGCCACTCCACCAACCACCAAATTTTCACTGCTCGACTTCTTTTTCTCAGATTTGCTTTCAAAGTTTTCCTTTATCTCGTGATCACAATTTTGAGCGAGATCAAGTTTTGACGTTGATTCTCTCGATGATTCCATTGAAAATTTCTGAAAAATTGTTCGTTTTCCTATTTTGTGTGTTTAGATCTATATAAAAAATGAGTTATTTGCAATATAAATAAGTGCATTTTATTTTTTCAACAACGCCAAACAAAGTCTGGACTCTGTCCTGTCCTCACTGGTATCAGGAGCTCACCAAAAAGCTCTCTCTCTATCAACAAGACATCAAAAATGAACAAAACAATCGATTGTGGTTAAAGTTGAAAAAGAATTCTTGTTGATCCCCTAATAAGTTTATAAGAAGCAGAAAAAGGAAATAAAGGTAAAAAGAAAAGAAAAGCTATCTTTATATGGTGGTGATTTCTTGGTATTTGCCGGCCGCCTCAACTGATAAGGGAAAAGCAAAAAAAGAAAATGAGGGACTCTCAATTCTCTCGAAATGGACACTCGGGTGATAGGTCCGGAGAAAAAGAAGTGAATTATTGAACTCGTGATCAGATGATCGAAAGTATTTCATGAATAAACTAATAAGACCAAAGTTGAAGCTAAAATACGTCACTGCTTTGATTTTATTGAAGTTTACTTGTCTCTTAATCTCACTTATTAGCTTTATTTATGAATTAGGAGTTCGCTAGCTTTATTTATTAATCACGAGACTTTTGACAGCGATTTTTTTTCAATGCAGTTACTTGATCTTAAGCCTTTGTGTTTTCAGATCAAAGCCAGTGCCCTTTCATTTCCTCAATGTAAAGTTTTCAATCAAGTAGACCCAATCAAAAGTTTAACTCAACCCTAGAAAACAATTCTGAGTAAAATATAAGAAATAGCGAAAGAATGAATGAATGACGTCGAAAGTGGAGAGCACTTTGAGCGCTCATCTGCCCTATTCTAAGGCTACTGACTGATATGGACCGTCAGAGTGAGAAAGAGAGGAAATCAAAGATACAGAGACAATCACTCACTCTTTTTTTTCTTTTCTTTTCTTTGCTTCTCGATGAAATCTTCTCAATACCACACGTGGCATAAACAGTCCACTTCCGATCTAGGTTATTATGATTAGAGAAATTTCAAGAAAGAAAACAAGTCCTTGTGACTGTCAAGCATTCTTTTTATTCTAGGTTTTGAAATATTTAGCTTGTTTCCAAATCAAAACAAACTGTGATCGAGTAATCAAAGATCAAACTAATAATAATCAAAGACTCTAAAGCGGCGAAAATAATCACCATTGTTCACAGATTCTCCGAAACAAATCTTGTTGTGTGTATTAATTTCTGATTATTAAATGTACAACGAATTTATTAGCGATCAATTTGTACAAATCATATATACAATAATTAGAAATATTTAGAGATAATTAGAGAGAATATAATCGACTTTTTTTTAGGCTTTTAGGCTTTTAGGCTTTTTCGGCTACTTGTTAGACCAAAAAATTGCAATAAACACTGGAAAAATGCCTGAAAAAAAAAGAAAAACGTTTTGTTATTATGATTTTCGGGAGTGGGACAAATGCGACCTTTTTTTTGCGCACCCGGACATTTGCGCACCCGGACATTTGCGCACCTTTTTTTCCGCACCTTGCCCATTAGCGTACCCTTTTTCGCGTTTTAAAAAAGCTCTAAAAAGCTAATATTAGCCAATTTCTATTCCAAAAGTTGTTTTTCTAGGTAATTTTAGGGCGTAGAATCGAAATTTTGACATATCAGAGCTTGTGGAAACAAACGGACGGAGTTATACAAAGAGAAAAATCGACAATTTTCTGTAATTTGATCTAGCCGTTTTGTCTTTCAAATTGGTAATTGGGAACTAAATAGAAACTATAAAGGCACTAAATAGGAACCAAATAGGAACTAAATAGGGACTAAATAGGGACTAAATCTCTTTTAACAATTGTCACCTTATCGCCTTCTTTCAAATTGGTTCCACACGCTCTGTTAGGTCAAAATTTCGATTCTACGCCCTAAAATTACCTAGAAAAACAACTTTTGGAATAGAAATTGGCTAATATTAGCTTTTTAGAGCTTTTTTAAAACGCGAAAAAGGGTACGCTAAAGGGCAAGGTGCGGAAAAAAAGGTGCGCAAATGTCCGGGTGCGCAAAAAAAAGGTCGCATTTGTCCCACTCCCTGATTTTCTTGAATAACATTGATTTTAATTATGCTTTCCGTTTCTAATTTACAAAAAACCAAATGTTTATTCCGTTGATTTTAAATGTTTATTGTTTTAAAAGTTTTTATGTGGGCAAATTTTTGTGTTTCATGTACACTCAACATTCACTTCATCAATTCACTTCATTTAGTCACTCTATCGATTATAAATTGGAAACTTCATCGATTTATATTCTTCTTTTCGTTTTTTAAAGAATCATTGTTGAAAAGTATTTTGAAAAACTCGACTCAAAGTAGTATACAAGGGTTTACTTTGCACGACTCACCCCTCCTCTCCCCTCTCCTCTCCTCTCCTCTCCTCTCCTCTCCTCTCCTCTCCTCTCCTCTCCTCTCCTCTCCTCTCCTCCCCTCCCTCCCCCACCAATCCTTTCTTTACCCAGCTCTTCTCTTTTTGCTAAATAAACAAACAAAACAGTGATGGGGTATTTTACTTTTATGACCACATATGTTTTCTGTATTATACTTTGCAATCAATAATAGAACGAAGAAGTGCGCGACTCTTCTCTCCTTCACTCCTCTCCCTTTTCTTTCCCATGATTCACGGAAACAAATCTCGCTGTGTCGAAATCTATCATTTACCTTTTTCACTAACTTTTTCATATATCTGAAAAACCTTTTTAGACATTTCATCAAATATTTTTTTTTGCTATCGGTTCAGAGAATTAGGGTCAATTGCTTATCACTCATTTCCTTTGCTTCAGCGATCGATCCATCAAATTTTCGTGTCAAATGAATTTTGAAAACAAACACGATCACGAATTTCCCTGTTTTTTATTGAATTATTTATTTTGAAAAAAAAAAAATCTTGAATTTTTTATGGCTCAAAATTGCTTGATTAGACCTGTTTTTTATGTTGGAGAAAACTTTCCGGGAGAGAGACGCGTGAAAAAAAGGCGAATGGAATGTGAATGATCATGAATGACCTTGAATGCATAAATCGATTTCAAGAGAAGATATCTATCCTTTTTATATCTTTCAACTTTCTAAAAACCTAAAAATCGTATGAATTTGTTTCAATTTCAGGGTTTGAGAGCCGTTTTCCTAACAAGTCTTTATGTTTAAAGGCCTCCGAATAAAAAGGATACGTTAGAGGTTTGTTATCTTAAAAGTTTTCGATCTCAACTCATACTTTTAAAGCTTACGAGAGCTTGCTAGTTATTCGTTAATCATAATTGCCTTTATAAATAGCCTCTATTATGTAATGGGCTTTTGTAATTGGTACAATTGAAATCGGAGACATTTTGCTTGTAATTGAGCTTTACTTAAAAGTTAAATACAATACAATTTCATTTGTTTTGTTTAATTAGATTGATTCAATTCAGGACTGATGCCTCCCGACGCGCCGAATGTCGCGCATCGTCCATCGGTTCGACGACTTTACATCAATCGAGATCAACAGCACAAATTTCGAAACAATGTGATCAGGTGATTGATGAAAAGATCATCAAAAGACCTAGATAGTTTCAAAAAGTTGACTTTAAAAGAAAAAAAAGCTCATCTTTAATACCTACAGGGTTGCTCAAAGGTATTACAACTATTATTGATTGTGATCTCTCTCTCTCTCATTGCTCCGATTGAAATGTTTTTTATATCAATCGCCAGACGAAGACACAAGAAAGCTAATGATATCATAAGGATTTCAATTGAGCAACTGATTGAAGCGATTGAGCAAGATATTTGAGTTTAAAGTTAGATTGTCAATGGAATAAGAAGTAGGCTGAAATGAAATGTCAGATAAGCGCCTAATTTAAACGCCTTGAATTATTCTATTTAGATCTTAAAAGCAAAGATTTCCTCTAAAAGATACTATCATTAGTTTTGTTGAAAGCTCTGTGATTAGATTTGAAACCGAAATTTTACTTGATACAATCTATTAATAACAAAAAAGAAAAGCTGTTGATGACTTTCTGAAACGATTAAATAAATGCGTGAAGTCCAATTGAGGTGATTTTTAAACGTAAACTTTACTGCTTTTAAACATAATGCGCAATGTGTATTGCTTGATTTACTTAATTTTAATGTACAAAAGTATTGCCTCAAAATCTTGTTCCAATATTTTCTACATCTACATGTTTTCAGCACATGCAAGTACAGCATTCTCTCATTTTTCCCGCGATTTCTCTATGAGCAATTTCGTCGCTACTCAAACATTTTCTTTCTTTGCATTGTTCTGCTTCAGGTTTGTTAAAGTATAAAATAAAATTTTATGCAAATATCTTAGCAAATTCATGGAATTTCACCGACCGGTCGCTACACAACTCTTGTGCCATTTGTCATCATTTTGTCGATCTCAGCTCTTAAAGAAATTTTTGAAGATATTGTGAGTGTTTACAGGAACGAAAAAATGATATACCGTAATACAGCGCCATAATGACGGGTGTACAGTCGCGTAGTCTAACTTTGAACGCGTCCTGTTCTCCGCGCTGCTTTAAGCTACAGTGTGCGCTTGGGTGTCAAATGATAGCTCTTGTAATCTAGTATTTTTTGGTATCAAAAGTGTAGTTGGGAAAAATCTAGAGACAGAGAAGAGAATGATTTTCTAAAAAGGAATTAGACTACGCGAATGTACGAGGAAATGGCGTTCTATTAGAGTATTTAGGTTTAATTAATTCATTTAATTCATTTTCAATTTTCAGAAACGTCGAGCTTCAGACACTAAGGTCAACAATTTTCCAACTTGTGCATTAAAGGGTGGACAATTTGAGCAAATCAAATGGAAAGAGGTAGGGAAAAGTAGAAGGTAGTAAATGAATGTTTTTGCAGGTTCGTGTTGGAGAAATTCTGAGGGTAAACTGCGATCAATTATTTCCCGCCGATCTCCTTTTACTAACATCGAGTGAGACACAGGGAATGGCCTACATTGAAACGAGTAATCTTGACGGGGAAACGAATCTCAAAATCAAACAGGTTTTTTAAAAATAATGAAATAAATTAAATATATAAAAATAAAAAAAAGGAAGCTGGTCAAAACAGGCAAAAATAGCCCCTCTGCGGTTAAATTTCTATGTGTTTCTTATTCTTATTGAATGCAGAATAAAATTTTGCATTCAATTCGACATTTTGCATACTTTGCGATCACTTAAAACAGAATTGGTGTCGAGAAAAGCTCAGTTAATCTATTTTTAAGCCATTTTTCGTTTTTTTTTTGGCATTTGATCATCCCAGATTTGCTCTAAACGGCTTCAAAAATCCAGTAGATAGCTAATCTTTTTTCTACATCCAATGAAAATAAGAAACACAAATAAACTTAATCGCAAACACATTATTTTGTTTTGATCAGCTTTCATAAAAAACACTTTATTAGGCTCTACCAATCACAGCCGAGATGACCTCGTCAAACGAGGTGCAAAAGCTGAGTGGGGCTGAGATCGAATGTGAGCTCCCGTCTAGAAATGTTAACGAGTTTTCGGGAAATCTCATCTATCAGGAACAGATTAAACATTTCGGTAATAGAACAATGAAAAGATAAAGCAATTGGATATAACTAGGCATGGAACAACTTCTGCTTCGTGGTGCTCGTCTAAAGAACACTGGATGGATTTATGGAGCCGTCATCTATACTGGACACGATTCAAAACTTCTAATGAACAGCAAAAGAGCTCCCTTGAAGAGGTAAAACTTTTAAATTTCTGTAAATCACAAAGTTTATCGTTTTAAGTGGAACAATTGATCGAATGACAAATCGACGAATCATTGTTCTCTTTGGAGTCCTCGTTACATTAGCTATTCTCTCAGCTGCTGGACAAGAGGTTCGATTTAAAAAAGGAGAAAATCAAATGAAATTGTTTTCAGATTTGGAACGCAAATAACTGGGATCAAGCATGGTATTTAAACAAATTGAACAGCAGTCCAGCAATTCTGTCATGGTTTCCTTTTGGAATGAACGCAATCACTTTTTTCATTCTCTACAATAATCTCATTCCAATCTCTCTTCAAGTCACACTCGAGATGGTGCGATTCTTTCAGGTAAACTAAAAAGCTTACCCTAAAGACTCTAATAAACGTGCGTACAGTCGCGTAGTCTAACTTTGAACGCGTCCTGTTCTCCGCGCTGCTTTAAGCTACAGTGTGCGCTTTTTTGTCAAATGATAGCTCTTGTAATCTAGTATTTTTTGGTGTCAAAAGTGTAGTTGGGAAAAATCTAGAGACAGAGAAAAGAAATGTACGCGACTGTACGAAGAGGTGGCGCTCTATTAGAGTATTTATGGGCTTTTTACAAATCAAATTCTAGGCTTATTTCATTAATTGGGATATTCAAATGTACGATGAAAGAACTGATTCGCGAGCAATTGCCCGCACTAGCAATTTGAATGAAGAATTGGGATTGGTGAGTTTGAAAAAAGAAAAACTATCTTATAACATTCTTCAGGTAAAATTTGTGATGTCCGACAAAACTGGCACTCTGACACGAAATGTAATGAAGTTCAAAAGGTTGAGAACTTTTGAGAAAACAAATAGAATGTTTTTTTCAGATGCACAGTTGGAAGCAAAATGTATGGCGAGAGTACGGGCGAAGAATTCCACGATGAGCATTTAATTGAAGATGCTCGAAAAGTTTGTGGTGTAAATGAATCAAAGATTAGATAAATCATTCAGGAAACTGCTGAAGGGAAAGATATCCGCGAACTATTGACAATGATGGCTGTATGTCATACGGTTGTCCCTGAGAAGAAAGATGATGAGGTAATCATCATCATTGTCATGAAATGGCTATCGATTTTCTGATTTCTGATTTTCCCAACCAATCACTAGATTTTAAAAAGTTCTTTTATGATTTGTTGCTAGTGAAAAGTTGTGCAAAGTTATCAGCTTTTTGACGAAAGATTTCAGCTGTAGAACAAAATATTTCAAGAAATCATGATTTTCAGAAGAGCTTTCAATAAAAAGCTAATTATTCATTAAGAAATCTATTGCTATTCATTGTTTTATCGCTTCAAAACTCAGAAAAACATATTGATAAAAATTCATGGAAATCTTTGAATAGAACCATGTTGATTAAAAAAATATCGAGCTAGTAGAACCAATCAAAAAAAATTAAGGTAAGCAAAGTTGGGTTGACTCCAATGATCGAAAAGTTTCTCTAGCATTTCAAATCAAAAATTGCCCCGCTGTTATTAGTTTAAGATTTAAGATTATAACTTTTCATTCCAGCAAACAGAAATTAAATAGCTGTGGAGAAATTTATATAAATTAACCATTTCATATGCATTGATCCAATATCACTGACGATGCATTGATCTAATATCCAATATCCAATATCAAATTCATATCCATTGATCCAATATCCAATTTTACTGACGCAACTAACTTCAGATTCTCTATCAATCCTCATCTCCCGATGAAGGAGCACTTGTTCGAGGAGCCGCCTCTCAAAATGTTGTCTTCCACACACGTCAGCCACAAAAAGTTGTGATCAATCTGGTAGGTAATTAAAAAAAACAGTTTCATGATTAAGCATTAAACATCAACACCATTTTAAAATCAAAATTTTAGTTTGATCGTGATGTTTCTTTTGAAGTTCTTGATGTGATCGAGTTCACATCTGATCGAAAGAGAATGAGTGTCATCGTTCGCGACGAAAATAAGAAGATCAAATTATATTGTAAAGGAGCTGTAAGTGCTTTGGCTTTAGATAAATTCTAGAATATTTTCAGGACACAGCAATTTTCGAACGCGTTTCCGCAGGATCGCGAAAAAGTCTTGATTTTGTGAAAGAAGCTCTTGAACAATATGCATCGTTTGGATATCGAACACTTTGTTTTGCATCAAAAGAAATTGATGAGGTTATAATTGGAAAAAAAGATTATTAAAAGACTAAAGAAAGAAAGCTTTAGAGTGTTTACTCACAATGGTCACCGAAATTCAAGAAAGCTGGTGTGCTGATTGAGGGAAGAAAAAAAGCAATGGAAGATGTGGCTGAAGAGATTGAAAAAGAAATGAGATTGATTGGAGCAACAGCAATTGAAGATAAACTCCAAGAAGTAGAAAATATATAAAAAATAATATAAAAAAACAAGAAAAAGTAGGATATAAACAATAAAATCTTTTTAGTATGTACCGGAGACAATTCAAGCTTTAATGGCAGCGGATATTCACGTTTGGATGCTCACAGGAGACAAACGAGAAACAGCTATCAATATTGGTAAGAGAAAAAGCTACCTTAAATACTGTAATAGTACCCCACCCCCATAATGACGGTGCGGAGTGCTGCGTAGTCTAGCTCTGAACGAGTTTTTCTTGACACTGGTTTATGCTACAATGCGCGCTTAGGTATCAAAAAATAGCTGAAATTCAGGGCTGTTTTTTGATACCAAAGACGCATTTTTTGAAAGTACGGGCGCTTTGAAAAAAATGAAATATAAAAAAATTTTGCGACTACGCGGCTGTACGAGGGGGTGGAGTACTATTACAGTATTTACGGTATCAATATTGGTAAGAGAAACAACTATCAATATTTGTAAGAGAAACAGCTATCAATATTGGTAAGGTATCTAAAATTACAAATAATTTCCAAGTTTACATGTAGATCTCTTCGTAAATCCATAAAATTCAAAAAAGAAACTCAAACTCAAGAAATTTTAGCTCATTCTTGTGCTCTCTGCAATAACAACACCGAGCTACTCATTGTCGACAAGGCAACTTATGATGACACTTATCATAAACTTGTTCAATTTGTTGATAGAGCAAAAGAACTTGAACAACAGCAACGGTTTATAGTTTTCATTTCTTTACTTTTAAAAAAAACTTTATAGAGAATTCGCAATGGTGATCGATGGTAAATCGCTTGTTCACGCATTAACCGGAGAAGCTCGAGAATATTTCGGTCAATTGGCTTTACTGTGTCGATCAGTGGTTTGCTGCAGAATGAGTCCCATGCAGAAAGCTGAGGTTGTAAAGAAAGGTGATGAAAAAGTAAAAATATCCATTCAGGTAGTGGATCTAGTTCGAAAACTTGGCGATCACGTGGTTTTAGCGATTGGAGATGGGGCAAATGATGTGGCAATGATACAGGTGAACATTAAACATTGAGAAATTCCAACCCCTCCCTAATTCGACCTTCGCTTTCTCAGCCGTCTCTTGACCGATTTTTCTAAAATTTTGTTTACAAATAGAAATTGGTATTCTCTGCTTGTAGACAAACAGAGCAATCGGTCAAGAGACGGCTGAGAAAATGAAGATGGAATTAGGTTCGGGTTGGAATTTCCCCATGTCTAGTACACATGGGTTCTCGTTTTTATTCAAGAAATATCTTCACTACAAAACAATTTTCAGGCCGCAAATGTTGGCATTGGGATTTCCGGCGAAGAAGGTCTACAAGCAGCAAGTGCCAGTGATTATGCAGTAAGTGAAAGCTTCGAAATCTTTAAGATGACCATTCAGATTGCTCAATTCCATTTCTTACGAAGATTGCTTCTTGTTCACGGCTCTTGGGATTATGATCGATCAGTGAAAGTGATCCTCTATTCATTCTACAAAAACATTTGCTTATATATTATCGAATTATGGTAATTTTTTGATGATAACAAGAAAAATGAGTCTAATAGGTTTGCCTTCTTCTCGGCTTGGTCAGGTCAAACGATCTTTGAACGTTGGACTATTGGGATGTTCAATGTGATCTTCACTGCATGGCCTCCATTGATTATTGGTTAGCTTTATTCAATAAAACTAATACAGAGTGTTTAATCTTCAATGTGATCTAACATTTTTAATATCTCGTAGATTCTAAAACTGTTAAATAATGAAGACTTTCTCATCGTTAAACAAGAAAAACTGGGATTTGAATTCTTTTGGTGAAATTTTGTGATCAAGTTCCAATGAATCAACTTTTGGAATGTCAAATTTAGTAAACTGTAAAAATAAGCTGTTTGAACTCCTTTGCAGTGCTTTCTTGAGGACTTTTTGAATGAATCATTCCAATGAATCAACTTTTAGAATATCAAATTTAGTAAACTGTAAAAATAAGCTGTTACAACTCCTTTGCAGTCTCATCTTGAGGACTTTTTTTTCATAAATCAATTCTGAGAGCTTAAAAGTGGCCATAAATATTAAGCACCCTGCATAAAGTTTGTTCTTTAGGTCTTTTTGATCGTCCAATCAATGATGATCAAATGCTGAGATTTCCCGCTCTTTACTACTCCTTTCAAAAGAGGGCCTTCACTATGGATGTTTGTTAACAAAAATCTACATAAAATAGTTGATTTTTTCAGAAATTTGCCGGTTGGATTGGTCTAGCCATCTATCATTCACTCGTTCTCTATTTTCTCACCTATTTCTTTTTGGATACAGGAGTGAGGGAGAAGTTCTCGTTTCATTTTTACTTTCATTTTAGGTTGCCTGGAGTAATGGAAGGACGGGAGGGTGGCTAATGCTGGGCAATTGTACATATACAGTAAGTCAAAAGAATTTTAAAGAGAAAAAAATGATTTCAGTTCGTTGTGGTGACAGTATGCTTGAAAGCGATCCTCGAAACCGACTCTTGGACTTACATTTGTGGTGCTTTTTGTCTCATTTCAATCGTTTCATGGTTTTTACTCATTTGGATTTATAGCTTGGTTTGAAATTCGATTGAATTTCGATTTTGAAAACAAAATTTCAGTTTTTCCCGACCTTAAAATTGGGTGCCGACATGGCAGGAATGTTTTACATTATGTGCTCTTCACCGTCTTTTTGGCTCATGTTAATCTTCATCCCAACAACTACTCTTCTCGCTGATTTGATCATTAAAAGGTAAAGAATTGAATCTTTTATATTCAATCTTTTAAATCACATTTAGTGTTATGGTAAGCGTGTATCCTACTCCCAGAGAACAGGCGGTGCTCATGCAAAAGCGACACGGGTTTGAACGACTTACGAGGTTTGAATTCTCTACAAAATTCAGCATGTTAGCTTCATTTTATTTAGCACATATTATAGTATTGCTTATACAATAAATAAGGTATTGTATAAGCTCTAGATTCTGTTTTTTTTCTTTTGATAAATGAATTAGAAAAAGAAATGTTTTATTGGAACTCGCACTTTTTTTTTTGCGGTCCTTGTCTCCGGTGGCGGTCCTTGTCTCCGAAATACTTGTCTCGTTTTCTTCTACAATATTCTTCTATTCACCCAGCTTTTAAAAACTAGTTTTAGTTAATCTTTTTCATTCTTTTATCAATAAATTCTTTGTCTTTGTCCAAATCGAATAGGTTGTCCAATGTCTTTCACAATTAGCACATTGTTCAATGCTGCACGCATATGTTCATTGTATCAATACGTAGTTTAAACAATAATTGTATATAGTTAGGCATCACTAGAAGCTTTTTTTTTGCTTTTGGATATATGGTTAATAAAGAGGGTCATCGAAAAAAAACATTTAGGGAGGCGAATTCACAATCACACAAAGCAGTGCATCCAACATTGGAACAAATGCAAAATGAGATCAGGGAAACACCTCAAAATGAGATATTGTCGGATAGAAATCAGAAAATAATAAACACAAAGCAACAAACCGGTGCCAGTGGAGGGTTCGACAATTTGGCAGCCGACTACGGATCAATCGATAACATCCCAGCGACGATTCGCTCACAAGCGTTTACCCCAAACACTTCCACTGTCACTCGAAGAAGTCGAGAAGATGAACATAAAGCGATACCTTTATTAAGAATGAATGGGCAAACACAAAATTATTACGAAAATCCGAATCTCGACACACGCGACGAGAATCCCTTCGTCACTCAAATCAACATTCGATGATTTCATCAGAAATCTCTCAAGGTATTTTCAATATTTAAGACATTCACGTAAATGGGAGATTGTTGTCTGATTGAAAATGAATATGTAATGCTTTTAGATGGCTCTCAACTGTGTGCTTGATAACCTATTCTGTAATCGATTTCATGATCCCTACTCGTTTTCTCCATTCTTCCCCCTTATTTTCCTTTCAGCATTTTCATCTACTCTTCTGCATTAATGGGTCTGTTTTTTTTTAAATTTTCATTTTAGAAAAACATGATGAAAATTTGATTGAATTCTGACTGTTGTTTGTGTTTGCAAGTGCATGCTTGTGATTATTTAGAGAAAGTCAAGGACTGCCACCAAAACTAAAACAAAAAGCAAACAAACAAAATACGAATTGCAGCAAAACATTCGAGCAATTGGGTAATGAGAAAACCCCTTTAGTATTCGTCTTTCCAGTCATGCATCGATGGTGTCTCGTCATAGGATGAGAGATCGTTTGAGTCGACACTCTGAATCATCTATGGCTCTTCAAGAACAAACTAGACGTTCGTTTTCTTTTTTTTTTAAACAAATCGCATTTCTAAAGAGAAAAGTAACTTTAGTGACCTGTCATAGTACGCAATCAATAGCTCTAAAAGAGCAAACGCGTTGTGAGTTTTCTTAGTTTTCTTAGCAGTGATTCTTCTCACTAAATTGTGTTTTCTCTTGATTAAAAAGTGTTATTCTTTAAGCTATTCAAAAAAGAATTTTAAAGCACATCTAGATAAAGCTGGGTTATTTTTTTAAAAAAGACTACGATAGCTTTTCTATAGACTTTTTCAATAACACTTTTACTCAAGAAGAACCCAGTCTATTTCTCACTATATGCCTAAGCAAAAATTTCACTTTTTTACCCTTGCACGCTCTCAACTTTAGCCATACTTTTCTAGTGTTAATTTGGCTTTAACCATTTTAAACTCTCCTAACTGTTAAAATGCCCGTCGAACTCATAAAACTACTCATAAAACTTTTGACGTGTTCATCGTTTCACTATTAAATGCTCAATTTTCAAAAGAGTTTATTTCAAAAATTTTAGATGGTTACGCCTTTTCACAAGAGGAAGAGGGTCCAGTTCAACAAACGGATCTCATCAGAAACATCGACTCAACACGGGGCAAACCTTCAGGCAGATAACGAAACGTGTATCCCATTATACTCTAGATAGATTATTTTACTTTACATTTCCCAAATTATTATCATTATTTTTTTTTGTTTATATTTCCCACTTCTATTCTTTAATCATTTACCTCTCATTGATTTGAAAAAAAGTTAACCAAAAAAAGTGAACCTAAATCCGTCAAAATTCGCTTGTACTCTGTGCTTTTGCAAACGCTTTTTCTCTGGCACAGTTTCTCATTTTCACAACATCAACATTAAGTACGCCAGAAAGTGGGTGTTTTTGAAAAAATGTAGGTCAAATTTTGCCATGTTTGGTCGGAGTAATTCATTTCTATGTTCTATGTATGCAGACAGAGAGCTTCTTGTTATGAACGGTTTAAAAAAAAAGAAGAGTTTTTTAGGTTTTTTATGTGATAATTGAATAGAAATAGATACTTAAGCAACCCAGATCTATATTTTTCTCCTCACTTATGGCCTGTTGTCTTAATGCTTTTTGCTCAACTCTTTTTGTTGCACTAACTGTCAAAACTGGATCCAAAAATTTCCCAAAATGTATTTTGTTTACGTGTACTCTTTAGTGATTTAAAAATCCTGTGAAATTTTTCTGCTCCTTGTCGTCAAATGAAATATTTTTTGTGCTAATTCCTCTTTTCACATTTTTTCTGAGATTTTCTATCAAGTATTTCCGTTTTTATTCTTTCAAACCGGCAATGAATTAATTTGAAAAAAATAACAACATGAATCGATGACAACTAAGATTTTTTACAAAATAAATTACAGTACAGTACAGCAATAGCACAACGCTTTTTACAAAAGTATGCTGAACGATAGGAAAATCTCAACATGAAAGAATTAAATTCACTAACAATAAAGAGAACAGAGAAAAAGGTATACCGGTTTACAATGGAGATTTATGAAGATGGTGGGCAATTGGAAAAAATGAGCTAATCAAAAAAAGTGAATCTATCAGACGAATAAATTAATCGTGTTTTCGGCTGTGCTTTCGCTCAGACCGATCCGAATGACGATGATGACTTGAACGATGATGATCACGGGAATCTCGCCTGAACCTTTCTTAAGCTGATCACTAGTAGAGTACTGATTATTTTAATAGCTATTATATTCATACCTATATGTACTTTTTTTAAATGGATTTTCCATGTATCTATACTTTGTGAGCACAAACCTGTCCCGCGAATGGCTTCTTTTCCTATCACGAGATCGGGACCGTGATCGCTTCTTCCGATCTTTGTCTTTTTCTCTTCGTTCCTCTTTGTCTTTGTCTTTTTCTCTTCGTTCTTCTTTTTCTTTTGCTTTTTTCTCCTGATGTCTTTTTTCTCGTTCTTCGTGCTGTTTCTTTCGTTCTTCCTCCTGAATTTACATGTAAACTTGGACTGTGCATACTTTTTTATTATTAGGCAAACTGTGTAGATACAGAGTTTTCAAAAAAGTTCCTCATTTCAATTCAAATTTCTGAAAAGTTTAAGTGACTCAAGGTCTTGGTGTCAAAGCTTTTTTTGGGGTCACAATTTTTTGACTTTTTTTAGAGATTTTCCTGATTACATGACCATGAAAAATTCATCACCATCACAACATCAAATTTCAGTTTTGTTTTGCTGTCCATTTAAAGTCCATTTTTTTCAAGAACTTGAGATTTTTTCCGTAATTATTTTTTTTACCATGAGCCTCTTCAATGCCTACAACTAATCTTTCACTCTATTGTTGCTTTTTTTGATGAGTTTTTCGTGTACTGGGGTCATGGAATCAGGAAAATCTCCAAAAAAATTTAAAAATTGTGACGCCAAAAAAAAAAAGCTTTGACACCAAAACCCACTTGAGGCACTTAAACTTTCTCAGAAATTTGAGTTGAAATGGGGAAGTTTTTTGAACACCCTGTATAATATGTCACGTTTTTTCTACAAAACTTTCTACAAACTTCGCATACTCCCTTTCAATAGCCAAATCGCTAACCTTCTTTTTATCCCAATCCTCGATTGTTGTCCGAATTCGTTGATAGGTGATATGCATTTTGCCCATCAAATGATCATCGATTCGTGCTTGTGCATCATTTATTAACATAAAACATCCGCACACCTATTAAAGTGATCAATTTCGCAAAAAATTTTCACCGCATAACGATTTTCAATTTGGCGTACCTCTTTCTAATCACTCAGACTTTGCAAAAAAATATTTTTAATACGAAGAAACGAATGTTTGCTTGAGAAAGTGTTCGGACTTAATTGAATGATGTTTTAAAGAAAATTACTTGAAAAGCCCCACCTGACACACATGCATCGGCTTGTTCAACTCTTGTGCGGTGGCCTCAATTCTTCGTTGTTGCTCTTGCTTGTCGATCAGCATGACTTTGCGTTGTTGCTGAAAATTTCAATCTATTTAATTAGATTTTTTTCGTTTATAGATTTTCAAAGAGTCCTATACCTCAAGAGCTTCAGATTGTCGAATAAGTGCCTCACCAGCGGTGACATTTCCCGACTCGCAAAGTCGCTGGGCTTCCTAAATTTATCATAGCCTTTTTTCTCAAATTTTCACAAACAGCCAAAGTCTCTTCAATTTGTTCCATTAACTCGGTGACTTTTTCGTCGTCGGCCTAAATTAGAAAGAAAATTAGAAGATCCACTTTTTGTTCTCACCTGTTTTGTGCTTGCTTCACCATCGTAATTTTTGAGGTCACCTAAATTTCAAATATTTCAATTTTACCAAGAATTTCAAGAAATATATAATGACTTTACTTTCCAAGCGCTGCATATTCTTCTCAATCCGTCGTTTCACTTCTCGATCAAGCGAGCGTATCCTAAAATGAATCGATCAAGAAAAAATTTCTTTGTTAACCACCTCTCAATGAAATTTTCCTCGTATCCCATTTTACCAAAACGAGAACTGTTCTGGTATTCAAGCTTCAATCGTTCATCGTGTCGCTGAAAAAGGTTTTTCGTTTTAAATTGTTGAAATGTAAAAAAGTTATTGTTTTTTTGCACAAACCAAAGAGCAAGTTCCCAGATCGGCTTTTGTATTTCGAAAGAGCTCATTTGGACAAAAGCCAGCAAGAAAGTGCTTGCAAACCTAAAAAGAATTTTTTTTAAGATTGAAAATAAACTCTGCTTACATCTCTGTGATCATAGGTCATCTTTGATTCACCGGCGACAGCATTTCTTGATGGACCCATCAATTCGTCCAGCATTTGTGCCATATAGTCAGTCATCTTTATCGAATTCCCTAGTTATTGCTTCCAAGGCAAAAAATAATAGAATTATCAGCAATGGGAATAAATGGATTTGATTGAGAGGGCTCCGTAAACGATTTTGAACTCTTTTTACCTTTAAGATACGGTAGACTATCCAAAGAGTTGTCAACCCAAAACCCCTTGAAAGAGAAGAAAAGAAAGGTATATTGAATGGATGCAGTTCTTAAATAGGAGAGGACTTTTATGTGATATTTTATTTAAACATAAAGTATAAGTAAAAATAATACACGAGCACAATCATAATTTTACAGGTAACTGATAAAACACAAAACATTTAAGACAGTAGAAAAATCAATGATACAATGACTCAATAGTGAATTTAAATTTAGATAAAGAAGTGATTTCTCTTAAACGATTTGGTAAAGAATTCCAGCTTTTAATTACTCGATTTGTAAAGAAATTTTTTATCAATTTCTGAAGATAAAGGGCACTGCTGCAAAAGAAAAGATCTACACCTGGATGTAAATCACCTTGAATTTAGAGGGAGAATATTATGAAAAAGAGGATTAGGATGCAAACCTTTTACAATCCTAAAGCAATCTACTAAATCTAAGATATAGCGGCGTTGTTGAAGGGATTGTAGGTTAAGAGTTTTGACCTTTCTTTATAACCTAATTGTGAATATTTAAGAAAATCAATTTTAAATAAAGCAACATGGGTGAAGCGTTCTTGAACTTTCTCAACCTTTTTAATGTGATTTAGACTGAGGGGGGGCAAATAATAGAGGCATACTCCAATATAGGTCGAACATAGGTTATAAAGCATTTCCCGTAAATCCCTACATTAGGACATTAGGTATGGTGGTTGCCCTCAAAATGTGATTTGCACAAAAAACCGTTTTAGCACAAATCTTCTCAATGTGAATGGAAAAATTTAACGGGGAAGAAATGTAAAAGCCCAAATCACGAATAGATTCATGTTTTGAGACTAAACTTATAACATTATTATCTATTCTAAGTGGAAAAGATCTTTTCTCAGTTAAAAAATGAGAGGATTTGGAACGAGAAAGTCTTAATTTCCAAGGCTTTGACCAGTTTTCAACCAACAAAATATCTTTTTGAATGGCTTGAAAAGCAAGTAGTGACTCAGAGAGGTTACAGTTTAACGGTACCTAAAATGTTAACTTAACATTATCGACATAAAGCCATATTTATGAATTTGGGGACCAAAAACCCTAATTCGGGTAGATCATTAATGAAAATGGTAAAAAGAAGCGGGTCAAGGATGCTACCCTGTGAGACACCGCTAGGAGAGGAAAACGGGAACTACAAAACATCTTCATAACAAACCCTAAAAAATCGGTTTGATAAGAAATCAGTTATACAACCTAAAATTTGGGGGCAAAGCATATATGAAGCAAGTTTGCGTAAAAGGAGGGAGTGAGAAACCGTATCAAAGACCTTGGTATAATGAAGAAAAACAGCCTCTAATTGAAGGCTACGTTTTTGATCTAAAACTTTAATAAATTTCAAATAGGCTAAAAGAGACTGGTCAACTGTCAACTTGTTTTTGAGGAAAAAACCAAATTGTTGAGTAGAGAAAAGACTATGTTCTTCAAAATGATTCATGATTTTATCCTTCAATAAAATCTCAAATAATTTGGAAAAAGGAGTGGTTAAACCAATGGGACGGTAATTTTTTAAAGTATTATGAGGCGGGACTTTAGATAACGGGATAACTAGCGCTTTCTTCCAAAGAGACGGACGCTTCCCTATTAGAAGGATTTTATTAAATAATTTACAAATGGGGCTTACTAAAACCCTAGATAGACGTATGACAAAGTATGGTGAAATACCAAGTAAAATTGTGCTTTTTGCACATGAGGCTCAAATAGAGGATTAGAGTAAGGAGAAGTGATACGCATTTTTTAACGAGAGTTTGTACTCGAGTTTTTTACCCTAGTAATATGACTAGGGGTACGTAGACCTGAATGCGTACAACTCGTTTCAATATCCAGAATTTGAGATGATAAAAACGACTCGTAGTCAATATCTATCTATATATATACTTTATTCAGGACTATGGGGATGCTAGGAAAACAAAAAGTCGAAAGGTTATATTTAGAAAGAAATTTAAATGCCGCTATATCTAGATTACTATTAAAATGTCTGCACCTGATTTGAAGTTCCGGCGGGGGACAAAAACACTCAATCAAAAGGCAGGTGGCATAATGACCGGATCCAGGCAAAGGTGAGAGTCTTCCGACATCAGATATTCTCTCATCATCGGCAAGGATGACATCTAAAGTAGAAAAAGAGCTCAAGAAAGTAGAGAACGGTCTAAAAAATGGAGACTGTTACGGGACAAAAATTCTTTAAACGCAATAGTGGGTTTATGGTAAAAATCGAAAACTGGGATACGATTACGGAAAGGAACTTTAAAGTTTAAATCACTTAACACCAAATTACACCTTGAGTCATGAAAATGTAGCGCCAGAAAATCTAATAGAGTCTGAATCAACCAAATTTACGTCAGGAGATCTATAGGCAAGAAAAATCCTAAAAGCATAGGGAAAAAGAACATCAACTATTAAGATTTCACTTTCAAACATAGAAAAAAGATTTAACCACATTATAAGGGATAGATATATGAAGTAACATTACTACTCCACCACCATGAAGTTTAGTGGAAGAAAATCTATCACAACGAATGACATAATACTGATTTAAAGGGTCTAAAAGCGATGAACAAATCGAATCATTTAACCAGGACTCAGAAATTGCAAAAATTTCGTAAGTATCAGATTAGTTCAAACTAGCCTTTGAAAACTGGCTAAACGATTATTAGAATTTATCAAAAAATAGCTGAAAATCAGGGCCATTTTTTGATACCAAAGACGCATTTTTGAAAGTACGAGCGCTTTGAAAAAAAATGAAATACTAAAAAACTTTTGCGACTACGCGACTGTTCAAGGTACGATTACAGTATTTACGGTAAGAGATTTTGACTTTAGGCGAGATACGAAAGGGGAAAGCACCATTTGACAAATCACTCGACTTCGATTTGAAGACATCATTCTCCAACATTACAGAAAGCTTGCGTTTCAAAGACGCTCTCCATTCGATATTCTATCAACCCAGCTATCTCAAACTTTGTTTTAAAAGGAGATTATGCAAATTTTTGTGGGACAAAATGAAAGTACTAAACTAGCTAAGAGAAGATTTCTGTTTGCTGATTGCTGATTGAGAAATGAAGACTAATTCGTGTGATTTCCTGTGCTTGTTTTAAAGCATACCTAAATCGATGCATTGCATAGAGTTTTCATCGAAAAAAAACGGCAATGCGGTTTGCTATTATTCACAGAAAACAGTTTCTTCTTTCAAATACCTACCGTAAATACTGTAATTGTCTTCACCCCTCGTACAGTCGCGTAATCGCAAGTTTTTAGTATTTAATTTTTTTCACAGCGCTCGTACTTTCAAAAATGCGTCTTTGGTATCAAAAAATAGCTGAAATTCAGGGCTATTTTTTGATACCCAAGCGCGCATTGTAGCATAAACCAGTGTCGAGAAAAGCGCGTCCAAAGCTAGACTACCCAACGCTCCGCACCGTCATTATGGGGGGTGGGGTACTATTATAGTATTTACGGTAATCGTGTCAAAACTTGTCAAAACTTTGGGAAAACGCAGATAGGTGTCGTAATATAATTTTTGTACAAATTTACAGCTTAATATCTTTTTGTACCATCTACAAAGCAACAGAAAAATCCCTGAGTGAAAGTGGTTCGAAATGTTCTTTGTGCGTGCGCACAATCGCTCTCCATCTAGAAAACCACCTCGGTGTAGGAGCTTTCTTTTTTGGAATCCGTAAAGGGGAAGGAGTTATGCACGACACGACTGAGCTTCCCTTCCATTTGGGCGTCGCTATGCTCAAATTTTTGCCTTAAATTTGACTATATGTTTTTATAAATTTTACATCCCGTTAAACCAAGATACCCAAGTAAGCTGAGATACTCAATGAAAATTGGTTTTAATGAGAATCGGTCCTAATTCGGATGCCTTCTTTAAAGACTGCTAAACAATTGTAAGTTGCATAAGTTCTAAATTCAATAAAGTTCACTAAATGAGTGATGATTTTTGTCTTTACTATTTTTACTAAAAATATAAGTGTGTTTACTTCAACAATGGCGCCACAAGTTTCACAATTCCAACGCTTAAAAACTATTTGTGATATCATCATCACCATCATCAAAAACAACTTCCAATTTTTTTTTACGTAAAGACTCGTTGCTCAAACGTCATGCTGGAAACTTTTTTTTTTCAGGATCTTTGTCATGTGATTTTAAGGAAATTCTCGATTTTGTTTGGCATTTTTAGAGTGTCCAAAGAAAAGAGATTCATTTTGGGGGTGTACCTCAAGGGTCGGCACTCCTCACGACACCACCTAAGCCCTCTTCATCCTCGATGGAAGAATCGACAAGAATCGCTCCAAAAAAGAAGAGCGTCATCCCCGAGGATTACTTTGGACTCATCTCAAAAGGAAACCCCCCTTTCCTTTCCCACTTTTTCCCCCCGAATTTCCGACCTCAAAAGATTTCTTAGATGATGTATTCATATAGGGACACCGAGGCTCAAATAAAAGAGAAATAATCACCCCATTTCTGAAAAAAAAAGCCCGAAATAATCAAAAACGGAATACGGTACTTGAAAGGCCCGCCTCCTTTTTGGGGATGAGGCCAAAATGAAAACCCTTCGCCAGTGAGTTCAGATCAACCCACCTAACGAGCTCATGACCACAAATATAATTTTTTTTTTGGTTATATGTACAAATTTTGCTTTACATATCTAGTTACTGATTTTAGAGAATGTCTGATCAACCGAATGATCAATTAGCGGAAAATGAAGACCGAAAGGGAAGACTAGCTAAATTGTTTGCTACAGGTATTGAGTAAAAATAGCTTTATAAGAAAAAAGACTTTCAGATATTTTACCCCAATCGAACAACTGGGAAGACACGGAAACTTTTCTCGGCGAAGTCGTCAAAGTGTTACTCAAGTATGTAAAGTCTAGTAAAATAATAATATTAGATAATTAGTCTAGTAAAAGATTCTCAGATATGAATTGTAGAAAAGATTTGCAAATTTTTCTAGATACATCTGCGAGGAGAATCAACGCGAAACAAAGATCCTCGAATTCCATCATCCAACCGAAATGAAGAAAATCATCGATTTGACAATCCCTGACGAGCCTCAACCACTTGAAGAGCTTGTCAAGGTTCATTCATCATCATTTTATTTATTCGTTTTTCTTCGAAAATCTTTCTTTCATAGGTTCCCCTTTTTGCTTATCCATTACGAACCTCAAAATGAAAATCTCGCAACGAGCACATATTGCACCCCCAAGGGATGTAATTTCTCTTTTCTATGCCAATTTTTGTTTTTTCATTACGGCAGCCAAAGGATTCATGATAATTCTAAAGCTGACTATGAGAAATTTAGGCTTGTGAACAAGTTTTATCACTCGGAGTCAGAACTGGACATCCACGCTTCTTTAATCAAATCAGGTATTGATTGTGAGTATAGATCTCTAGATATTAATACCTAAAACTTGAAGTAATAAAAAAGCATTGACAATTCTTGAAGCTATTTTAAAATTTAGTTGTGGTCTTGATCTCGTTTCAATGGCTGGTGAATGGCTGACCGCTACAGCGAATACAAACATGTTTGTAAAAATTATTTCATTTTGAAATTTCCTTTTATTGCTAGGTTCACTTACGAGATTGCACCTGTGTACATTTTGATGGAGAAAGAAGTGTTACGCAAAATGTGGGAGGCGATTGGATGGGATCCCGAAAAATCCGATGGGATTTTTGCTCCAGGTAACACGCTCCAGGTTCTTCTATCAGCATATCTGATTTAAATTTTTCAATAAGAACAATCCTATTGCAGGAGGAGCGATCGCCAACTTGTATGCCATGAATACAGCTCGTCATCACATGTTCCCGAGGAGCAAACATCTCGGGAATGGGGAAATTCCCATTCTTTGTTGTTTCACTTCTCAAGATGTAGAAATTTTATTGAATTTTGAAAATATTGATCTATTTAAGTGTCACTATTCAATCAAATCAGCCGCTTCGGTGACAGGAATCGGCTCGGATCATTGCTTTTACATCAAAACCGATTCGGGTGGTCGAATGATTCCCGAAGCGTTGGAACAACAGATTATTCGCTGCAAAAATGAAGGTATTTCTGGGTAATGAAGATTTTTGAAGATTGAAATGTGCTTTCAGGGATGCAACCGTTTTTTGTTTGTGCCACCGCCGGTACAACCGTTTATGGAGCATGGGATCCGATTGAAAAAATCGCCGACATCTGTGAACGTTATCGAATCTGGCTTCATGTTGATGTAAATTTTGAAAAATTGATAAATATAAATGATGGAAAATATTCAAAAGATTAATACCGTATTTTCTCTAATAGTAGTGCACCCCGGCGAGCCGAGTTGATGACTATTTTACGGTTTCCAAGCTTTTGCAGAAGCTCAACACTCTAATCCCCCACTAGATCTCGTCATCAGCTACATTTTCCGACCCCACATCGATAAGTTCTGATAAGCGGTTCTCGAGATTTCGAGCAATTTAGGCGACTCTCTTGGTGCACTACTATTAGAGAAAATACGGTAAATAGAAATATTTCAGGCAGCTTGGGGCGGCGGTTTGCTTCTCTCACCCGAGCATCGCTACAAATTATCCGGTATTTTTAGATTTTAAAAAAGTGCAAACAAAAAGTACTTCCAGGTATTGAGAGAGCTCAATCAGTGACATGGAATCCACACAAATTGATGGGAGCCATTCTACAATGTTCAGCGTGTCTTTTCAGACAAGATGTAACATATCCTTTTTGCTTTTTTTTATGAATCTTTCAGGGATTGCTCTTCCAATGCAATCAAATGTCAGCTGATTATCTTTTCCAACAAGATAAACCCTATGATGTCAACTATGATACCGGTAGTTTGAGTTTTGGTTTGAAATTGAAAGTGAATGAATTCTAGGAGATAAGGCGATCCAGTGCGGTCGTCACAATGACACTTTCAAGTTGTGGTTAATGTGGAAAAGCAAGGTGTTTATAAGTTTATAAAAAAAAGTTTTCACTAAGTTTACTGGTTTATATTTGATATTTTTAGGGTATGGAGGGCTATCGAAAACAGATCAATTACCTTATGGATTTGGCTGCCTATTTCTCTGAGCGTCTCCGAGCCACCGATGGCTATGAATTAGTTGTCGATCCGGTAAGACTTATGAAACTTTAAAAGCGCTTCAATGTGATTTTAAAACAACGTTTGTTTCAATTTTAAAACTTTAGCCAGAATTTCTGAACATTTGCTTTTGGTATATTCCTCAAAAGATGCGCGGCTTGGATCTTGCTGAAAAAATGGCTCGACTAGAAAAAGTAAGTAAACTCGAGTCAAACGAGTCACTCGAGTAACATCAAAGATTGAAATTCTATCTACCTAGTAGGTATTTATTAAAATTCTATTTACACTTAAATGAGCGCTCATTTCAGATTGCTCCAAAAATCAAGGCGAAAATGATGGAGAGAGGCACTACAATGGTCGGATATCAGCCAGATAAAAAGAGGCCAAATTTCTTCCGAATGATTATCTCCAATCAGGTATTAAGTTTTATTTTTTTTTGATTAAGAAGATCTTTTCTAATCTAAACCCAAAAATTCAGGCCATCACTCGAGCCGATCTCGATTTTCTCATTGATGAAATCGTGGACATTGGAGAGTCGCTTTATGAAACGATGTAATATAGATTTTTTTATCGATTAGAATCTTCTCTATTTGTAAATCCTAGTCTCTAATCCGCATACCGTATTCTTCCTAGTAGCATTGCAACCCGCCGAGCCAAGTTGGTCACTATTTTACGGTTTTCTAAGTTTTCGCATAAACCCAACACTCTAAGATCTCATCGTCAGCTATATTTTTCGACCATTTTCCGTTCTGATTAGCGGTTTTCGAGGTTTCAAGCAATTTAGGTGACGCTCAGGGTACAATACTATTAAGGAGAATACGATAAATACACTCAATTCAAATTTTTAATATGCAAATTCGTGACTGATTTAGATGAAATTCAACTAGTTTCTTCTAGCAAATTCAACTCTATTCTTTAAGGCTACAAAATCCTAACTTTATATTTGCTTTCACAAGATTGCTTTCCATTTTCGTATATTTACATTTTGTGCTCTTTCAACTTTTAACTTATTGAGAGTAGTTTTATATGGCAGTCTTGATAAAAATAAAATCAAAGCTAAGAGTAACAAGGATGGAATGTAAAAAAAGCAAAGCACCGAGGAAATAAAATAAAATAAAATATAAAATACAAAGATGTCCAAGTTGAAGTAGTCAGGTAAAGAAAGAATTTCTAAAGTAAAGAAAAGAAATGAAAACAGAAAAAGGGATCAATGGAGAAAATGTTGTGGCTGAGCTGCGATAGGCGAGAGCGTACACAGCTCGACGATCTGGCCCAGCCACATAAGAGATGATCGTTGCCGATTCGTAATCATCGAACTAAAGTTTTTCTACTAGATTTGTTGGTATTTAATTTTATAGCTGATTTATTTTCTTGGCTTCTAGTCTTTACCAAAAATTCCGAGTCTTGTGCGGTCACTTTGCCAGTTTTCGTTCGACAACAGAAGCGGCTATTCCCATAAATCAGTTGTTGATGTCTAAGAAAGATTTTTATTTTGTAGAATAGCACAATATAAATTGCAAAATCGATAAATCGCATAAAATTTCACCTTTTCTTTTCCGCGAATCGATATGACGTGTCATTGTTGATTCGCGCTCTCCTCTCATCTCTGCTCATGCTCCAAACACGAACCATTCGTTGGCCTTAATATTTTCACTTATCACATAAATAAACTTCTTTTAATTTCTTTTAATCTCTTTGTAAAGGTTTAGCACTTTTCTACCGGATGGACTTAGGGTGGCATAACTTCTGCAACCAGCATAGGCATGCATTCCAATGATCTGACAAATTTTTTCCTGAATTTAAGATTAATGCAAGTTTATCGAAAATATTTACCCGTTGACATTGGCAACTTTTCACCGTTCGATCACCTTTAATCCCTTGATCGTGAAATCTGATGTATCGAGCTTCGCACGATCCTCCACACGCCTCAGGATCGCAATCACCGGGTCTAAATTGATCGAATTTTCACAATCAAAATGCTTTAACAAAAAACACTAATTACCTTAGCCTCAATTAAACAAACCTCGGCCCTCGACAGCTTTCTTCTTTTTGAACAAAAAAGTGTGACAAGACAAATGGGGAAACGATTGAAAGCACCACGAACAAAGCTTTCAACATCTAAATGATTATATTGTTAGATTTAGAAGAAAGAAATCTTTTTCTGAAAAATAAGGGTTAAAAAAATCTGGAAATCTCAAAATGCTTCAGATATTTGTTAGAAATTGTGAAAAATGTGACTCTCGTATTTTGTGTAGTGAATGGGTCTTTGGGGAGTATTTGTGCGTGACTGAGCAGCTCATCTTTCACAAATTTCCACCAGATTTTTGATATTTTTTTTTTTTCAACAACTTGCAATTAGGTATGTAAAATGTACGAAAAGAAAAACAGAATGAATGTTCTACCTTTAGTTTCGGTTATTTTGTACAATCAACCAAGCGTCTCATTGTTGTCGTTGGCAATCTGTATCTGTCTGGCAATCTAGCTGTAGACTCAAAGGAAACGGTTTACCTAAAAGCAAGGAAAAAGTAAAAAATTTATATAAAGAAAATTGTAAAGCAAAAACAAAAATTCAACTAGAATGAACGTTTGAATAGATTGAATGAAAGCCAATGAGACACTTTTGGTGGCAGCTTTTCGCCAAGGGTTTTTCGCATCAATGAATTTTTTTTTCCTGGTTGATCACAAGAACAACTGTCTTTTCTTTTTACCCATTGCTGTCATCCATTCACTTCTATTACGATTGTTTCCCCTCTTTTCTTTTCTTTTCTTCTTCACACCCATTCACTGACAACTGATTTCCCTCTACCACCCTCAACCACTACAAAAAAAACAACAAAGTTTTGCGATTTTTGTAAACTAAAATGACATGACAATTTAAACATATTTAAAGAATCAACAATAATAACGCAAAAGCTATTTGTATCCGAATACAAAGTAAACGTGATTGTGAGTTCTAATAGGCTGCCAGCAACAAAATCTACGGGAGTGGGACAAATGCGACCTTTTTTTTGCGCACCTTGCCCATTAGCGCACCTTTTTCACGTTTTAAAAAAGCTCTAAAAAGCTAATATTAACCAATTTCTATTCCAAATGTTGTTTTTCTAGGTAATTTGAGGGTGTAGAATTCAAATTTTGACATAACAGAGCGTGTGGAACCAATTTGAAAGACAAAACGGCTAGATCAAATTACAGAAAATTGTCGATTTTTCTCTTTGTATAACTCCGTCCGTTTGTTTCCACAAGCTCTGATATGCCAAAATTTCGATTCTACGCCCTAAAATTACCTAGAAAAACAACTTTTGGAATAGAAATTGGTTAATCTTGGCTTTTTAGAGCTTTTTTAAAACGTGAAAAAAGTGCGCTAATGGACAAGATGCGGAAAAAAAAGGTGCGTAAATAAATGTCCGGGTGCGTAAAAAAGGTCGCATTTATCCCACTCCCAAATCTACAGCTTTTGAAAAGTTCTCGGTAGTAGAATCTTGTTCTTTGCTCAGCTATTAGCTAAAACAAATGAAATAAACTGGCTTTTGCTTTGTTTCGAACTTGTTTTTATAAAGTACTCAAGGCTTTTTGATTTCAAGGTATCGACTTGGCAAATGAGATCCTTTAGTCCTTGATGACCTTGACCCGCTCACCCTCTCCACTTTATTTCGTTTCTTCGAAATGAGCATATCTCGTGTAAATATAAATTCAACATGCTAGAAGGCTTTATGAAAAGTTTGTTTCTTTGCATTTTATCTTTCATTTCTTTATATCTTTAATTAATTTAGAATATGTGCTTATTTTGTTGTTTGGTCTTGTCATCTCAAGTGATCATGTAGAAGAGTGGCCAGCTTGTACTCATGTGGATCCTTATGAAAAGTAAATCTACGGTTTTTTTTAAAAATTAAGCAGCATTTCAGCATTTCAACTAAATATAGAGATGAATAAATAGCTAATAAAACAAGATTTCAGCTAAATATTGAGTTTAGCCTTGGGGATTGGATGCAAGTGAATGCTGAAAGTTCGAAATGCAATCACACTACACAAGCTGATCGAGAGACGGAAAGAGAAGCCGAAAGGAGGTATTAAGAAAACTATAAACGTATAATATATTGGATAAAATAACAGATAAGCTATTGTATTAGATAGGAAAATTTACAGAAAATTTACAGAAAATGGGGTGAACGAGCATTTTCTTTTGACATGGTTTCCAGTGATAAAATCGGTCCAAGACGAATACTCGACTATCAGGCAGAAAAGAAGTATCAAAATTTTCAGATTTTATCTTTCTTCCAAAATCGAAGCTATTTTTATGGCAAAATTTTTGCATTTAGCTGTAAAAATGCGAGCTTTCAACACGACCAATCAGTGTCAATTGTGATCATTTATCACAACGAATGTCTTTCCGTTCTCCTTCGAATGCTCACATCGATTTTCGATCGAACACCTGAAAGCAATCTGCAAGAAGTGAGAGATAAGAAAATTATATCTGTAACCAAATAGATTAGCATCATCTACATCAGCACTTCCTTTCCAAACATTAGTTTTATGCATTAAAGATTTGCTTCTTCACGGTTGTGAAACGTGAAGTCTTCAGTGAAGACTTTCAAGTCTAAAAATCACGGATAGTTATGTGTTTTTTAGGTGAGGTGGCAGTGATAATCGTGACTATCAAATCATAAGAAATCTTGCGACTAAAGAGTCACAATGTTATATGTGACTTTTTTAAAATACCAATCATATAACCTTTTTTCCCACTTAGCTGTGGTGCTTCAAGGTGGGCGCTTGTGTGATAGCCTTTCGTTCGCAAGAACGCAAGAAGCCGTTCGTTCGTCTTCACGGTTGTGAAGACCGCAAAATAACTTTTAATAACAATGATGACAACAATGACTTTTAATAACTAGCGTAAATACTGTAATAGTACCCCGCCCCCGAGCGGAGTGGAGTGTTGCGTAGTCTAGCTTTGAACGTGTTTTTCTCGACATTGGTTTACGCTACAATGCGCGCTTAGGTATCAAAAAATAGCCCTGAATTTCAGCTATTTTTTTGATACCAAAGACGCATTTTTTGAAAGTACGGGTGCTTTGAAAAAAATGAAATACTAAACAACTTTTTCGACTACGCGACTGTACGAGGGGGTGGGGTCCAATTACAGTATTTACGGTATGATATCTTAAAACACCATAGAACACTCATTTTTCAGATAATTCTCTACGATGACGCTAGTGAAGTCGAGCATATCTTAGTCGAGAAATTACAAGAATTTGGACATATTACCGAGAAAAGCGATATTTTGAAAATCCATCGAAACCCGGAACGAGAAGGACTGATTCGAGCAAAAGTTGAGAGTTTTTAAAAGACTTTTTTTGAAGACAAATTATTAGGTGTTAGCTTCACGAATGGCAATTGGCGATGTGCTCATTTTTCTCGATTCACATTGTGAAGTGAGCGAAGGATGGCTGCCACCACTTCTCGATCCGATTCACAAAAATCCAAAGAGGTTAGATCTTAACGCTTTGTAAGCAATTCAGCAATTTAGCATCGTTTTACCGATTGTTGACCTGATTTCTCCAATCACTTTCAAATATTCAAAGGTTTGTCCTAATGTTGACGTACATTATATTTGATCCTTTCAGGCATTAATCGCTCGTTGTGGCTTTGATGATGCTCTCAATTTTAAATGGCTTTATCTACCTTGGGAATATTGGAATGTTGAAGAGAACATCGTGAAACCATTTGAGTCAGAACTTACTAATAGAATTGGATAAAATTACAGAAGTGGGAGTGGGACATGTCTTTCGAACTGTCTTGAGTCAGAACTTACTAATAGAATCAATAAAGACTTGGTTATGCGGAGGCCGAGTGGTGATTGCTCCATGTTCACGAGTGGGACATGTCTTTCGAACTGTCTTGAGTCAGAACTTACTAATAGAATTGGATAAAATTACAGAAGATTAGCTTTAGTTTATTTTTTGACTAACATTCACAGTACACATTTGGATTTACTTCTTCCTCGTTTATTTTTATTTACATTCCAGATCACCATCAATGTCCGGTGGGCTTTTGGCGGTGCAAAGCGAGTTTTTCCGAGAAATCGGGGAATATGATATGGGAATGGAGATTTGGGGAGCCGAAAATCACGAATTATCGCTCAGGGTAAGCAGAAGTAGACAATTGAAAGTCAAAAATCAAATAAATAAATCAATCAATCAATAAAGACTTGGTTATGCGGAGGCCGAGTGTTGATTGCTCCATGTTCACGAGTGGGACATGTCTTTCGAATGAGAAGACCTTACAAGAGTGCACCAAAAGTGAGTCGCATTTGAAGTTTCTCAAATCGTTATTTATGTAAAGAATATTGCTTTAATCTATCAAAATCTATTTATCTGCTTTAATCTATTTAGAACAAAGAAGCGGCTAGAGACACGAACTCATATAATTCAGCTCGAACGGCTAAAGTTTGGCTAGGCGATTATTTGGTGAGAGAATGGTGGAAACTAATTTCAATTTCATTTTAGAAATACTTCATTCGGGCAAATCCGAGAGCAGCTAAATTGAATGTGGGAGATCTGAAAGAAAGATTCGAGATAAAAGAACGCTTAAAATGCAAGGATTTCTCATGGTTTCTCGAAAATGTTTATCCGGAATTCAAGAAAATCGACGAAAATGTTGATAAAGAAGAGTTGTAGGAATAAAAATTTCTTTCTTTTATAGAATAAAACACTCTTTATAAGCACTTTTTCATATTGCAGACGTAAACAAACGAATTAGAGGTGACAGGGAGGAAGTGAGGCGAGTGATGAGGCCGTGAAAATCACAATTTCCGAGTCCATAACCGATTCAACGAGAAATTTCCGCCCGCTTTCTCTTTTTTAGTGGTCAACATTGGCTTTAAGACAAAATTGTTTAAATTTTATTATTTGTTTTATGGCATAAAATGAAGAGAAGTGAGAATTGAAGGGGAATTGAAGGGGAGAGGGGGGCAATTGATGAAATCTCTTCACTCCTCAACCGGATGGGATCAAGCTTTGAATGTGGCGACACACAGCTGTTGAACCGAGGCCGATTGGTCACCCTTTTCTCATCCTTCAATGTCACACCTCCCCCCATTTTCACTCCACTTCGAATTTCGCATTTGCTTTTCAATGTTCCATGGCAATTTTTAGTCCCCAGTCCTCCTTTTTGGCTAAGAACGGCATTTTCTTTTTTCTAATACAGATTCTTTCATGCAAATTTAAACAATTTCTGTTTCAAATTCACCCCATTTAGCTGACTTCAGGATTCTAGCGTGAAATCAGTTGTTTTTTCAAAAAGAGTGTGATTCGAAAGGCCCACCCCCAACGGACTCCTTCTCTTCTCCCTTCGATCCTTTGATCCCACCCCCAACCCACATCCTTTACTTTCCCTTCACCCATTCCTTTTCATTTTTACTCGACTTATCACCAGATTTTCTCTAGAAGTTCAGCTTTCTATTTTTCAGCTTTCTCTAGAAGTTCAGCTACATCATATACTAGTTCTTTTATTTTATCATTACTCTAGAATACTTATTTTCAAGAATCTTTAATTCTTCGATGCGCCTATGTTCTAGCTTGCCTAAGCAATGCTTGAGTTTAGTGAAAAAACGGATTGATCACCAATTAGCATGTTGTTAATTCAGAAACCCTTCAATCAACATTGATTCTTACTCTTACTCTAGAAAAACGTTTAGAAGGTTAGCTGTTAGAAGAAAGGAAGTCAATTGAATTGGATACGATGATGGACGTGCTCGTCACAATGGGATATGAGGGATATAGTAGAAAAGGAAAAGACCTCACAAGACAGAACCTCGTACCTATTTCCGCACATTCTCCTTTATCTTCTCTTTGAATAGATCCCTATCTCAAAAACCTTTTTTTTCCTTTTTCTTCTGAATACTCAATTTCTATTTTTAGCAAAGATTTGCCTTTTCAGTGAAGAAGCAAAATTTAAAGCCGCCACTTCCAAGCAATCAACAAATGTTGGGAGCACAAGCCCTTCGAACCAAACAGGTAAACTCTCGAAAGTTTCTAGAGACTCTTGAAAAAAAATTTAGAAAGCAGAGCAAAAGGAAAAAGAGAAAAGACAAAGAGAACGTCTGAAGAGTATCGAAATTCAACGGGAGAAAGCTCATCGACAAGCCTGGTAACGATGTTTCATCACTGTTTCATCACTCTTTTCTCTTTGTTTTCTGTTATTTTTATGGATTTCAGATAACTGTTCCTCTAGGTTGAGGGTAATGGGTGTTATTTGAGATATGTAAAGAATTGTTGGAGGGTAGAGGCCATGAAATCCTCAGGATGAAGAATCCCCGAGAGGCAAAGCCGAGCCGAGCCGATGGGTGCTGCTTGGGGGGGACTCCCCCGGGGAACGATTTAAGTTTGCTCTTTTCTGCTTTTTTTTTCCTCCGCTTTCTTTTCTCTTAAAAACAACGACACGTCAATCTGTGAAAAGTTCTTAAAATAAGAAAATATTCAAAAGAAATCGTTTCAGACTTTTAAAAAGTGATTGTCGAAAGGGCTTTACAGAAGAACTTTTCCCATAGGGATAGTGTCAAACGATTTCAATCTCTTCAATGAGTTAAATAAGTTAAATGAGTTAAATGAGTTAAATGAGTTAAAACTAGTGTTGTTGTTCTTCAAATTAGTGTTATATTTAACAAGAATCGTGTCAAATTCTTATTTTCTTTATCAAGTCAACAAGTGCATTTGGTGGGGATGAGAAGATGTTGTGGAATGGGAGGAAAGGATGGGTGAGAGCACATTACCCAAGAGAGGCATTCTCTATTCGCTCCATTCGCTCTATTCGAGTAAAGTCTTTTCCAAAGTTTCCCGAAATTCCTTTCCAAAAACAGCCTCTTCTTCACTTTTCCCCCATCACTTGCAAAATGCTGCTCGCGTTTCCTTTTGATTCCTTTGGGGTTATGCTGAGAAAATTTCTCGACTTCCCAATCTTTAGTCTCCTATTTTCATCACTCAAAACTAAATAACGTCAATAATATTTTGACATTACTTGAAGAAAATTAAGCTACCAATGTGGCAGTGAGAGTTTTTATGATGGAAGTACCCGGCGACCTCATAAATTTCGTTTCTAATGCCCTTTTGGGTCGATGGGGTTATGTGAAAGAATGGGCAAGTAAAAATAGAATCATGAAAATTTAAAATGAATACTTCTGAGAAGGGTAAAAAGAGTTATTTTCAAATTTTTAGCGAAGATGCCGCTCTTCAGTACCTTGAGAATCTTGACATTCGAGCAGAGCCACCACTAAAAATCAAACATGGAGGGATGGGTTGGATTTCGATTTGATCACTTTTCAAAAAGAAAGTTCTCAGGCACTTCTGCATCATCTGATGCTCTTGCTCATCGCCATTCCGTGCACACAATGAACATGAATGTAGTTCAAAAAGGCAATCTGGTAAGGTTCAATGTTTGATAGAGATCTAGTTACCGTTTAATTTTTCTTAAAATTTCTCTAATCTTTATTTCAAAGTAAAGTAAAAGGTTTTAAAAAAACTCTTTTCAGCAATTTTCGACTCCTGGCCGCTCACCTTCTTCTGAAATGTTCAAAGAAAAGAAAGAAGGAAGCCGTTTGCTCAGGTTTTTTTCTTGAAATGAATCTGTCAAATAATGATCAAAGATTAGATGGCTGGGATTGGCGGATAAAGATGAGAGATCACAAAGTGAATTAGATAAAGAAGAAAGAGAACGGATACGGCTGCTCAAGCAGAGACGCATGAGCACCTTCACCTGACTCATTTCTCTCTGAAATGAAAAAGTATTTTGTGTTTTGAGAACTACTTTCATTTAAAAAAATTCAATACAATCAAATAAATCATATAAAAAAAATATAAAGCTTTTGCGTAAAAATAAATGATGAACAGTACTATGAAATTCTAATTCTAACAAACAATGACTTTCTTTCCCTAGTCAGTCAGGTCAGTCAGGTCTTTCCTGTACTCTGTAGTTCATTTTTAATTTCATTTTTAAGAAGAATGCTTTCGTTGACGAGTTTTTCATTCAAAAAAGAAATTGTTATTCTAATCATTTGCTTAAGAAACTCAAACATTATTTTGAACAATTTTATATTTGAATCATTTTTTTGAGTTGATGATTTATGCTTAAGATCTTGTAAATAAATAAATTTTTCATCGCATTAACTTCAAGAAGATATTCATTTGGCTTTTATTGGTCATCAAATGGTAAAAGAACATAAAGTCTAGAGTAATAAAGAAGAGAAATGAAGAGGCTTATTGACCTACACTACTGGACAATGAAATATCATATTTGAAAAAACTCTTTCGCACTTTCGCGCGTCTGTAACTCCCTTGTCTTTACCGTATTTCTAAATATTAATATTACCATTGTGTAGCCCTTGAAAAGAGCTTTCAGAAAATGTATAACACTAATAGTTTAAACTCAAAGACGAGGGAGTTACAGACGCGCGAAAGTGACGATCTTTTTTCAAATATGATATTTCATTGTCCAGTACTGTACCACGGTGTAACAATAGCCTCTTTGGTGTAACGATAGGTACAGAGATGATGTCAAGAAAAAGATCAAGTAAGTGGATTGATAGTGAGACAAAATCTTTACAAAATATAATAAAGAGATCGATATGATTAACAATTTACTATTCTAAAGGTCTTACGATTAGAATGATTTATTTAGTGAAGATTCAAAGAGTTCAATCAAGATCAATCAAGTCATCATTTGTATGTACAAAACGAATATGGATAAGTTGAACGATTACCTTGGCTAGTTATGAATGCGATTTTTCTTGTGAAAGTACCAACTAACGGAAATTTTATTTTAAACTTTCAGATAATTTAAGTTAGTTGTCTGCAACAATTGTGCAAAACTCAAAGAGTCTTCAATCTCAAAGACTCAAAAACTTTGGTTTTGCTGGGTGATTCAATTTCTGAAACCCTAGAAAGTATGGAACTGCTGCTAAGCGGATTCTCGCTCTAGAACTCGGAAAATGTGATGATCCTATGGAGATACGTCTAAACTTTATGTAGACTGCGGGAGGAGCTGCCAGCTTTATCTCTCGAATTTTTGGAGGACAATCTTTGAAAAAAAGACGATTTTTGATGGTTTTTATGTTTGGCGAAAACGCTTATTTGAGCACAATTTTCAAAAAATCATACAACACAAACGGCTAAAGGGATTGGTCTGTGAATCTAGCTAATTATAGAAAAAGATATGATTTTTTTTCTTTTAACATCAAAATACATTCTGCTGCCTAAAAAGGATCGGCTTTGGACCGAACTTTAGTTGTCAAAAAGACGCTTTTGACTGCTCGCCTTTGCACCTTAACAAATCTACAAAATAAAAGTGTTACCAAATCACCTTGAAACTATTTTTTATGAGCAAGGATAATAGTTTATATTAGCTTGATCCAGGAGTCAAAAACAAGCTTTATGGCAAAAGGGGAGCTTCTGTAGAAATAGTTCGCATTCATAACTAGCAGAGCTAATATTAATCGCTGACTAATTCCCTAGGATCTGTTCAGAACTGTAAAGTTTAGATAAAGGATTCAGTGATCGATGCTGATGTTTTGAAAATTGCTATCAATTTCTTACTCACCGAATGCGACAAGACACCCCTAAACAAAAGGCTTCAAAGATTTTAGAGTGACAATTCCTATTCTTCAAAAAAAAAAAAGAATGGCTCTTTTTTTACCAGAAACGGCGTCAGAAAGAGATAAAACGTTTTCCATGAAACAAAAAGAGTAATCGACTTCTTTAGGGGCGTTTTTACAGTCCAAATTTTTTGTGATATGTTCCTATCGTTCAACCGGATATGGTTGAATGAATAATTTTTTTATTTAAGAAACCCGCGTTTGCCGTCAAATCATTTTCTGCAAAACAATAGGGTTTTTTTCTTTGGCAAACTTTTTCAATTACCCTTACCGTAATATTTTTATGATGCAAAAGGAAGACGATTATAAACGATTATAATTATAAATGACTTATAGTTAAGGTGCATAGAGTTTTCGATATTTGAGAAAAAAGTATTCTGACAATATGACTCAATATTTTTGCTTTAATTGTAGAAATGAAAGAAATTTAATTGGCTGGATACTGTAATGAACAAAATCTTATTGGCTCTTATTGACTGAGATCTTATTTGACTTATTGACATTTGACCGAGATCTTATTGACTATGAGATCTAACCTAAACAATCATCATCTATTAAGATAATGATTATTTATAATTTGTCTTTATTAACTTATAAAACTTTTTAGTTTTGTCGATTGTTTACTAAGTAAAACGATAAGTCAATACGCTTTTTTTACGGGAATACTTTGATTCCCAATTTTCCTTTTTCTTCAACTGTCAAAATGGAACCATCAAATTTTTAAGCAGCTTTCCTTTTGCGATAAGGCCTTTTTTAAGACTCATTGTCATTTTTGAACCCATCTAAGCCTATTACCAATTTTTATTGGTTTTTTGTAGTGATTTTTTGGATGTCTGTAGGAAAAGCACCTTTACATTGGGCTTATTGAAATGCTTTCAGGAATGCGTCTGGGGCTACTGGCCGCGTGCCTCTTGTCAACTGCCACAATGGGTATTCTTTTAAATGAGACAAACTTGTTATAAAAAGGATTTTATGAAATATTATTTTATATTAGAGTTACTTATTAATAATTAATATTTAGCTCTTGCACAGAGTGATGGTTGGACGGTTAGTGATGGTTGGACGGCTAGTGATGATTGGACGGCTAGTGATGGTTGGACAGATGGTCGGACGAGCCCCTCGCCTAGCCCCTCTCAAAATTCTTCTTCTTCATGTTGGTTTAATATGCCTAACATACCACTAACAAAAGACTCAAATAGTTACAACCGATTATTAATTGATAGATTATCTACCTAGAAGCACGAAATTTTCTCATTTTTTAAACCTTAATTTAGTGGGTTGTGGTTGTAGTTATCCAGGATTGTGGTTGGATGTGATCCTCGTTGCTGATTCCTCGTCCTCAATGACTCAAGCTGGTCTTCAAACAGTAACCAAATCATCTATTTCTAGGATTTTTTTGTTTGTTTAGTTGCTCAGTTACATCGCTACTGCTTCATTACAAATGAGCATTGGGCAACAAGTTGGACAGGCATGGAAATTTTGAGATTATATTATTTAAAGATCAGCTTAAATCTGTTTAAATAGAATAATTGTTTATAGGTATCTCGGCTGGGTATTGTCACCTATTCGGATACCGCTACTTTGCGTTATGCACTCACCGATTTCAAAAACACAGATGATATTATCAACGCTGTCTTCAACGTTAGACTTGAAGGAAATGGTGGAAGTAACATTGAAGAGTATATTTTAAATAATTAAAAAGAAAATCTGTTGGCAATGACAAATTTTAATTTGTTGACAAATTTTGATTTTCAGTGGAATTCGCGTGGCTCTAAACGAGTTCGAAAAGAACGGAAAAGGCAATTATTCAAACCGCAAAAAGGTGATCATCATCGCAGCTTCGCACTACGAGTAATTGATCTAAAATCTACGAGTCTATGATAAATTTAGACCGGGAGGTTCGACTGACCCTCAACAAGCAGCTGCCACTTTCCGTGGAAATGGTGGAATCATCATTACTATTGGTTCGTTTGATTTCTCTAGTCTTTGTTGCCAGGATTGTAAGATCGCTAGGATGCTAAATTTTACTAAAAACTAAATTGATATTCGGAACACATTTCAGAATACGTTCAAAACCATGGAACGACAGTACCAATTCTCGACAGTTTGGCTTCCAACTGCTCGCAACTTTCAAACAGAAATGAGGACCTTCGTGCTTCCGATCTTCTCGACAAATTCTGTCAAGGTTCTTTATTTGAAAAAAAAATAGTTTCAAATGTTGCATAAGTAAATTGTTTGGAATCTAACGATTTCTTGATTTCAGCTAATTGCTTCTGCTCTGCCAACTGGGATCCTTATTCACTCGATTCAAAGTGCTACACTCCAGACAATGGATGCTATTCTCCAGTAATTTCCAAAACTGAATCATTAATCAGTACTTTTTAGGTAACCATCCCAGCTGCATGGCCCCTTGCTCAAAGGTTAGAGATACTAGCCCATATCATATACGAAAATTCTCTTCAGATATTGTGCTATGCAAAACAATGCAACACTTCCAACTGTTTGTGATGGACCAAAAGCAATTTTCATGACTTCGCGTAAATTTGTTCAAACTTTTACAGGTGAACGCTCGATTTAGTGCTCAAGAACCGCAATGAGGCTCAATGGACGGGACTTTCAAGAAGCTCCAACGGGCAGTTCACTTGGGACGATAAGACTCCATATGCTGTAATTTGTTAAGAAAAAGATATACGTTAAAAACGAATTCAGAATTGCTACCCCGATACCAATCCAAAATGGTTGAACGGAACGGCCACAAATGGACAAGCCGTTGCTCAACTCAACCCAAGTGGATTTGTCAATGGATTGTGAGTTCTTCAAATCACAAAATAGAAACTTCAACTTATAGATTTCATTGAAAAAAAATTTGTCTGTTGTTAAGCTTGAAAACTCAAGGCAATATCGTAATTTACAGCTTTGGTGCTCCTCAGTTCACGGATTATCTCTACACTTGCCAGAACTCTCCTTGCAGCAGCACACTCTATTGCTCTTAAAGATCCGATCAATATCTGTAATAAAGTTATTAAAAAAGGGCATTTATATTTTAAAAAAACACAATTTCATGCCAGACAAAAATTTTTCGGTTCTTCTCTGAAATCTTTTTGAAAAAAAAAGGTCTTTTTGATAAAATACGAATCTTTTCATTGTGAAAAGCTATCATATTCGTTTTCTTGTGACTTTTCTTGGGGCAAATGGTTAAAATAAACTCCGCCAATAGGTTCTACGACCCTGAAAACCCCGGGGGCACAAATTTTTAACACTAAATCTCATTTGGGAACACTGTGCAAAGTGGCGAGGTGCTCTTCGGAAAGGAGCGGAGAGCGACTGAACTTTCCCGTTTTTTGGGCACTATGCTCAAACTTATGGGATCAATTTCTGCCTTAAATTTCACTGTATTTCTGCTACAAATCAGTCTTTCAGAAACAAGATTCCGAAAGTACTCGTTTTATAGAGCGCATAAGAGAGAGGAATAGGTCAATCCAAAGCCAAGAGTTAAGGTAATTGAAGTAAGCACTAGGTTTTAGTGTGCATAGCTTTATTATTGTTAACTTTTGATATACTTTTAACCAGGACACTTCAGGCTTTCGAATGGTACCAAATAGAGGTTGCTTGGACTAGCGAATCCTGAGAAAAACAGGAGACAAGACAGGAGACAAGAGAAGGCAAAACAAGACTCAAGTTTTGCCTCAAGTCTCAAGTCCGGATTTCCCAGAAGAACCGAGTTTTCTATGGTTAAAAGCGAGACATGCAACAAAAGCACAACAACAGATTGTACGTCGGTCAAAAATTCTTAGTGAGGCCAAAAATCTGGATAATTGCCGATTGGTAACACAAATTGATTAAAAGCGTCTAAAAGAGTTAAATCATAGCGTTGATTGCTAACCTTCTTATAAGAAACCACTTCCTCTATACATTCCCGAGAAAAAAAAAACAGGAACGAATTGTGATTAGGCGTTGACCGAGCGGTGAAGGCTCAACAAGCAAAAGCTCTCCTCTTTTCCCATTTTCTCTCCAATAAAAAGCATTTTTTAAACCTTTGACGTCTTCAGGCTTCAGACTGTGAGTCTATTGATTACGTTCAGTATTCTTTTCCATTAGTGAACTTTCAGACCTATCTGCTTTTAAAAATATTAATTGTACGCATAAAGTAGCCATTTAAACTTGAGTCCTATCAAATATTTGCCTACATAGAATCAATTATAAAGACGCAATAAATAAATTCACCTCGACGCATGATCTTATCTACAAAAGCTCTTGGCTTAAGTGCTAATTTTCGAATGCTTCAAATGTAAAATGCTAGTTTACACAAAAAAATCCTCGGCTTTTTTCTCAACAAATCCATTTTAGCTTTGACAACAAAAATCCCGTTTGTACAATTACCGTAAATACTGTAGTAGTAGCCCACCCCCATAATGACGGTGCGGAGTGTTGCGTAGTCTAGCTTTGGACGCGTTTTTCTCGACACTGGTTTATGCTACAATGCGCACTTAGGTAGCAAAAAATAGCCCTGAATTTCAGCTATTTTTTGATACCAAAGACGCATTTTTTAAAAGTACCGGCGCTTTGAAAAAAAAAAAAAAATTAAATACAAAAAACTTTTGCGACTACGCGACTGTACGAGGGGTGGAGACAATTACAGTATTTACGGTAAGCATTATCATGCCCCTTTGATCTTTCCCCTCCCCCACATCCGCGCGAAATAAGGCAAAAAGTTGTTTTCTATAGGATTTTTACGTTTGAATAGCCATTTAACGCAGAAAAATGTGCTGAATTCAGTGGTGAAAAAATTATCAAAACCCGTCTTGTAGATTTTTTTAAATCGCATTTTATCAAAAAAGAAATGACAGGGGGCTCTCCCCTGTCATTATTCACTCTGTAAAGCCATATCATTATTATGGTCGGGCTGGTGACGTTTCGTTTCGCAATTTGTATTATTTGTATTTGAATAGGCTCTAAAGAATGCAGTTTTAAACTACGCAATAATCCAAATTATGAAATCGAAACATCGTTTTTAAACCTAATTAGCATTATCGGAATTATTTATCGATCTAAATTGTTGAAGGATTTTAATGTCAAAAGAATGTCAATTGATTGCCTTTTTCTAGAGTCTCAAATGTTTTTTCTCTTGAATCATTCGGTTCATTCTTACTTTTGCCGTTCAATTCCCATTTGAACAGCGAAAAATCGCAACGGGTTTGCGGCACACAAAATCTCGGCATATCGCTGAAGACTCTCGGGTTGTATGGGGCGACAGCAGCGGCACCTAGTCGGCCCCGTTATCAATTGGAGTAAAAAATTTTTATGTTTTTCGCAACTCCTTTATGCTGATCTTTCTTATTTTTGGCTGCGTCTATCCGCCATCAATTTTTCTGTAATAGATTTTACTCTTCGAATTTTTGGTTGTTAGATCGTTTAAACGCCTTCATCGTTTATTTTAAGATCTTATTAACTTTTTGTTAGATTTATTATTGATTTTCTTCAAACGTTTCACTGGCTTTGAACAATTTGAATACTTTCAGGTAGTTTAACGTGGGCTGTAAATGACGGCTGCAAGTAAAAATGGAGTTGAGAAAGAAGAAGGAGGGCCATTAATTGCTCGACGAAGGACGCTTCAACAGAAACCACCCAGTGCCTTACTCACTTTTCTCTTCAACAGAGAGGTTTGTTTAATAGGTTATAATTAGTGATAATCTGCCATTGTAGTATTAAACTGGCAAAATTTTTTGTTGTGCATTAATTTGAAAATGCCAATATGCTAATGCGGTGCTAAATTTATATATGTTTGTGTATGTTTTCCAAGACTTTGGGTAAAATCATTTAAATCGTTGGCTCTTGTTGTGTTCAAAATATTTGGTAACCCAATAACATATGCCAATTCATTTTTATTACTCAGCACCCCAGGAAAAAAGCGATTATTCGTCCAAAAACTTAAAAGAAAGCAAAAATTGTATGTTTAGAAAGGAGAGTTCTGCGGACGAACTCCAAGGAGTTGGCTGGAAATCACAATTTTCTACATTATTTTCTATACCATCTTAGCCGCTTTCTGGGTAGGGAAATTTTACTTGTTTAAACATTCAGAGTTTATTTAGATTGCTTGCCTTTCTATATTTCTCGGAACTTTGGATCGAAAGGTGCCACGTTTCTATGGGAAAGGATCAATTCGTGGAATTCACCCTGGAGTCGGTTATCAACCATGGTTGAAGGTTTCTGCTTCTGTTATCTTTATGTTTTTTCGGTGCATACATTTACATGGACATTCTGTATTTAAGTGCATAAGCAGTTTGCCAGGTTCACTTGAAATTTGATCTCAAAACTGATTGTAACAAACCTTAAGCCTAGCACTTTTATATTAAATCTTTTTGACATAGTGAAAAGTAGCAAATTCTTTATTGTGAGTCTAAAAGTCTCCAACTTTATTAAAGAAGCGAGTCTGTTTTGTAGACAGCTCTAATTACCTACATAATTATCAGCACATTCTACTTATGCAATTAAAACTTTAATATCAATTTTTCTTTAGGAGAAGCCAGATTCAACGCTGATTAAGTTCAACGTTCGAGATCATAGGACGTACAAGCCTTTCGTCGATCAATTGACCGGATATTTGGATAAATACAATGTTAGTTTCTTGGTACTTATCAGTTGAGAAACTTTGAACATCAAGCTTCATATTAGGTGCTTGCAAAAGAAACTACGGATCAAAAAAGCAACCATACAAGGACTGTAAGTAAAGATGATCCGGGTTGATTAGTATTTTTAGAAACCCCAATATCTTCTCTTTTTAACTATATAAAAAGAATTTTATGAAACTTCCTTTTGGAAGCCCAGTGAAATTATCAAAAAGGCACCAAAAATGGCCTAGCGGAATTTCAACTCAAGATTTCTCCACGGTTTTTCAAATGTTTTGTCACTAATATGAAATGAAAGAAGTTTACTAACTAAAACAAATAAGATACAAATACAAATTTGTTCGTTGCGTACTCTTTGTTACAATTCTTACGTTGCGTACAATTTTTTAAAATATGCTTGAAAACAGAATTTTGACCCTTTTTTTAGAGTCACAACTCTTCAAAGGAATTTTTATAATGGAATAGTTCACCAAATTTGTTTTAGTTTTCTGTAAATAGCTTCAATTAAGTTTGGGCTTCTGATCTGTCAAGAATTTAGACCAAGGTTTTTTCAAAAATAATGTTATAAGTTTAAGCCGCCGTCAAGTCGTTTTTTGGTACCTTTTTGAAACGTCTATATTCCGCGATCACTGTATAATCTATTTATGCCGTTAAAAAGAAAAGATATTGTGGTTTCTAAAAATACTAATCAAATGGGATCATCTTTACTTACGGTCGTTGTGTGATGGTTTTTATGACCTGGAGTTTCTTTTGCAAGTCCCTAATATTAGATTTACAAAGTACAATCAATAAAGACGTTTTTTGTATAAAAGTTTTCTCAAGTTTAGGATGCGAATGAAACTCGAGAATGCAATGAACCAGATGATAGCAATTGGGATGCGAGCGGAGATGAATATGAGCTAGCCTGTCAATTTAAGCTCGATGTTTGACGAACTCTTTATAGAGTTGATCTTTTTGTTTTTAGATGTTCAAGAAAGCAGGTTGCTCACCTGAAGATCATTTTGGATACAAGAGCGGAAAACCATGTGTGATCATTACTTTGAACCGACTCATTGGATGGGAGCCATTCCCGTACAGCTCGGATAGTATTCCTGAGGTACTGTAAAATTTTTCACTGATATTTGCTTATTTTTTTAAAATCCTTGTCTATATTTAGGCTGTTCGTGACCGTTACCGTAACGATTCAATTGCAATTCGCTGTGATGGAACCAATCTGATTGATAAAGTAAGCTATTTTTTAATTTTCACTTTCGTAATAATCTTACTGTTCTAGAATTTGACTCGCGTTTTAGGAACACATTGGAAACTTGACGTACGTGCCACCTCACGGTATTGAGGGAAAATACTTCCCGTATTCTGTGTTACCAAATTATCATCAACCAATTGCAATGGTGAAGTTTGAAAGCCTCCCAACAAATAAGGTTTGTTTCTTTGATTAAAAATCGACACTTTTCGTATATTCTTCACTTTATTTTGATTTTAGTTAGTCTTTGTGGAGTGTCGGGCTTACGCTGGCAACATTCAACACGACATCACTCAAAAACTTGGGCTGATCCATTTTGAGGTCTTCGTACAGTCCAAAGCAGTCAAAGGTCTCAAGGCAAGTTTGAATACTGGTGGAGTTTCAAGCCAATAAAGCACAAGCTGATAATTTGCTTTATTGCTTTATTTTTTACTTGCCTTTTTTAATTCTGTGAGTTCAGTTCTTTCTAGGCTTTATAAATTTGTCATTTTGTGATTCAGCTTTGACTAACTTTGAATACTTACTTTTGTCGAGTAAATTTATTCACCAAATGGCTCAAATAATTGACAATGGATAATTAAACAACACAATCAACCACCTATTCGTGAAGACTAAATTGAGAAGAGTACATTCAAAATTATCGCTTTCGAAATTTCTATTGCTCTATTCACTGATAGGAAATCATGATACTATGTTTTAATTGATTAATTCGGAAATTTCCACGTCAACCTTATAGTTAGCAATGAGAAGTGCCAGGTAATTGCTACAGTACGTTCTACAAATCAAATTAAACATAAATTATTGGAGAGCAATAGATTTGATAACATAACACAGTTAAGACTCAAAAAGCTCTTATATTTAGGGCCTTGCAAATGGAATGACCAAAGTTTTTCGGGGCACATTTCCAGAATTCTTGTTTGTTTTCGAACAGGGCGAAGGGCAAAAGAAAAAAGAGAAAAATCGAAATCCGTCACAAAATGAAATGAGGCACATACGAAAATATGGGAGATAATCAAGGATTCGAAAACTAGAATGAGAAATGAATGGCACACATTGATGGAAAAAAAATAAAGCGATTTATATAGAATCAAAATGTAAAGCTCAAATGCTGGAACGGGCATTTCGGATGAATAAGTTGACTAAAAAACAAAGGGAAAAAAACACAATTTACAAATTTACCCCCTTAAAAACCGATATTTCGGTAATCTAGATACGAGAAAAGCTTCACTCATTTTCACTAATTTTCACTGATTTTTTTTTTTTGAAATTCTGATAAAAGAATAGGAAAATGAAACACAGAAATTTCTTTTGACAAAGAAGGGAAGCGAAAAAAAAACACAGGGTCGCAATTAGGCATTAAATCGATTTACGGTGTTTTTCTATAAAGTGCGAATCAAAAAAAAAACTTTTCAGGATAGATCCAAGGGGAACCAAGGATTGCAGGCTGCGGGAGAAAAAAGAGGAAAAGAGGAGAAGATGGGCAGGGGGGGTGGTTTGAGGAGAGATTGTTTCTATGAGGCTAATACGGGGTGAATCGTGTCGATGAGCCGGTCTGCGATGTTGGCTGCTTTGATGGAGGTGAGGTGCCCTTCACGAGATGCGCTCCCAACAACATACTGCAACACTCATGTTTTCGTTTCGACACATGTTTTTTTTCATTTTCTTTGGAACTCACCCGTGAAATTGGTTCGAAGTTGAAAATTTTTTTTCTTTAAAAGCACTGTGGCAAGACAAGAAGTTTTAGAGAGCTTTGTTTCAACGTTTCTTCTTTTAAACCAATTTTACAAGAGAGTAGACCCAGGAAGTAGACATTGGCGCTACAAACTACAAGGTCAGACTATAAACCCGTGTAGAGACGCGTAGAATAGAGATTTTTCAAAACATTTTTACTAAAAAATCAAGCTAACTTTAGGCTTTCGAATGACACCAAAACCAGACCAAATCATGTTCTATATGCTGAGGTTTAACGTTTTTTCTAGGTTTGTAGTCTCATCCCATGGAACGAGACTACAAACAGCTATAAATAGCTCGTTCTCGGCGTTGAGATCATGAATTTACTTGATTTTGGTGTCATTCGAAAGCCTAAAGTTGGCTTGATTTTCTGGCAAAAAAGTTTTGAAAAATCTCTATTCTACGTGTTTCTAGAAGGGTTTATAGTCTGAACTTGTAGTTTGTAGCGTCCATGTCTACCAGGAAGCATGCGCTTTTCTTAAGAAATGTTTTTAATTGATTTTTCGGGTTAAAGAAAAGCTCGGGGGAAAAGGCTACATACACAGATCCATTAACATGGGGAGGGAATTTGTGCTTTCACCCAAAAATTCCCATGGGGAAACAATTGACCGAACATCGGATAGGGCATCTACAGACTTTTTTTTCCTATCTAGGCTGGGTGGGGAAAAAAAAGGATAGTTTTGTAAATTCAAATGTTAGAACATAGATGAAGAAACTAGGGAGAAAAAAACAATCCCCTTCTTTTTTTCTTTTCATTTGTGCATCATTTGTGCATTGGTTTTCAGTGAGAAGATCCCATTTTTACAAAAATCATAAACCGCAATTGAATAATGATTGAGCAATATAACTGATTGATTTGTCCCGTTGATCAATAAATAAGGCAGAACGATGTGGCCATTGGTTCCTTGTATAAACCACTAACAATCAAAGCGAACATAGTAACATCTGGGGAAAGCCTTTAAAAGGTGGCAGAAATACAGTACTCCTTGAGCATTTAGCGTCTGATGACAAGTTTTTTTTTTGCATCCATTACCTGGTGTTAAGAGCCGCATATTGGCCAAGACCCGAAAAACCAAGTTCCAATTTTTTCGCCTCATCGCTGTTCCACTGTGGCGGCAATCCCGCGCCCATCAAGCCAGCGCTCGCATTTGCATCAGAGTGCATTAAAATTCCACCATACACTGTAAAGATGTTCTTTTTTTACGTAAGCCTTTTATTTCCTCACTTGGCAAATATCCGGCATATGAAGTGGCAGCTCCGGTTGGATCGCCGAGTGAAAGTGACGCGTTTGATGGCATAAAAGCACCAAATTGAGAGGCTCTTGTTAACTAAATAGTGTTGGTTTGGCGTTCGGAGATCGTGTACTCACATCGGCTGCCCCAGCCGAAGCAGTGAGGATTGGTTGCCCGTGAAATGGTTGTGTGAGGAGAGCAGCTACGGCTTGCTGTTGAGCCGCAGCTGCTGCCGCCGAAGAGGCGATCAATAAGGGATTAAAGGTCGGTTTCGGTCTGTACTGCAGGGTTGCGCCTTTTGGCGGTGCCTAAAATATGAAACTTTTTACAAGTAAGCTCTAAAAATCGATCACCTCGAGCAGAATGTTGCAAATCTCTTTCATACAGAGCACAATCGCGTCGGCAGTGCCGGATAAGGTGACCGCTCGTTCCGTTGATGAGGGTAACATTTCCGATGCCACTTGTAATGAAGCTCCAGTAGCCTGGAAATGCTTTCAACGTTTATGTTTGGAATCTAAATCATCGAACCTCTCGAATCTCTTTAATTTTACTGCCACCCTTCCCGATTAGAGATCCGCATTGTGTGGCTGGCACAATCATTCGCATAGTGATCGGTGGCTTTGGTACCGAGTTGGGCAAAGCTTTCATGTCCTGAAAGTTTCCTCGATTAACTTAAAATACCATGTTTATTACAATTGAAGAGCCCAATAGACGAAATTTTTATTTTTTCGAATTCGAAACTCTCGAATAGCAAAATTCTCAACTTTTCAAAGACTTTCAAAGGCTTTAAATTAGAGTGTGTTCCTCGCGAGTAAAGTAATTACTCGAGTAAATTAAATAATGATTTGATCTGTCTTCGCACTTAGCGCAGATCCCAACCCGCTTCCACATTTACTGAGGCAGAAGTGTAGTTGTCGTAGCCGATGATACTCCGATGGCCGGGCGGGGGCGCTCGGAAGGGGGCCCGGGAGTCGAACCCGCACGCCACCCCGCGCCGCCGGTTGCCCAACTTTGCGGATCGGGCGGGGCCGACCACAGCCCCTCCCCTTTCTGGGCCCCCACTCGGGTAAATTTGGGGGGATGTTTTTTTTCCGACTGCGAGTAGACGAGAAGGTAGCATCGCGTACCCTTTTTAAAATTTCTTTTCTGCATAAAAGCTTTCAATGAAGTGCTATAGGGTTGGAAAATGACTCAAAAATAACACATGAGCTAACAGATTTTTGAGTCATTTTCCAGCCCTATAGCACTTCATTGAAAGCTTTTATGCAGAAAAGAAATTTTAAAAAGGGCTGCTACGCAGGAGTACGCGATGATACTCTTTACCCGGTCTTCTATTCGAAGAAATACGGTGATTGTCGAGTAGTGCATAGTGTGTTTTCTAAAAAGTGCGAAAAAAATATAAAAGCAATTTTTTGCGCAGGTTTTTCAAAAAAATCAGTTTTTACATTAGAAGGGAATTTCCCACCAAATCAGTTAAACGGCTGAGTATCTTTAAAAAGTGCCATATATAATGCGGGGTTCGTGATTTTTGCGTCATTTGCAATAATTTTTGCTAAAAGTACGGTAATTTTTTCCTCATTGTGCGTTTTAAAAAACGCCTTACTCGCGAGGAAAACACTCTACTTTAAATAATAATTATAGACTAAAAAAAAGCTTAATGACGTCCAAAACCAAATGAAAATCCAATAAAAACATCTATTTTTGAGCTCTTAACTTTGGGTATACTGTAGCTAGGACACGAAAAAGAATTTTCAACATTGAAAGCCGGCTCTTCTATTAGAAGACCCGGCTCTTCTCTTAGAATCAAGTAGGTAAGTTCTTAAGAAAAACTGCTTGAGCGACCCACATCTGAGAATTTGTTGCAAATCATCGCAAAAGACTTGTCAATCGTCTTCAAAGAGCCAGTGATTGTCACAATTCTTTCCGGGCAAGATCCATCGGAGATATTGATCTAAATCGTTTACTGGTAATCACCACTTCTCCTCAAAAACCTTGGCTCCAGACTCTTCCCGAATCAACTTGATTTGATCTCCTCGTTTTCCAATTATACTTCCAACTTCCTGAATTGCTTTAGTTCTAAAATCTAGCCAGCTTGATCGAACCTTTCCTTGCATCAATAATCTAATAGTTAAAATGAGGCTCATCGGAGGAGCTCCAGGCACAGATCCACCCGGTGGCGGCGAAGCAGAACTAGAGGGTTCTGAAAAACGGGGAATCTTTTGTAATCAAATATAAATTACCGGGAATGTCATTATGTGATGTGTATTGAGCTGCATAAGATGATGGTTGAGTGAAAGAAGCGGTGGCAAATGAAGCAGCCGACGGGTACTGTGGTGGCAAATCCATCTGAAAAGTGAATTGTAAATTGTATCGTAAGGAAAAACTGAGAAATCAAAGTTCAGCAAATATTTATATAATAGAAGATTTATCATGCAAAGATGATCATCAAGAAAAGATAGGAAGTTCGAAGGGATGGGATGGAGTTTGGGGGGAAGGGGACCGGAATCGATGCAAATGCCGAGAGGATGCCCAAGGTGGACTGGGCCATTCGAGACGGACAAGCCGCCGACGAAAAGCCCGATTGAATTTGGATTTCGAGGTGCATCGGCTTAGGAGACATTCACTCACTCCCTTTTTCCGTCAGACACTTGTCAATTTACAACAAGTAACTCGATCAATCATTTTTAAGCTATTAAGTAAATGGGAATTCATCAAGAAATTGGGGAAAAATATGTAAAAAGATTTGGAGAAAGTTAAGAATGACCTGAAAGGCTAAAAAGAATGTTGGGCCTTTCGATTTGGGGTGAATTAAGGACGGATTCGGGAAGAAGGCGGTACCCTAATTGTGTGATGTGGTTACTAATGGGAGTGGAAAAGGAGCGCTTGGAAAGACGTCTCTCATTGTTCTCAAATACGCCTAAAACAAGGGGATATGACTTAACGAGGAAACTTATTTGATTTCTTTTCATTTCTTGATCAATCAGACTCAGAACTTCATAATTTCATAACTTCAAAAAGGATATAAACATGAGCTAGTAAACGCGGTGAGTACAGAATTAAAAAGAAATTACAAATCGATAAGAATTGTAGTGAGTATAGATAAAAACGTATGCTAAAAACTCCTTAAAGATTTGATGATGGGAAAGTAGTGGTGGAGTGGAAGGAAAGGCCTGTCCCATCTCCCCAGCTTGGAATCCCCTTCGATCCCCGGGTGCCCCTCTTTTGCCCCTCCTTTGCCCCTCCTTTGCCTCTCCTTTGCCCCATCCTTTCCCTTCTTCCCATTCCTAAACCCACTTCACACCTTAGACGCAAAACGAAACGGACATTCTTTGCCGAAAAGTGGTAAGTGCTGGCCCCGAAATTGGTAGACTCTCTCCTGGGAAATATTTTCCTTGATTCGAAAGTTTTTTTAGCTTTTCAGGTAGAATATGTATAACTAAATAAAGCAAAAATTGAATCTTTTCAAATCGCCGAGACCCCAGTGATTTGTCTCTTTTGAAAAACAATCAATGAAGGTGATGATGGGCACTTGTGAATAGTGACGGGTCGACGCTTGGTGATAAGATAAGCCAAACCTTCCCCACAGTGCCTCTCATTTCTCAGGCTTTTATCTTTCGAACCCCTTTTCAAGAGACTTAATTCAAAGAGCTTATTTCAAGATGGGGGATCAATATACTATTGAGAGAATTCAAGAATTCGGGATTAATAAGCAAAGTGTGTACAACGATTGTTTAGTTTGCAAATGAAATGACTGAGTAGAAAGGAAGGAAGCCGCGTATGAAAGAGGACATTGAAGTCTTCATTTTTGTGGATAGATGGGGATAGATGGATGAAAGGAAGGCTGCACTAAACAAACACCCAAGCGCTAATGGAAGAAGGAGCTCATGCCTTTGGAAGCCCAAGGCTCCCTTCCCTCAATGCTTGAGCCCTCGTGTGAAATCAGATCCGGCCTTCCCTCCCCTCTCGTCCATCAACTCCCCCCAGCTTTCCTTCAATCCGTCTTGGATTCCTTCCTATAATATAATTCAAAGAAAACGATGGATTGCAAGAATCGATATCCAATTAGGGCTCTTTCTATTGCCGCTAGATAGATAACCATCAAAAATATTAAAGCTTTCGATAAAGCTTTAGCTGTAAAACTAGCTTTAATTCTTTATGAAGGATTTTTTTTGAATAAGTATTTCAAAAGTTGCACGAGCAATCGATCGATAAGTAATTTCGGAATAATAAACGAAAAGAGTAGGAGAATGTAAAGATCGAGGCTTGGAGACAGCCGGATCCGATCCCGAGGATAGAGGCAAGGCTGAGAAGAAGAAGAAGGGAAGGTTTCACGTTTCCGCGGCGGCAGAAATTGTGCCCACCCACGTTAGACAAACATTGCCACAACGGAGTTCCCATCACCACACAGCGCCTCATCGATTCATTCAGACTCGGCACGCATCAACAAATACACTTTCCTCTATCAGAAATACACATAAAAACTAGATTCGATAAAGGCATCATTCTATAACATAAGAACAAGAAATATCGTGTTCTGAATTGCTCATTGAAGCTAGATACCTCTAGCTCATTGAAGCTCATTGAAGCTAGATACCTCTAGATGTCTGAGGGGAAGATGGAAACATTGAAGTTTCTATTTTTAAGAAAGGTATCAATCAAATCTATGGCTGAGGTTAAAAGCTGAGTTTTAGCTGTAATTCATAGCTTAGAAACTTTTCACTGATCTAGAGATATCCTGTCAAACAACAAAGCGGCTTTTAAGTTAAAAGGATCAAAAGAAAATGAGATAAGAGCTTGAATTGGCCCTTTTCCAAGAGAATAAACAGTATCCAAAAGAAAAAAGAATCTGGGTCACAAGCTTAGCAAAAAAAAAAAGAGTAAAGAATCGAGAGTCTTGCAAGAAATGAAAGAGTGAGAGATCATGAGGAAAGTCTTAGTGATGGTTGATGGAAAGAGAATTGGGCAACAGATGAGGGTAAAAGGAATAAGGGGGATGGAGTAAAGGGCGAGACTGGTCTGTTTCCGCTCGTGGCGGTGGCGGTAGCTGTGCTCCTCGCGTTCCGCAACCCTTCCCCAACTCGCTCTTCCCCACTGCTCCCTTCCCTCTCCCCTCCCTGTCCGGGACTCTCTTCAGGGGCTGGTGGGGCGGTCGGCGTCCTCTACCACCGACGGCTGACCTGCGCAAATATTTGCCATACGACCGCCATCGCCAACCCGCGACGCGACAAAATTCTTTCCTACTTTTCTGACTTGTTTTATCTCAACTCTTATTTATGAATAATAGATTGACAGAATGCGAAAAATCTGATGATATACAAATCTTATGGATACGAAAATGGAAAAGGAAACTTTAAGCATTGCATAAAGACAATTTTCTTCAATAAAACTTTGATGATTAGACGATGACAATGACAATGATAATGACGATGATAATAATGAGTTTAAAAAAGATATCGAAATCAAAGTTTAAGAATCTCATTTAAAATGAACCAGCTACAAAGCTTTGGCGGTCGATGGTTTCCAAGGAGTGAAAGTGGTGAAAGTAAAGTGGGTACAGAATGTTGAGAAGATGTCCGTAGAAGCTCATAGAAGAAGGGAAGGGGAGACAAGGTGTTGGACGGGGTCCACACAAAGGAGCCTCATCATGAATTATGCGGTGAGGCGGCCCTCTTCACCGATCTTCCCCCCAGCAACCTCCTCAACGTCCCTCACCACAAAACATAAACCTTTCCACCCAAGGAATCCATCATTTCAGCAATTTTTACGCAAATATCTGTGGCATATCTGTGGGCTTTAAACGAAGAAAGATACTTGTGAAAGAGTACAATAGAACTGGCTCAAACATACAGTAAGAATTTGTTTATAAAAAACTAGTTGATGAGAGAAAGACTGAGAAAGATTGAGAAAGAATGAAGACCTGAGCACATGTTATTCCCGGCGCCTGGCCGGCCTTTGAGTGTACCAGCGAGTTTGCCCCGCGGATTTGTTCCAGCCTTTCCCTTCCCTCCCGACAGTGCATGCAATTCAAGAACTCGCTTTTCAATCAATTCTTTGCAAGCAATAAGATTCCTCTCGTAAAAAAAGTAAAATTCTTTGAGATAAGTATAGCAAAGATACATACACGACAAGTAATCCAACAAGTACAAAACAAATTCGATGAAACTATTCCATAAAGCTATGTACAGCTCGCAGCAAGTCACGGGAAAATTGTGTTCAGCCTAAAGGGAAAGAGATAATAAAGAAGAGAGGATGAATTTCGGTGCGCCTCTACCCTGCATCTTTGATAGACTATGTGAGGTCTATAATGTTTGCCTAAATCTCGATATCGGCGAGTGTGGGGCTTGTGCCCGGGGACGATCCGCCGAATGGGGATCATCGAGAGGGAAAGTCCTTCTATCTCCTCACAATACGAGAAAGGGATCCTCCGTCTGTTTGTCGCAAGATGTCGTGATTTCACCGATCTCTTTTCTCTGATATCTGAGATCACCGCCTTGTATCTTTCGACAGCGAATCATCTTTTAGAGATGTTACCTATCAAATGATCAGGTGGAGAAAGAAAAAGAAAATTCAAATCCAATAAGCTTACGGAGAATTAGATTCTAGAGGTTGTAGTTTATTTTCATAAAGATTTATACGAGTAAAAATAAGACCAACAAAAAAAAAAGTGCAAGCTTCTGAAGGTGAATAGGGAGAATGTGAGCCCATCAGTCGTTAGGGATAGAAAAGGGGTGTCTGTGGTTTCGTATGGCCAAGGAGGGATTCAATGGCGTCAGTGGGTGTTTCTTTTGCTTGTTGCCGGGTCCTCGAGCACAGAGATTCCTTTCCCTTTCGATCGCCGCCTCGAGCGCTCTTGTAACCAAAAACCCCGGCGAGCTCTCCCCTCCAATTCCCTTGGTCGGTGTCCTGAGACTCATCCCATAGAGGAGTTGCTTCTTCTTTTTCTTCTTCGAGAGTGTGTAATTGGTGTTTGTACTGTGACAATGCTCAACCCTCGCCTCGTGCACAAACACGATTCACAATTCGATTCACCTAATTTGATTTTCAAAGCGTACTTTTTGACTTAAAAATAAAAAGGCAAGATTTTTATTTGAAAAAAATTAGATACCTATTTGATCTAATGAATAAATAATAAAATAGAAAATGAATGAGAGAGAGAGAGAGGTGTGAGAGACAAAAACAAATTGCGCTTTTATTCGATCAAATCGTACGAAGATTGTTTTATTTATTTGTTGATAGCATCTATTCAAATGGCTAGTTTAACCATATGATTTACAAAAACGCGATCTATTTGATAAATTGATAAATTGATAAATTGATTATTTTTTTTAAAAACAAAAGCCTTCATA